GATGAGACTGACGCGGAAAAAGTAGGGGTATAGGCGCTTGGTTGTAGATGCATCTTTTGGGCTCTTTGAGCTATAGATGCTTCTGCAGAGACCTCCTTAGATTGAATGGGAAAAACAGTGGTGGGTGTCCCATACATGCGTAGAGCTGAAGCAAGCCATATTGGCAGACTCGAGTCCTTCCACAGAGTGGCGGACTGCGAGACACAACTCCCCTCGACTCTTTCACTTTGCCAAGCTCGACCAGTAAGTTGTCCCTCATATCTTTGTGATTAAATTAGGGTATCCAGTCTGTTGTCAGACAAGACGCAAGATGGAGAACGCGAGATTTGCCGCATACAACTGTCGTGACAATCGACGTTGACTCGATATCTTGCTATCTGTTCTTCTCTCATTGAACTCCATTGCACGATGCAAAACCCTCAGCACCTATCTACGCCATCGTCCAGATATGCCTGTCGATTCACTTCTCAGGCATCTTCACCCTTTCCCGCTGCCAACCAACGAACGTGTCTCACTTCGTCAACGCTTCAAAAAGCCCGTCACCCTTGTAAATATCTACCCAAATGCCCGCGTGTGATATCTTGTAGCGTTGCAGCACCGCACAAAGCCATCACATTGACCAATTCCTCCGTCAAAAGGTCGATCACAAGCTGGACGCCTTGCTCGCCGTCGTACTGGCACCGATATGCAATCAGCACTCGTCGAGTGGTCAGAAAAAGGCCAGACTCACGGCAAGACCCCACAGAGCTGGACGACCGATCCAAACAAAGTCAGCGCCAAGAGCGAATGCTTTGAAGACGTCTGACCCCTGGCGTATCCCGCCATCCACGTTCACTTGAATACGTCCGCCAACAGCGTCCACCATCCCAGGGAGCGCGCCCAGGGGGGGCACGACACCGTCCAATTGTCGTCCGCCATGGGCTGAGACGATGATGCCATGTACACCGGCTGCGACAGCAAGCAATGCATCTTCCGCTGTCAAGACTAAGAAGAGGTAAGCTAAACCTTTCGTGGCGTTGATCGGATAAGCGACTCACTGCCTTTGAGGTACACCTCCAAGCTCGTCGACTCTACCACCCTTCTATACGTCTCCCAAGTGACATTGCGGTCAAACGTGACTGCAGGGCTCCTCTCCGTTTTTGCTGTATGCAGATCTGGAGCATCTCCGTAATCGATATTGGGAAATGTGAGATGCGCTGGCTTCACGAACCCATTTCTCAATTCTCCCAACCGCCGACCAGGTACCGAGCAGTCCACAGACAGAACCACCGCCTTGCAGCCCGCTTTCTCGGCCCGCCGAAATAATGCGAGATTCGCTGACCAGTCCTCGACTAATGTAGTTTGCTGCGCGTACAGCTTTCGTGTGTCGTTTAGGGATGCCGATGTTACGTCCTCAATTGATGCGGTAGCGGATTGCGACAGGATCATGGGAATGCCTCGACTGGACGACGCTCGAGATGTAGCGAGCTCACCATCAGGATGGGCAAGCTGATGCATCGCAGAGGGCGCTATCCCGATCGGCAGAAAGCTCTGTTTGTGGTCGTTAGCAGCCGAAAACCGGTGTGAATTCGATATGCTCAAAGTGCCGCCCCATATCGACGTCCTCGCATCTATCAATGAAATCTTTCGCCCCACTCGTGGTTGCAGTCTATAGCGAGCATATGCTTCCACACTCTCCCTCAACCTGACTCGAAGTCAGCAGGCGACGAGCGCTGAGTCCGAATGGGAACCACTCACGTCTGCTGCAGCTCACCAGCGCCATCGGCAAAGTATTCAGACGTGACTTCCGGTAGCCGCTTGCCAGCCTGAATCTCCAGTTCACGTAATGACAAGATCTGCGGTTGTCCCGATACCATATTGAAATTTTGAATGCAGAACGAGATCAACCAAACAATTGACGGAGATAGAAAGAGGTCGAACGGGATGTCGGATGTGTTGAATCAAATCAGTTTTAGCGGTAGCCTGACGTGATATAGGGAATACGAGATTGCCCCTGATCAGCAAAGGCCCGCGAGACGGATGACCCTGCGTTGGAACCAATGGCGCCGTACTTGATAGATTTGACGTGCTCGAATCTGACAAATGCTCATGTTCTTCATTCTCGTTGCACGGACTCGGCTGCACCGAGCGTCTACCAAGTGGATCTCTCTCTTCCCCTCCATTGCCCATTTCCTTCGCCCGATCCATTCTCCATTCCACTTCGCACTCCACCAGGATGGCCTCTAATCATGAACGATCCGAGTCGCATTCCGATAAGGCTAGTCTCAACTGCTTTGATGATAGTCTCCCTCAAGTCGATGCTGGCAAAGAGCACAAGCTTCGAACCGATCATATCATCGCACCCGCGGGAACTACCGATCTCAATGATGTCAACCTCTACGGCTACAACCCTTGGGAGGCCCAGAAGGAGGCGAAGGAGCAGGACTTTGTCGATTTGAAGACCATGGGTTGGTTCGTGGCTGCTCTGGTATCTATCGCCGAGGTGAGTGAGCTGCATCATGGTGGCGATCTACGCTTACCAATCGTTTCAGAGCATGGGTACCGGTCTTTTGAACTTTCCTAACACGTTTTACCAACTCGGTATGGCCGGTGGTGTCATCGCTACCGCTGGTGCAGCGCTTCTGACTTACTTCGCCGGGTGTATGATGGTCGACTTTCGAAACCGTCATCCCGGTGTTGTTTCTTACCCCGACGCTGGTGCTGTTATGTTTGGCAAATGGGGGCGTATCATCTTCGGTGCTGGTCTGGTAGTCAAGACCATGACTGTTGCTGGTTCCCACGCTTTGCTCGTCCAGACTCCAGACCGCCTTGAACTACCTTTCAAGCCACGCTATCTGCGGCGTCTGGTGGGCGTTGTTGTGCGCCGTGGTCTCCATCTTGGTGAGTCCAAACTTACTGACGTGCACCCAGGAGCTGACAATGTCGCAGATGTCCATCAGCCAAGAGTGGAAGAAAACCCACATATTGTCAGCAATCTCCATCATTTGTCTCTTCAGCTCTTCATTGATCGTCCTTGGCGGTGTCGCCACACAACCCGCGCCAGTGCTTGTCAAGAAGGGTGTACCCATTGTGTGGCATGCTACTCCGAAGAACCCCACCTTGATCAGCATGATTACAGCCATCTCCAACATCGTTTTCGCACTGGGCGGGAACTCTGCGGCTTTCACCTTTTGCGCTGAGATGAAGAATCCCAACGACTTCAAGAATTTTTTGGCGTTGGTGCAAGGTGCGGGCTTTATCATGTACATAACCATCGGCGCTGGTATCTACGCTGCTGGCGGTCAATACGTCAGCAGTCCCGCCTTCAGCATGACTCAGCGACCCGTGCAAATCGCCGCCTGGTCCGTCGCCTTGGTCACCCTCATGATCTCCGGTATCTTGGTCGTCAATGTTGCGGCCAAGTATTTTTATGTCAACAGCTTGCGTTCGTCCCCTCTCCTCACGAGCAAAGGCATACGAGCTCAGCTCATTTGGATCGGATTCGTCACCGGCATCTGGGCTGTTGGGTTCATTTGCCTGTCAACTTATCCCATTCTTCTCCCCCTTGACCACTATTATCGGATCCGTTTTCACCACCTGGTTCTCCATTGGTTTCTGCGGTGTCATGTGGTTTTACAACCAGCACCCGTACTTTGCCAAGCTAGGAGAGGTCCGCAAGCTCGACACCCCTCTCAAGTGGTTCCTGTTCTTTGTCGCATCGTTCTGCCTCCTCTTCGTGTCGTCATTACCCCTCTTGGTATTTACACAGCTGGGATCAGTATCAGAAACGGGGTAGGTCATTTCTTCTATACTCTCCGCCGGTCCAAGCTTATCTTGGGTTGCAGTACCAAACGGGTTCATACCACCACCCCTTCAACTGTTGATCAATTATCACAATACACCGAGAATACCTCGGAATATCAATATTTTGGGCCGATGCAGCAGCACCGCAGTGTTGGATTCTGGAGTTCAGTACGCAGGACTCTGCGAGTATAGTTGCGTATAGTAGACTCTCCGGTCGTCTACTGTAGGTTTCTGTTAACATTTTCCTTCCGTCTTATATTCTGCTTCGTGCAACCATGCATATAAGACAGAGGTTTGGGGAAATCCCCATTCTCATTCACTTTTATCTCTTCCTTACTTACCCAGCACACGTTGAGCCTCCCTCATCCGTATAGTCTACGCATATTATATCTCAGAATTCACGAACTAATCGCAAGCCCGCAACAACTGAGCGCACTCGAAACATCGTATTGGTTGACTCTTGCTCATTGAGCCCTTCTGGGACTCCTTGGGACGGTCTAACTCACTAGACACCCATATAATACAATCGTGGCCTATCCTAAGGACCGTACTCGGATGATTGATATCGCATTGTACCAAGGGGCTGAGTCTCCCGATCCGGAGGGACGGTTTAGAGGCTTTCAACTCCTTGCATCTCATCATCATATTCAAGTTACTATAGTCAACTGTATGGAACATAAACGTGTACTCGTCATCAAACGGAAGCCGTCGCAATTCGGATTGTCGGCCTACTGGTAATTTCTGTCCCAGCACAGATTTCCAAACTCTTTCGATAGCGATTCCAACTGCTCATCGGTGAGAGGTTCGGTGAGGGACTCCTCAGCAAAAGACGGGAAGTCGTCTTCCAATCCAGATACAAAATCGTTGGATTTCAACTTGTGGCGTTCCTCCGTCTCAAGGGCGCGTTGTCTTCTTCTGGCTTCTTGACCTTTTAGGGTGTCTATAATGACCATGGTATCAGACTGTGCAATGTACGAGTACAGTATCTCTCGTCTTGCAGAGAGTTATCTGATTGAGGACGAGTTATACTCACAATATGCACGAAGCTCTTCCTGCTTCTCTGTACTGAGCTCCGATATTGGGATACGTTTGCCATTTTCGTCGGTCGGACGTATGGCCGCGCCGTCTGATGGTTGAATGCAACATGATGAGCTCAAGTCGTACTAAGGTCATTCTTTGACACTGAGAAGAGAAATTCGCACCTTTACGGGGCCTACCCCTTTTTTTAGGTCCAGAAGAGCTGCCGCTAGGCTGTGCGGTCTGCTGTTGAGACTATACGCGGCGACAATCAGCGGAAAGATCATCGGTAACAACCAAGTCTTCAATGTTTGGCTGAAAGTGTCTAATGACTAGAGGGGAGCTCTGTGGGAGGATGGAGGGGAGAGGCTGATGTACTTACTACGCTGTTATACGTCGTCCCAGCTCCATAAGACTCTGCTGAGGCCCCACTAGCACCATACTGTTGAAATTCACCCGTCATCATCATCATCGATGCATCCGTCATTGGAAACCCAAAATTGTCATACAGCTGGCCAAATTCGTCGTACGATTGATTTGAATCAAACTTAAAGACGAAACGCCCATAGCATTAGCTGACAAAACCATAGTACTTCGGCCTGTGAGGTGACTTGTTGAAAGGAGATCATAGCGCACCGTTATCTGAGAAAAGTCGTAGGACTGGGATGGATCATTGCTGCCGCTCATGGTGGTCGTATGGCGAATCGGGTGCGATGCTGTACTTGACTGATATATGTAACAGTGGGTTGTCTAGGGCCTTATAAGCGGCATATAAGGGGCGGAAGACATGCAGGGCCAGTGATTATGGGAAAAATGACAAAATGACAGAGCGAACGCTGTGGTTCACATAATTTGTTCCTAATTTGTGAATACCTACTTTGATGGCATACAATCAGAGCCAGCTGTATATTGATTTCCCACTCACCAAAATCTCTCTCGTAGCCATAGTCCAGCAGCTGTGGTTGAAGAGCTGGCTTCCAATACACTCTGCTAGGTACGTGACCGCTGTATCGGCGGACTTCAGATATGATCTCTTGGAAGGTTTGCTTCCCAATAAAGGATTTCAAGCTGACATCTTCTTCTTACGAGGATTGTCTCACACATCTGGGAGAGTATCCGGACAGCTCACACCTTTTCACTCACAGCTGTCCACAGACATTGATCACGGTGAGTCACCGATCGGACCAAGAATGCTTATTTGATTCCGTTCCTATCAAACTCGAGTATGCAGTTGTTGACAGGTATATCGTATTTTGTCTTCTGCAAATCCACAAAAGAGCACAAGCATCGCCCACAACCCCCCACTCAGCTCCCCCCATCCTATATATGACCGCCCCCCTTCCCTCTCCTCCTCGTTCCCGCTCTTCCTCCACAACTTCCTCCACCGCGCCTCTTCCCACTTTCGAAGAGTACGTGCCCCCGCGACCGGCCCTCACAGGCGGACAACAAAACCTATCAGTCAAAGTAGAAGGACTTGGGAAAGATGTACAGCTAGTAGTCGATGCTAGCCATGTTGAAAGGTTAGGCTATCTAGTTTGCATATGAAGAAGAAGGACTGTGTACACGAGAACATGGAAATCTATGTGGAAAACTCTCGCGCGCCTAATTCCCTTCTTCGCCTATTTCTACCACTACAAGTTCACGCCGGGATACCACAACAAGCCACGGGTGTGGAGGCGTTACTTGGCCTGCTGGGGAGGTGAGTTCGCGATTATTGTGGAGTAGTGCGTTTTGGCTGATGGAGGTTTCAGGTCATGTCCAGATACCTGGTGTATAGGCATAGTCTAGAGCCTGAGAGGCTGAAGGGGAAAAAGATACTCGAGCTGGGCTCTGGAACAGGCCTGGTCGGCTTGGTGACGGCGATGCTAGAGCCCTCGTCCGAAATCTGGATCACTGATCAGGCGTGCGTCCTCTCCCCTACTCCAACCCTACTCTTCTCTTACCCAAATCGCTGATCTGGATGTATAGCCCTCTCCTTGAACTGATGGAGACCAACACTAGACTGAATCTGGGCGAAGAGAATGACAGTGTGCACGTCACAGAGTTCAACTGGGGCGAACCTGTCAGCAGCGATATCCCGATCGAAGACATCGAAGTCATCTTAGCTGCAGACTGCGTCTATTCTGAAGTGAGCCCTTCGCCATCCTTCCTGACCCCATTCACTGACCCCTCGCCCCTAGCCCGCCTTCCCTCTCCTCGTCCAAACCCTATGCGACGTCGCCCCCCTCGGCAAAACCATCGAAATCTTATTCTCCTACAACAAGCGACGCAAGGCCGACAAAAAGTTCTTTGCCATGCTCAAGAAGCACTTTACGAATGCGTTCGTGGAAGATGACAAGCCTGGGGAGAGGGAGAGATATGGGAGGCAAGGTGTGAGCTTGATGAGACTGACGCGGAAAAAGTAGGGGTATAGGCGCTTGGTTGTAGATGCATCTTTTGGGCTCTTTGAGCTATAGATGCTTCTGCAGAGACCTCTTTAGATTGAATGGGAGAAACAGTGGTGGGTGTCCGATGCGTGCGTAGAGCTCAGTGAAGCAAGCCATATGGGCAGACTCGAGTCCTTCCACAGAGTGGCGGACTGCGAGACACAACTCCCCTCGACTCTTTCACTTTGCCGAGCTCGACCAGTAAGTTGTCCCTTATATCTTTGTGGTTAAATTAGGGTATATAGTCAGTTGTCGGACAAGACGCAAGATGGCGAACGCGAGATTTGCCGCATACAACAGTCGTGACAATCGACGCAGACGTGTGGTGATATCTTGCTATCTGTTCTCTTCTTATTGAACTCCATTGTACGATGCAAAACCCTCAGCACCTATCTACGTCATCGTCTGGATATGCCAAGGGGTGCATTGTTGTTGGATTCTGGAGTTCAGTACGCAGGACGCTGCGAGTATAGTAGTAGACGTATACGAGTAGTCAAGTAGTTACCTAACGTAGCGGGACCAAATGCCCAATGTGGCACGGGAAGGTTCAGGGACTCGCGGCGCAGCGGGGCTGCAGCGGGGTATATTGTGAGGCCTGTTGTGCTTTCTCATGCTTCTTCATCTTACCAGGTGATAGGAGCTGAAGACTGTCCAAAAATATTCAATATGTTCCATGAAACCTATAAAACCTTACAACAGCGGGAGCTACTACCAGGCTACTACACATCCTCTCGCCGGGCGCAAACAAACCAAACTCCGCACTCAATCCGCACTACTGGTCTTCGTCCACACCGATCTCGGTAGTTTTGAACTTTCGAGTGGAGGTACCGCGTCGGAACAAGAGGTCTATCTCTCGGTATGATCGTCCCTTCATTTCAGGCAAACAGAAAAAGGCGATGACAAAGCAGATGAGACCGGTTGCTCCCCAAACGTAACCGCATTTGCCGCCGACTACGGAGTGGAGTCAGCGACGACGTTTTCCCATGAATTTAGTATCACAAATACCCACGATTGCCTCCCGTGGGGTTGAGCATGTACGAAGCCACTGATAGCCATTGCTGATTAGCTCATTCACCGTGATATTCCAAATGTGACTCACAGAAGATGCATGGAATCTCTATGATATAGTAAGAGGCCCGACCGATACCAGTTGTCAGAGGCCGCAGGCGGATAGCAGAGGTCTCTCCGATATACACCCACGACACAGGCGCAACGGCAAAGGTGAACAAGACGGAGATGATCAGGCCCAGACTAGCCTGGGCGTATTGTGCCGAGTGCGACGAGCCGATCGACCCAGCGATACCCAGGGCTATGAGCAGTATTGTATTGACGGCGGAACCCCACAGATAGAGAGTGCGTCGACCGAAGTAGGTGGTGAGGACCCATGATGCCATGACAAAGACCATCTGCAGTGCCGAGGTGATGAGACCCAAAGCAAAGGCAGTGTCGGTTGTCATACCAGCCTCTGTGTCTGTTCTCAGCCTAGTCGCAAGTCGGCACAGACACTACTCACGTTCGAAAAAGTAAACGGCTTGATTCGCGATCAAGTTGCCAGTAAGGTTTTGAGCCGCGTAGACAAAGCAAACAATCAACGTCCTCCGGAAATCGCTGCCTCTGAACAGTTCGATGTAGCTTGGCGCCGTAGCGGACTGTTCCATCTCGACAACTCGTCGCATCATGGCAACACTCTCCGCTGCGTTGAGCTTCGCCTTGGTACCGAGACGCTCAATCGACCGTGCAGCCCGATCGTAATGACCCTTGCGCACAAGCCACCAGGGTGATTCGGGGGCAAGAAAGATGAGAATGGCGAGGGGTGTTGGGAACAGCCATTGTAAAGCGATAGGTAGTCTGTGCGCCATGATCAGTCAATGTCGGTGGCGAAGTAATGATCCACTCACTTGTGTGCCATTGTGTCCATCCGCTTGTTATAGACATATGTGACCGCCCCAACAATGATAGCTCCGATAGCCCAGAACATTTGCAGCATCTGCGTACACGGAGCACGGAGTCGCAGAGGGACAATCTCGCTACAATAGGCAGGTGCATTGGCGATGAAGATGCCCCAAGGAATGCCCTCGAGCAGTTGAGCAGCGAAAAATACGGGGAGCGAGTCGCCAAAGAACATGATGAAGATGAAGCCGTTCAAAACCATGAGCCCTGAGAATGTGGCCCAACGGTATCCAATACGACTGGTGAGCGGCCCAGCAAGGAAGACACCGATCAAAGCGCCGAGCTGACCAGACATTTGCAGCGCTGATTGCCATTTGGTCGCGATCACATAAGCGCCGGTCGAGTCCATGATACCGTATCGAGTTTTGAATTCCGACATGGCGATGAAATTGCCGATCAAGAAGACATCGTAGGCCTCCATGACCTGTCGGCAAGCGTCAGTAAGCTTACTCGACAAGGTTATGAGCACAACAACGTACGATGCAAAACGACATGATGAAAGCCCAAAAGCAAGCCATAGGGTATGCCCTGACAGCCTCCAAAACCGTCATGGCATGCTCTGCATTTTCGGCCTCCATCGCCCCTGCTTTGTAGTCCACGCCTCCGGCCTTTTCAATATGCTCAACATCTCCTTCTGCCTTGGCAGTATCGTTGTATGGGACATCTCCTTCTGCCTTGGCGGTATCGTTGTATGGGGTGGTCTGAACGATCTGACCGCTCATGATGGGAGCGATTTGATGTGTAAAATGTGAGGGATGAAGAAGATATGGCCCGTGGGGCTGCCGAGTATATATGAGTACGTTCCCTCATGACCCATGACCCATGCATGGGGCTTCGGCAAGTCATCATGTGACCAAACACGAAAGTGTTCAATCACGGAGGGAAATTGCCCCGTCGGGGCATCATCATCTGACGATTCTTCGTTAGGATTTGCGGCTTCCAAGCGGGCCGCTTGAGACATCAGACCACGCGTGGTACACCTCTCAAATTGCGCTTGAAATGTGCCATAAAGCAGACTTCAATTTGACTGTATTCCGGTGCCTGAGAATGAGAGTGTAAGAGTTCAGTGAAGCAAGCCATATTGACAGACTCGAGTCCTTTCACAGAGTGGCCGACTGCGAGACACAACTCCCCTCGACTCTCTCACTTCGCCGAGCTCGACCAATATTTGTCCCTTATATCTTTGTGGTTAAATCAGGGTATCTACTCAGTTGTCGGACAAGACGCAAGATGGAGAACGCGAGATCTGCCGCATACAACAGTCGTTACAATCGACGCAGACGTGTGGTGATATCTTGCTACCTGTTCTCTTCTCATTGAACTCCATTGCCCGATGCAAAACCCTCAGCACCTATCTACGCCATCGTCCGGATATGCCAAGGGGTGCATTGTCGATTCACTTTACAGGCGTCTCGGGCACAAACATCGCCCTCGCCCTCCCACCCCCCACCTCCCCCGTCCCCTCCCCCGTCCCCTCACCCATATCCTCCTCATCAGTCATAACCATCAACCCCCCCAACCCCTCCCCCGACACCTCCTCCTCAAGAACCCCCTCCCCCAAACTCCCATACGCCCACTCCCCCCTCATCCTACCCCCTCCAACAACTGGCGTCTCCGCTACAAACTCTTTCCTCACACTCCTCTGCCCATCCCTGTCTCTATCCCTGTCTAAAGACGTGGGCTCTTCTTGGATGGGCGTAGGGTGCCAAGCGAATGTCTGGGATTGATGTTTGGGTTTCGAAGGTGTCGCCATGATGAGCGTATCTGCCTCTTGCTGCGCTGCGAAAGAGAGGGAAGAGGAGGAAGTAGATGATAAAAAGTGTTTTGGTCGGAAAGGGTTGGAAGAAGAGGATGTTTTGCGGCCCATGAGGCCTCTTTGGCCCAGCTGGGATTGTGACTCGCGGCCTTGGCTGTCCGCCGCTGGGGCCGAAGCATCACCAGGAGGAGCAGAAGGTGCGAGCTTCTTACTTCCTGCTCGCCGTAAGCCGACTTGGCGCCCTTGGATGTTCATCATCTCCTTCCCCTTTCCGCTCGCCGTCCTGGCCAGCGGCTTCTTGCCCAAGCCGCCGATCGTACTAGAAGAGGCCACGGGGAGCGGCACAGACGGGTCAATTGAGACAGACCGCGAACGACGGAACTGCCCCTGCCCTTGACTCTGACTCTGAGACTCCGTCCTCGAAAACGTCCTCACAAAACTCCTCTCAGACCCCACAGACACTTCCGACCCCGTCCTCGAGGGCGCCCTCGACCCCGCCGCGGGCTGTCGCTCTCTCTTCTCGGGCCGACCTCTTTCTGTATCCTGCACCGGCGCCGGCGGGAGGAGCGCGGAAGGAGCACGGGAGAGGGAGCTGGAGGTGGATGAGGGGTAGACTTGACCGTCTGCGGAGCCGAGGGCGCGGGTGAGTTTTGGTTTGCGGGACTTTGCGCCGCCGCCGGATGCGACTTCAGCAGAGCTGGTCTTTGGAGGGAAGAGGGTAGCGGGAGCGGGGGTACCGAATGTCTTTTCGTGATAGGATTGCAAGATGGCAGGGTGGGATTTCAGATAGCTAAACACATATGTCAGTGAAAGGTGTTGAAGAAGTCAGAGAACTGACAATGGCACAAGGACATCATCCCAAAACGCCCTCAACATCAACTCCAAACCATTCTCTTCCTTCTCCTTCCCCTTTACAGACTTTGCACCACCACCCGAAGCATTTCCAGACATCCCAGTGAGGTTGTCCAAATCCAAGTCAAGGTCCAGACCTGAGAGAGCTTGCCAGATGCTTATCCGATCGAGCAACAAGTCTGTGGCTGTATCGGGCGAAGAGGTTGGTGAAACGTTGGACGTGCGGGAACGTTTGCGTTTCTTTAATTTGCCTTCTACCAGTGGTGGAGACAACGGACGAGGGGTATGCTGAGTGTACGACAAGAGTATCATGAGTTGTATCAAAGTCCTGATAGTGGTTAGCTCGATGCTTGCGAATGTAGAGATGACATACTCTCGCTTTTCGAGCTGATCGGCGACAGTCTTCTGAGCAGGCATCTCTCCACTGTCTGCAATAGCCCTGCACTCCAGCCTGAACGCCATCCCAGCTCGGATCACCGCCAGCTCTTCCACCGTCAAATCCTTGCGCGTCTGATCCGCAGATGTACTGGTGGAGATCTCGGGCAGTATGGTATTACGATGTCGGCTCTCGATAGACGGGAGAGAGATCATAAGAGGGCTCAGAGCATCTGCTATGGCATGGGGAGGTATTCGGGCGATGTCTTGTGCAAAAGCATGCAGAGGGGCGAGACCCTAAACAACGTGAGTTTGCTTTCTTGTCCCCGAGCGAAATACTTGCGTCGGGTAGAAAGAGCGTCTCAAGGTATCTCCGTCTCACAAACAGGTCTACCGGTTCTTGAGAGTATGTACTAGGTCCACTGCAAAGCCTGTCAGCGTCGATACGGAGCACTCGAGTATTGCACTCACGCGACGGGAAAGGGCCAATGAGGGGCATTGATCGGCTTGGTGGACTTTGGGAGTGGGCAGGATAGGTCGAAAGGGTAGGGAAGGGGAGTTATGAGGGCCATCCTCAGTCTCTTGGTTCTAGAGAACCAAATAGTGTTTAATAGCATGCGAGAGTTCATACAGATCATGACGAAAACGCGTCGCGTCAAACAGTTAGGCACTCCCACTGATATACGCGTCGAAATAGGCATGCGCGACCATACCCCTTGTATGCACCTGTGACGAAGCATTGCATATACGTATACGCGATGACGATTGATAGTTGGATATACTTGTTAGATAAAGATCTGAAATATCTATGTTGAAAGACGATACAAATGCTGCTCAAAACCCCATTCTTTCCCCTATTATTCTTCTTCCAACTCCCTGTATTTGTACACCTCTTCTCCTTAGCACCCCCGACCCCCCGCTCAAGCGTCGAGCAAGAACTTCCAAAGCGCATCCTCCTTCTTATAATCATGATGAATCAAACTGACCAACCACCACTCCTCACTGACGCCCTCCAACAACTTTCTCGCCGCCGACTGTCGCGGGTAAAGTTCCGCCCACTCTGTCCAGATATCGAACGCTTCTTCTTTCCAAGCGAGGAAGGATTCTTGTTCGATGATGGTTGATTGGACGATCTCTTGCCCTGGAAAGACACCCCAGGTGACGGCGTTGACGGCGGAAGGATCTGTGCTGGTCTTAAAGTCGCCCTGTCGTCTGCGTTAGTACACAACGAAGAACGATGTAGGAGATACGCACCTTTTTGTTGGAAGCATAGAGGGTGATCATACTCTTCCCCAACTCATCCACCTTCCTCACAAGCCCCTCCACCTCCTCCGGCCTCACAAAAAACTCTACAAACGCCTTCTGAAACACATACCCCCCTCTCGGCCCCCAGCCAACCACACTATCCTCGCTCTTCGCCGCATCCACCGCCGGCTGTGACCCCACCGTCCAAAAGCACTTGTCGGCAGAATTGAGCTTGAGCAAGTGCGGTAGGATAGTCTGCGATTCCGGGGAGAGCGGTAAATCGCAGAACGGTGTCGTCGGCGTCGCTGGGCTGTTTTGGAGGTACGACGTAAAGAGGGTGGACAGGTCGGATAAGGTGGTGGGGACGCCCCATTCTTTGAGAGCTTGGGCAGCGGTGATTTTTAGACCGCTTCCCCAACCGTCAATCTCACCGTAAGCAGGCGAACGCACATCGGTGAATCGACCGTTGGGGAATTCGTCCCAGCTGTCTTCGCCTGTGGCCCCAGGGCCGGAGGGGGCGCCTGTAGCAGTAGAGTGTGTTTGGGATTTTGGAGGGAGCACGGAAGTGAGGCCGAGTTGGGCGAGGTGGGATGCGTCGGAGGGCGAGATGGAGAGGGATGCAGAGTTGGAGTATGACCGGGTCTTGCCGTTGATCGGGATACCACTGGGGCGGGCATCCTCGTCCGACTCGATAAACCTATTCCGGTCAAGACTGCTGACACTGTCCCGCTGATCCCTCTCCACCCAGTCCAGGTTGTCCAAAATCGTCCGTACACTCTTCTCCAAGTTCAAGGTGCAAAAGTGGACACCGTGGATCTCGCCAGAGTCGAGAATCTGCTTGACCATCTTTGTGGCGAGCGTTGCGCCGTACTGCTTGACGGCGGCGTCGTCAGAGGAGATGGGCTGGAGATCGGAGGTGATGCTGGAGGGGACGGGGCATTTGGTGAGGTTGACAAGACGGCGGAAAGAGCCGAAAGATTGGATGGGCATGATACCAGGGATAATGGTCTGCTTGATACCTACATCTTCGTCAGCCAGGGCACCGCCAAATGATTTCCAAGCCCACCTTGAGCCCGACACTCCTTCACCCACGCCAAAAACCCATCCACATCATAAAACAGCTGCGTCACAATAAAGTCTGCCCCCGCATCACACTTGACCTTCAACCACTTCATCTCATCCTCATCCGTCTCCGAATCCGGATGCGCCGTGGGGTAACCGGCAACACCAATGCAAAAATAGGCTCCGTGCTCCGCCCGGATGTACCGCACGAGGTCGTCTGCGTGTTGGAAAAAGTCGGGGACGTTGGGGGTGACGGCGTATTCTTCAGATCTGGGGGGGTCGCCTCGGAGGGCGAGGATATTCTGGATGCCCAGGTCTTTACATTTCTACACATACTGTCAGCTGTGTCTTTATCGTGCATCTTGAAAACGCACCTGCAGGGCCAAATCGACCTTTTCCTTGGCCATATTCGTGCACGTCAAATGCAGCACCACCTCCACCCCCATCTTGACCACCTGCTCTGCCAGTTCCAGACTCTTCTCCGCTGTAGACCCGCCAGCACCCCATGTGATGGACACGGCGAGCGGGCGCTGGAGGGGCGCGGAGGTGAGACGGCAGATTCGTTCGAGGAGGTTGACGAGACCGGCGTCGGTGCGCGGGGGGAAGAACTCGTAGTTGTGGAAGGGGCCGTCGTGGGCGGCGATGAGGCTCGTGAGGGGGGGCATGGTGGACGGGTGGGTATAGGGAGAGGGAGAAGCGAGTCGAGATGAAAGAGGGCATGGTCGGGAGTTAATAACCTGTAAATACCTGAATTACAGTATAATTCCACCACATCATTCATGGTCATATATGAAACGATTATTAGAAATGAAACTAAACAGACACCACGTGGTTTTGATTATCACACGTTGGGGTATCCCACTTGTTCTATAAGAGATCGCCTCCTCTACGTCTCGCAACATCCTTATCTCCTCTGCCACTTCAAGAACCTCGCAGCGACCAACAGCACCAAGATGTTGAACACGACATAACAGATAAAGATACCAAAGTCTCTCCACCTCGTGCCAAACTCGATCTCGAGAGGCGTAAAGAAGGCTTCACCCGTTCGGTATTGGCAGAACTGACAGTCGCCGGTAGAGTCCGGGTTGTTGAGGTATCCGCCGACGGCGGTGGCGTAGGCGCCTGCGTAATCGGAACAGGTCTGACCCGAAGGAGCAGCTAGCAGAGAGTCAGTATTTATAAATGATCGGATTGAGTGAGACTCACGGAAGACGTTGTACTCGTCGTCCCTGCAAACAACCTCCACACCCTGCAAACCAGTGGAAACAAGACCACTGATAAGACGGGTAAAGGGGTCGAGGGGGTACATCCAGCTTCGCCAGAAGTAAGGCAACGTAGGAGGAGGAGCGGTGACACCACAGAAGAGGGAGAAGAGAACGAGGAGGAAGGGGTTGAAGAGGGCAGCAATGAGGATGGTGGGCGAGAGGGCGGCGACGGCTTGACCGAGGGTAACGGCGTAGACTTCGGTGACGAGGATCATCAGGAAGAAGTAGCCGGCTCGGGAAGAAGCGTAGGGGAACCCAACACCATAGTAGATCAAGAGGAAGAAGCAGACGGAACAGATCAGAGAGTACGCTGTGTGGATGTCAGTATGTTTCGGCTAGAAGAGGCAGGACGTACGCATTTCAGCGAGCAACTGAGTCAAAGCGAATACAGTAGAAGAGTACATCTTGGAGCTCGCCTCTCGCTACAGGACTGTCAGCTTTGCACATTACCACTCAACTGATAGACTCACGTTGAAAGTCATCCTACTCATGATGTACTGAGGTTCGATTTGAGCCAAAATCAACGCAGGCAAGACGGTAGCGAAGAAGATGGTAAAGACTCGGTACTGGAGAGACCTGAGAGAGTTGTCGAGCTGGAGGAAAGTGAGGGTAACAACGAGACCAATGGCAAGGTGCGCAAAGAGACGAGTCCATTGGTAGTCGGCGTTTCTCCAGAGAGCGGCGTTGGCTGGTTCACAGGTCAGCAACACTCCCACTTGATGCGATAGAAGACTCACTCCTCTCCAAGACGATTTTGAGCTGGAACATGAAGCTAGTAGCTACAAGCCGGTCAGCACCGTCACGACTGAACTGAAAACTTGTGACGTACCATATTCAGACGCATTGGCATTCTCCTCGACGGGCTGGGCCAAAGCCTGCTCCTTGAGCGCAATAATCTCCTGCTTGACATTCGAGAACTCGGGCGAGTTCCTCCACTTTTCTCCCCAATCACCTCCAATCCTCTTCCTAGATCCAGCACCAATAACCTCAAGCATATACTCGGCAGGGTTGACATTGCTCGGCACGGGCGCACCGTTTCGCTCGAGATAGTCGATAAGCACCCTCGAGTCGGGTCCAATATCGCCAAAGTAGACACATTCACCACCTCGCTGCAGCAAGAGCAGTCGGTCAAAGGACTGGAAGAGGAGAGCGTTGGGCTGGTGGATGGTACAGAGAATCTTTTGGCCGGCGGCACAGAGTTTCTTGAGGAATCGGACAATGTTGTAGGCGCTTTGACCGTCGAGACCGGAAGTGGGCTCGTCCAAGAACAAGAGAAGCTCGGGCTTGGCAGCGAGCTCGACACCGATAGTGACTCGCTTTCGGGCTACCATTATGTCAGCTTGATTCTTGGACTGCTATCAGGGAGGCTCACCTTCGACAGAAAGACCGTAACCGGGGAAACCGATCATCGCATCGGCCAAGTCTTGCAACTCGAGCAACTCGAGGATATCCTCCACATAGTCGTCCTTTTCTTGCTTGGCGACGTGCTCGGGTTGACGGAGGTAGGCAGAGTATTGCAAGGCTTCTCGCACAGTAGTGGTCCACTCATGAGTATCCTGCTGTTCGGCATAGGCACATCCTCGCTGGAAGTCTTAAGAGCCATCAGCCCCCATTTCCCGCACTTCTACTGAACTTACCGGTGCCAATAGGTCGCCCATTCATCAAGATATCACCCCCAACCACACCAATGTTCTTCCTCGCAGCAAGCACATCCAGCAACGTCGTCTTACCCGCACCAGAAGCACCCATCAAAGCCGTCAACGTTCCCGGCTTGACATAGCCGTAAATGTCGTTCAACAATTGACGCTGACCACCGGGGACGGGGACGGTATAGTTGAGGCCTTCCCAGGTGAAGGGTTCGGGGCGCATCTTGAGTTCGGAAAGGTCTTGGTCGAGTTCACCGGCGCGGAAGGCTTCACGCCTATCGGCGAGACGCTCGTTCTTGGCCTTGAGGTCCTTGTCTTCCTTCTTGAAGACGTTGACGGAGAAGTGCTTGGCCTGTGCAACATATCAGCTCATGCCTCACAATATGACGGAAAAGAACTTACACCCTGTTCGAGGTATTCAATGAAGAACATCTGCAAGAACATAAAGAACACAAAGAAACCGCAGAGGATACCAAAGTTCCTCCAGATGTGAGACTTGTAGTATTCGTAACCGACAGCCATGTAGGCGCTACCGCTGACGTTGGGGTCACCGGGAGTACTACCAGAGATGGAACACATCTGGTTGGGGCCCAGAGTATCGCTATTCAGACGTTAGCTATGCCTTCATCGAGGACATTGAGGAGAGGCTACTCACGGATAACCAGTCACGCCGAGAGAAGGAATATTCCTCGGGATAGTATAACTGTCGTCACAAACCAGCGTAATCCTGGAGAACTCGTTGGCAAAGATGGCTTCGTATCCATAAGACAACGGGTTCAAGTCTATACTCTCGTGTCAGCAGATGGTCGACTGAATGATCTCGCGGGTAGACTTACAGAAGATCCAGAACAACCACCTCTTCATCTCCTGCACGGGAATCATATAACCAGTGTACGTGACCATAAACGAGATCAGTACAGAGGCCAGACGAGCCGCTACGTTATAGTCGGACGTCGCCACACCGAGGGTTCGGAAGAATGACGCTACATTCCATCAGCTCTATGCCTATCCAAGAAGGAAAAGGTGACATACACATGACCATGAACGTAAGGAAGATGAACAAGAAGAATATGAAGAATGCTCCGCCCGACGAGTAGAGACCGCCCATAAAGTAGAGGATGATGGAGAAGATGAAGATGAGCGAAGCGTTATAAGGGATATCGGCCATGACTGACGCTACCGCCTGAAATAGTTGTCAGCCTTTCCTCTCTTGCTAGTGACGAGGGAACTTACAAAAGCAGCAGGCCTGTAGAACCGGTACTCATTCTGCCTGTACAAGACACTTCGACCCAACATCTGGGAGGGAAGTTCAGAGAAAGAGGTAAGAGCGTTGAACAAAAGACCCAAGAAAAGCAGACCACCTCGCGTGAAGGCGCCGGAGGCAGACTGGGGAAGACGGAAGTAGACAGAACCGACGATGAGGGCGATGATCTGTTTCAAAGTCAGCGTTTGCATTCTGGCAAAGAAGGCAAAAACGACATACAATAGAAGTAGCGTAACCGGTAGAGATACCAAAAGTATCCTGGAACTTGAGCCTGATCTGTCTCTTGAACAAGATCCAAATCTGGGTCGCAAACGAGACCGTGAACGGGCTCTTCTTCCCCACACCCTTGTGCTTCTGCTCCATCACCGCCTGCCTGAAATCCTCTTGCGCAGTAGCATCCCTCTTGATCAAAGCGGCGTACTCTTCCTTTTCCTGCGTCACACGGGCGCAGATGGCGGATTCACGGTAGGCGGCACCCATCTCTTCGGGGGTGGCAGGGACGTTTGAGGCGTCGCGGCCGTCGGCGAAGCGGCGTTCATTGACGTCGGTACAGCCGGAGAGGTAGTCGGCGGTGGTTTGACGGGGAAGGTCCTGTCACCTATCAGCGCCTGATCTTGGTACAAGTAGAGATACTCACTCGGTAACCGAGGCCAATCATGTACTGCCTAGCCTCCTTGGCGGGACCAAAGTACGCCACATGCCCCTCGTTCAAGACCAAAACCTTGTCGAACTGATCATAGATACCTTCACCAGCTTGGTATAGAGATACAAAGGTGGTCTGGTTCATGATATCGGTAAGAAGACGGAGAGACTTGGCATAGTCGAGAGCGGTGGAGGCGTCGAGACCACGGGTAGAGTTATCCCAGGAGCACACGGCAGCGCCGGAGCAGAACATTTCGGCGATGGAAACTCGCTTACGTTCACCACCAGAGACACCTCGGACGAAGGCGTTACCGACCTGCTCAAGTTAGCTTCATCCCCAATGAGAAGAAGGAACGTACGATGGTGTTGGCGGTGTGCTTGATGTTGAGCATGGACAAGAGCAAGTCGAGGAGGTCTTCCTGAAACTGGGCGGGGGTGACGCCAGGGATCTTCTTGCGGGGAGTCTTCATGGCGAGGGCGAAGCGAATGGTCTGGGCGACGGTAAGAGTGGGGAGATGGTCGTCGTCTTCTTGGTTGTAAACAACCTCACTACATAGGCGTCAGCAAGATAAGGAGAGATAAGCTGAAAACACTTACCCGCCGTATAGCTTCCTCATCTCCTTCCACGGCACACCAGCATACTCGACATCACCCTTGACCTCCATAAAGCCCGCTCGCTGGTTGGTGATAGTCTTCAAAAAGGTCGTACAACCAGCTTCGGGTCGACCGAGCACAAGACACATCTCGCCGGGCTTGAGCAAACCGGAAGTGGGGTGGATGATGGTCTTGGGCTTGGGGGCGAATGGGTTGTGGCCGACGGCACCGAGAAGCTTAATGACGGGCATCATGAACTGCTCCATGATGGCGGACGAAAAGTTTCGAATGTTGATCTTCATACCACCGGCGCCAATGACTTCGAGGTCGTCCCAAACAACACCGACGGCTTTGCGCTTGATACCAGCCTCGTCCTGGTTCTCCCGGTTGGATCGAAGGACATCGGCGAGATGGAATTCGCCCTCTTCTTCCTTTTGCTTCTCGGCCTCGTCGGCCGTATGACGGGAAGTGACCCGATCGCTGCGCGAAAAGGTGGATTGGAGAGACTGTCGGGTGGTGTGTCGCGCGAGCTCGTTTGAGTGTTGCGAGATGGACGAGTACTTGCGGTCAAGGGCTGCAAACTCGTGTTTACCACGCGAGACAGAGACGTGGTGGGGCTCGAGCTCGGCCACGACATCCTCGTTTGAGTTGGACGTAAGACGCTTGGCCTTGCCGTTGGAGGAGCCGGCCTTTTCGTCGATCTCCTCCCCGGCGAGCGTGTTGCCGCCTGAGGATCGCTTGTCGTCGAGGGTGGGGGTCTCTGAGGTGGAGGGGGGAGGGCCAGAGGTGACGTGGGAGGTGTCGCCGCCGGTAGTGGCCATGGTGGTGGCGGTGAGGGGTGCGCCGAGGTTGACGGTATCCCCTGGGACGCCAGTAGCGGACATGGTGGGGGTAGCGCTGGGCTGTTGCCTGTGGGCGTGGGGGGCGAGAGGAGGGAAGAAGAAAGAAGAAAGAAGGAAGAAGGGTGGGGCGGGAGAGATGCAAACGAGAGATGAGTCAGCTTTTCTCTTTTGTAGGCTCCATGTATCGAACGAGGCCGATGGGCATCTTGTTTTCAAATTTGTTCTCGGCCTTCGGTCTGGTAATCTGGTTGGCAAGAAAGCTAGTACATACTGCCTGCACAGCTCCACGCTGCCAAGCCTTCCTCGCGCTCCTAAGGGGGGACCCTTGGAGGTAACCATGTTGCAGAAATACCCCTTCCGGAGCCGGGTGCGCGCGTTTTTCGAGTAAACAGCGCATAAACAGACGCCTTACCGCGGAACCCGCGATAACAGGGCCAAGCTAATGATTATCTGATCCCGCTAATGGCCATTTGCAAGATACGTAGCGAAGCCCGGGCTGCTTCTGTGACGGTTCCGTGGCCGTCGGTCGTTGTCTTGTTGATTATAAATGGGCGGGTCCAGAAAGGATGCATAATTGTGTGGTGTTTCGGCTGCGTCAGGAGCGAGAGGGGATCGCTTGTGTGTCCTGAGCAGTCTGAGAGTGGTTGGGGAGGACGAGAAGGGGTGTGCAAAGTGTTCTACGTCTGGCGATAGATGGCGGGTATGTAGTGGTGGATTCCCCGTGCTCGCGCTAGCTCGTTTTTGCCCATAGGCTTTATCTGGTCTTATCTTATATCTTAATAGAGGGGATGTTGACCTTGGCCGCTCACACGCATTGTCCGGTATACAACACCACATGTCCTTCGAGTGCCTCCCCGTGCGTAGTCGTCACACGTTCCAATTTGAGCCTGAGGTGAAGCGTACGTAGCGTAAAGTGGCAGAGCAGCGAATCATAACAGGGCGATTCAAGTGGGAAGGAAGATGGCGGACAAGAGAAGTATACTCTTTGCATGTCCACACATATATATAGCAGCTTCAGCACGCTCCCCCTGGATCTGGGCTCTGGGCTTCCTGTCTCCGGGAGGCGCTAAAGGTTGTATGATCGTGATCACGAATCGATCCAAACGTTCAAGGACGCAAAACAAGTCGCGTCGCCGCCACTGATCTTCATCGTTCAACATCAGATCGGCTCTTCGACTTTACTCATCGAGTCACAATCTGATGAATGCATATGACAGTAGACATCTATTTTGATATGCTTCTTGTTCCCCTTTGTATAGGTAATGGGCGGTAAATTTATGCGCTCATTTCATAATGAGAGCCACCTTCCCCTGCTTGACCTGTCGAGCTGCCCTCTCCGCCCTGGACCCTGGAAGCAGTCCGATTTCAGTAGGAAGGCCACCACAGAGAAGGAGGAGTCAAAGATTCGTGATGATCGTCAGTGACAATCTGCCAAAGCCGTACAGAGTAGTACGTACTTCACTCTGAACGAGCCGGTAGCACTCGCCCTTTCCTCCGTCAATGAGATCAATACCCTGGGAGGTAAGATAATTACTCTCTTCTTGGGTGACACTCATTGTGGTGATTATCTCAACTTCTTTTTCCGTCTGCTACTTAGTAGTCGTCTCTTTGAAGTTGGTAAATCTGGAACAAAGTACGCTGATAGTCGTATCATGACACTCTTATACATTTCGAAGAGCTGGCATTGAAACAGAGGAGATATCTCGGCGATTCTCATGCACAATGGGATTGCGCCGAGTCCTAGATCTCACATCATATGTAAACAGATCCCATGCAAATGATTTGAAATGATTATGACCTTTTTTGTATTCTCCTGGCGCCGATAGTCTCCTCAATCCCCCTTACAAGTATCTATGACCATAAGGCTATCATAAACTGTATAGTAGCAAACAGTATTCGCTCACTTTTACCCTCGTTCTACTCTATTAGCCGTCCGATTCGCACAACGATCCTTTTTGCAACAACGTATGAACAGCATCAGGGTAGCATACAAATACATACTATGGCCACGCATGTCCACATCATGAGCCCTGCAACAACCTAAGCGCCAAAGCCTCCTCATCCTCCATATCTCCCTCATCACTATCCTCATCTCTCTTCGCAGACATCTTCTGCTTCTTGGTTCGCCGTTCGGGGGATGGTGATCTCGATGGTGAGCCATAGGAACCGCCCTCAGCATCACTGCCGTCTTCGCTCCCACCGCCAATGTAAGCAAGCGACTCGCCGGCTTCGATAGCACGCAACTACACACCGTATCAGCAATTACTCTCACCGCATTCGAGATAGATACTTACCTCCTTCTCCCTATCCTTCCTCTTCCTCTTCAACTCCTGCTTCTTCCCTCTCGCCACCTCCTTATCAATCTTGTCTTGTATCCTCATAATCTCCCTCTCCTTCTCCAAGAACGCCTTCCTCCTCTCCTCATTACTCTCCTCCTGCTCCACCTCTTTCCCAGACTTGTAGAAGTCACGCGCCTCGCCAGTCTCTTCATCAAAGATGACCTTCTCCGGCGCCGGCCTGTCTTTCAAGAGCGCCTTCCTCGACGTGGCCGCCTTGAGCTTTCGCTTGGACAGATCTTCAGACGAGATGAGCGGTTTCTTCAGTTCAGCCTTGAGCGCTTCCGTATCCACATCATCGCCTTCGTCCCCGGAAAGCTGGTGGTCTTTTCGGGCGAGGGTGAAGACGTCGTCGTTGTCGTCGTCTTCGGTGGAGATGAGGGCGGTGTAGTGAGGGGTGAGGATGTCTTGGTTTTTGCGTTCAAACATGCGGTCGTATTTGGTTCGGATGGCTTGGGATTTGGGCTGGCGCGGGGGGGTCAGCTCATAACTACAACTCGGAAAGAGGCGCTTACTTTGTCGGCCTCAACTTCAGACTCGCTCTCCTCATCCTCTTCACCTTCTTCCTCATCCTCACTCTCTTCATCACTCCCCACAACACCCCTCACCTCTGCATCACTCTCTTCACCTCCTTCTTCTTCCTCTTCTTCAACCTCACCCTTCTTGTCCCCGCCCATGACCTTCTCCGCCTTCTTCTGCGGGCCCAACTTGATCTGCGGTGCTCCGGGAAGACCCATAGACTCGGCGTACGCATCGGCAGGAAGTTTGTCGATTTGGAAGATGGTCTTATCTTTTTGCAGGTGGATCGATTTCATATACGAGATGAACGCCTATACCCGAGTCAGCTTGCGTTCTTTCAAGAGGGGGACGGAGGGAGAGGGACATACACGCTGACCGAGATACTTGATCTCTGGCTCCTTGAACGCAAAGTTCTGCATCGACTGCTTCAACCCACCCATCTTGCTCTCCTTGATCTTGATCTTTTTCACATCCAAAAGCTTCTCCTCCCACCTCGCCTTCATACCCTCCTCCTCGCTCGGGCACAGGAAAGTGAGCGCAGTACCAGACGACTGGTATCGCGCTGTACGCCCTACACGGTGGATGTAGGTATCGACGTCTTCGGGACAGTCGAGCTGGATGACCCAGTCGACACCGGGGAAATCGAGACCTCGGGCTGCGACGTCGGTGCATATAAGGAGCGCCGTCTTTTGGGAGGAATAGCGATGGAAGATGTCGAGTCGTGTCGGCTGTTTTTGTTTGCCGTGCAAGTGCATGAGAGGCAGACCAGGGTGCAAGCGGCGGAACGTCTCAAAGATGAACCTCACTTGCTTTCCACTCGTCGCAAATACGATCCCCTTCATCTTCAAATGACTCTTCACAAAGCCCCACAAAGCGTCGAGCTTGCGCTCGAGATTGACGACGGCGTAGAATTGCTCGAGGTTGGCGGGCACGGCGCCTTCTTCGCCGGGCTTGTTGCAGGAGATGTACATGGGTTGGTAGAGGGAGAGTTTGGCGAGGGCGGCGAGGTCGGAGGATTGGGTGGCGGAGAAGAGCATGGTTTGGCGGGAGGGGCGAGAGTTGGGGAGGGTGCTGGCGGTAAAGTGGCCAACGATGGCACGGAGCGCTGGCAGGAAACCAAGATCAAGGAGTCGGTCTGCTTCATCAAGAACTATTGATCGTCAGCTCCGAGCCATAGCCGCAAGGCAGTACTCACTAAGCACCTTAACGCCAGCAGCGTCAAATCCGACAGTACTATCCAAGTGCTGCAACAATCTCCCCGGCGTGGCGATGAGAATGTTCATCCTCCCCAACCTCTCCTGCTCTTCTTTCAAGGGCTTTCCACCGATAACAAGACCCGCCGAAAAGTTGTGGTATTTGCCGATATCCCTCAGCTGGTTAAACGTCTGCACAGCGAGTTCTCTCGTCGGCGAGATGACCACCGCGCCGAGACCGTCCATGGGACCCCACTTTTCGAGGTATAACCGTTCCAACATGGGAATCAAGAAGGCAAGCGTCTTGCCTGAACCTGTCTTGGCGGACCCGAGGATATCTTTGCCTTGGAGTGCTGAGGGTATGGAGAGGGATTGGATAGGGGTAGGGGTGAGGAAGTGGCTGCTTTTGAGACCTTTCTGGGTTTTGTCGGATAGGGGCAGCTCGGTGAACTGTGTGATCTCTGAAGGTGGCTCCTGCATGGTGGTCAGTATACCCCATACTCTAAGCGTCATGGTGCTCACAAAACTGTCGACCCGGCTCTTGAGTTCCTTGAGCTCATCGTTCGCCTTGTTCCTCTTGAGCTGATTCGACTTGATTTTAGGCTGGGGCTGTCTTCCCTTGCCGCCCTTGCCCTTCACTGGGACCTTGCTTGTAGAAGCCTTGTTCTCTCCAGCCATATTGTGCGCTTCCGGTACAGATTTCCGAAAAAAGTACTGTTCAAGATGTTGCGGTCTTGAAGATTTATGCCTGCGTGCCTGACGGAACCAATTTCGGAAGTGCGACCGCTGCCTGAGGCAAGCCTGAGGAAGAGGATTGGACATACTTTTGCATTTATTTCGATGTCTTGTGCATGTATCTTGTCGCGTGGAATTGCGTGACTTGCATGAGAGATAGATACATCTTTATTGAACTGACCAAAAAGATTAGCGTCTAACGACGCCCCTCTCTTCCCTCGAACGCATCTCAGCCAGCCCATCGCCGCCGATGTCCGTCGGTCTCCGATTTCTCGGTGGAGGTGACAAGACTTTAGTGATCCATCTACCTCTTCATCTATTCCTCAGCCCAAACCATGGTCAAGCCCGAGTCCGAGAGGTCCTCTGCCCGCTCAACTTCAGTCAAGAAAGACACCCACTCCATCTCCGCCCCTACTTCAACGCGATCAGGCCGGACGGTGACCATCATCGCCCTGTTTCGCAAACGGCAAGGGCAAAGGAAGGTCTACCAAGAAGGCAAAGAAGGATGATGAGGACAACGACGAGGGGCTGGCTACTGTGATTACCGGTCTGAGTGCTGATGAGAAGCAGGTTGAATGAATACCTCACGTAACGGTCCCGAACCCTTGCCGCGTCATGCGAGAGAAGGACCGGGGGATGGTTGTATTCCTGTGCCATGTGTCTGTGCTATTGTCTTCTTCTTCGCTGGCCTCCGGTGAAAGCGTTACCAAGACTTCCAAAACCAAGCCCTTCCTGCAGGTCCAGACTAGAACGTACAAACATTGTACACTGGTCATATTTAAAGCTCACTCTGCATGTTATCGCCTTGCACTTGTACCCATTCAAGAGGCTTCGCAACAGCGGGAAGAAGGAACCCGACCTCCGTCCTCGCTCGTCATCAAACACTACGCTGTTGTGTATTTTGATACCACAGCTCCCCAAATTCTTCAGACATCGCGTCCGACATCGCGTCCAACACTTGGGAGAGTGGGGGCAGGGTTTCGCCATCCACGGAAAATCGGGAATCGTTGTTGTCGTCGGGTTGTGCTGTGGACGTCGTACTTTTCTCTTTACCTTTGCTGGCTTTCTCTTCCTCCAATTTCTTTTGTTTTTTCCTTTCTCTGTATTCTCTTATTTTATCCCTGTCTACAACATTGCGAGCGTAAGCAAATTGTCCATGTCCGGACCACATGTTTGGAGGGAGGGAAGTGTGATGGACGCGCTTACTGTATTCGCGGAGCCTCCTTTGCGAGGCTGGGTCCATCTCTGAAATGGGAACACGTGTTCCGTCCGGTCTACGTGGTCGTAGAGTTCTTGAGCCTGCAAGGCGTTGTCCAAAAAGTCAGCAATCGCGTCAAACACGAAAACAAGTTGTGGAGTCAACAAGAATGATACTTAGGGGAGGTCCCAGAGGAATGCTTGCTACGGAGCTACTACCTGCTTGAGCCGTCCCCGGGAACTGTCCCCGCACAGCTTCTCATCAGCCATAGCTATGCTTTGAGAGTCGAATGAAAAGAGTATTACCATATGACTCGAGTCAGGCGACGCCCAGTATCCGGCGCTCATCGTTTGGAGAGATTGGTTGAGCTGGGGTTCTTGTCCGTATTGCGAAAACTGCTGGGAATGCTGCATCTGCCAAGGAAGAGGGATGTGTGGCCCCATATCGTCAGTTTATTTACCGCCTGTATCTTTCAAAGACCCAGGGTTCAGTCGGACGTAGTCGCCTACTATATCGGCAGAGGAGCTAGACTACGGTACAAGACAGAAGACCCAGTCTCCTGTCCCCACATCGATCTACATCATAAGATAGAGACGCACCTGTGACCAGTAAGGGTGACTGGGGTCAAACATGGGGTCGCTGTAGGAACCACCAGCACCGCTCAGGTCGCTGAAGTCTCCTCCAGAAAAGGGTTGTTGATTTTGCTGCTCGTCGCTCATGTTGATCCAATTATATTGCCTTCGAAGGGGAGTCAATGGATCAACTTTTCAGGTCATCCAAAGTCCTTATATACATCCGATGGCAGCCCCAATGCTTCAACTTTTGTGCAAAGAACTCACATCGAGGAAACGTTTTACGCCGCCCGCCCAAAACTCAGTTCTGCCTGATACACGTGGGATTCCAACGGGCACTTTTGTCTTACTTGACTGTGACGACAATCGAGTCGAAAGGACAAAGGAGGAGAAGCGACTGTATTTCAATTTGGCAGATATGCGAACGGCGAAAGGAAAGGTTACTCTTTTCATGGCCAACGACCTTTTTCCGTACTAGGGATCGATTGCGCGAATGATGGATGTGAATGACGATCGTTCTTGGCGGCAGTATCCAGGGCTCACGCAGGTGCCGTCGTCTCATTCGGGAACCAAAGTACCCATGGGAGTCTGATCTTTGATTCAGTTGATGGCTGAGATCGGTACTCTCCCATCACATAATTAATATCAAGACGCGCACGCTTGCTTCCTTCCACCTTCAAGACTGCAGTCATATATACACAATTAAAGCGCTGAGAGTCCCCAAAGAGATCAACCGATTGCACTACTTTCAATCAACAACAAGTGACAGGATGGACGACCAGGCAACGAACTATGGATCCAGCAGCGCCGGTGCTGGTTCCTTCAACGAGCTCGGGTACCGTACGACCCCAACGATCCTGCTTCGGTAGTACAGGTGCCGTCATCTTCGTTCGTTGACTGCCAAGGGGCTATGCCGACCGAGACCGACTGGTCAACTACTCTTGAACAGTAAAGTGATGTGTATAGGAATGACCCGAGGGCTTATATTAGAGGGACGTATAGGAAGCAGCCAAGTCAATATCCCGACCCCCTTGAGTTTGACGAGTCTCAGTAACCGTACCACTGACTGAACAAGAACGAGTCGAGCAGTCCGAGAGCTTTTGAGCTTTGGCGAGGATTTGGTGGGGACAGTCATCGATAAGTACGCTTCAACGAACCCAGCATGGAAAGGAGGGGAGGGAAGGGGGCATGCATCTTTTTTCTTGTCATTTGCATGGTAAAAAGTCTTTTCTGTTTGAAAACTACGAAACGATTTCCTTTTTTTTGTTCTGTATTCACACAGAGGAATGGTCTTGAAAAAAATGTTGAAAAACGAACGAAGAGTGATTTTCTGTATGTATATTTCTCCCTCCCTCCTCCCTCCTCCTCTTCCGCCCCCCTTCCTCCTTCCTCCTTCCTTCTTCCTTCTTCCCAATTTCCATCCCATCATATCCAAACACAACGCCAAAAAACGCGCGCACAAAAACGCCAAAAACGCCCACTTTACGAAGTCATATAAGTAGCCGGGTCCACCGTCTCTGGAAGTGTCGGGATCGCGACCGTAAACCGCTCTTGGATCTTTTTCAACACCTCCTGGTCGGGTTCGGTGGAGACAAACGAGATGGCGAGACCTTTGGTGCCGAATCGGCCGGCACGGCCGACTCTGTGGAGGTACGAGTCGGCGTCGAGGGGGGCGTCCTGAGGGGGTTTTTGGGGAATGTTTGGTTAGTTTGGCGTTCCGGGGGAGGGGAGAGGGGGAGGGGAGGGGCGTACATAGTTGATGACGACATTGACTCGCTCCACATCAATACCTCGACCAAAGATGTCGGTAGCGACGAGGATACGCTTCTCGAAAGCCTTGAACTGCTGGAACCTCGAGATTCTACCATTCTCATCTTTTAGCTCCCACCCCTAAATATCCGGAAAGAAGAAGAAGAAGACTAACCGCTCAGCCTGCTGCAACCCCGAATGAATACAAATACTCGGGAAATTACACTCCTGCAAAAGCCTGTCCAACTGCGTCGCCCTCTGCACACTCTTGACAAAGATGCACACTTGGTTAAACTCCAAATTGTCGAGCAGGTCGTTGAGTTTGCGGTTCTTTTCGCGTTCTTCGAGCTGGAGGTAGAATTGTTGGAGACCGTGGAGGGTGAGTTTGGTTTCGTCGTCGACGTAGATTTCGAGGGGCTGCGGGAACGGTACGTTAGCGGAGCACTAGCGGAGCACGAGCGTAGCGTAGTGCAGAGCCGGGGGGGGGGGGGGGGGGGGGGGGGGGGGGGGGGGGGGGGGGGGGGGCGAGGGAGAGCAGGGAAAAAGTGAAAAGGACTCACACTCTGCATAAACTTTTTACAAGTCGTCCTGATGTCCTTGGAAAGCGTGGCCGAAAACATCATGACCTGCTTGTGGTGCGGAGTCGCCCTAAAGATCTCTTGCACGTCTCGGCGCATGTCTGGATTTTCGAATGGGAGGGGAGCAAAAGTGGCGTTTGGAGGGAGAGGGGAGACGGCAAAGGCGAATGAAACGGTGGAGGCGAAGGCGAAGGCGAAGGAGGCGAAGGAGGAGAAGGAGGAAAAGGAAACAAGAGTAAGCGTGCGTTCCTTCATATGATTGTGATGGGGCTGAAAAGCGAATGTCCGAGCAACCGTGAACCGCCGGGCGAAGGGGGCGGAGGGGCAAAGGGGCGGAGGGGTAAAGGGGTAAAGGGGTAGAGGCCTCTCCTTGCTCAAAGGGTCGTCGGCAACAAGACCATCCTATTCCAATGCTTCCCCTTCTCGCCTCCGGCCACATGTCCTTCCCTCTTCAATGATTATCCCCGATATCCCTCCTGTCGCGCCCAAAAGCTGATGCTGGGAGCTGAGAGCTGAGAGCGGAGATTTGGGACTTGGGACTTGGGGGGGGGGGGGGGGGACAATGACGCAACCGGAATGCCCCATTGTCCTCGCCCGCCCTCGGGTTGCTCGATACAAGGTGTTTGGAGGGGGGGGGGGGACTAACCAAGTTGTTCAAGCATCTTGTCACACTCATCCAACACAAAATGCTTCACCTTGCCCGCATTCATCTTCTTCTCCCTCACCAGCGCCATCGTCCTGCCCGGGGTGCCGACGACGATATGCGGGCACTTTTCCTTATCGGCCAAGAGCTCTTGGTCGGCCGAGATGGGGGTGCCGCCGTAGAATACGCCGGTGCGGACGTTGGTCATGAATTTGGAGAAGCGGGTGAATTCATTCTTGATTTGGTAGGCGAGTTCACGGGTGTGGCAGAGGATGACGATGGATACTTCGCCGTCTACCGGTTCGCTAACCCGAGTGTTAGATGGGGTCGACGCGAAAAAAAAAGAAAAAAAGAGAGAGTATACTTGCATTTGCTGCAAGGCGGCGAGGACAAAGACGGCAGTCTTACCCATACCCGACTTGGCCTGACAGAGAACGTCTGTACCGAGGATTGCCTGGGGAATGCACTCCTGTTGCACTACACGACATCAGCGGGTGGCCCTGTCGAGCACAAGGTAGACGCACCTTCCGAGGGATGCTCGAAACCAAGGTCAGAGATGGCTCGCAGGAGCTCGGGCTTCAACAAGAAATCCCTATTCTCGCGTCAGCCGCACGTCCCCCAGTCAAACCAATCGGATGATAGGACACACCTGAACCCGGTGGAGTGGATACCGACATAGGAACCCTTCTTGTCGGCGTCCGTCTTGTCGCCGTTGGTGGCGGCGGCGGTGGGGGCGGGGGCGATGACGGCCTCCTCGGCTGCCTCGTCGTAGTCTACGAGTTCTTCTTCGTCGGGGCGGGACATGTTGGGTGATGCTGGGGGTGGTTGACGTGGATGTATGTCAACAGGAGCAGGAGAAGGGGAGGAGGAGAAGGGAGGGCGGGGTTAGCGGGGATAGGAGTGTGGCGGCCAGGGCCGGGCTGGACCCTGAAAGGCGTGGGCGTCGGATCGTTCGAGGATGTTATCGACCGTGGCCCTGCTACGCTTATTAGTTATTATTACCCCACGAGCCGGACACGCTGCCACCCCAAATTAAGAGACCGGGACCAAATACAGCGAGCATCCATCCCCCAGCCCCAGCCTCCACCGCCGCCCCGCCACCGCCCCTCTCTGTATCGACGCGTCCCTTCAAATTGTTTATTAGACGCGACGTGAGCATCCGCCGTATTGTGCCATGTTGGAATAGCTGACGTGGGCTCCAGTCTATCACGCCACATCTGCCTCCACTCTCCCCCGGTATTGCTGCCGTAGCTCGGGTCAGGTTCTAGCGGTACGCCCTCCCTCTCCCCGGGGATACAGCTGACGCTCCCGCAGTACGACGCTTGACCTCACCATGAACTACCCCCACAGCATGGACCCGAACAACATCCAAGGCGACCCCGGGCCTTCCTCCATGGCGCAACAAGCCCAAGCCCAGTACCGTCCTTCTTTCCCGCAACCACCACCGGGCGCGGCGGGACTAGGACAGGGGCAGATGAATATGGCCATGCTGCAGCAGATGGCCCAGGCGCAGGGTGTTGATCCCCAGACGCTGTTGTTGGCTATGCGGCAGCATCAGCAACAGCAGCAGCAGCTCCATCAACAGCAACAACAACAGCAGCAGCAGCAGCAGCAGCAAGCGCAAGGCGGACCGCCGGGGCAATACCAGCCCGGCCAGCCCCATTCCAACCCCGCCCAACTCGCTTTTCAACAACAACAAATCGCCCGGATACTCCAGCTCCAAGGCCGTTCTGGCCCTGGTATCCCAGGCCAAGGCGGCGCGGCAGGGGGACCAAACTCACCCGTCCGCCCGGCCCAACCGCCCGCCCACCAACACCAACACCAGCCCCCACGCTCCATGCCCCCGCCGCCCATCCCGGGTACACCCCAACACCACCCCTCCTTCCCCCCTCCGGCGGCTGAACACGGCAGCTCCCCCTCGCCGATGACGATGGGCGGGCTCACGGCGCAGCAGCAGCAACAGTTTCTAGCCCAGCGGGCGGCGTTCATGAATAGCCCCCAGTTTGGCGCTATGCAGCCGCAGCAGCAGGGGATGCTTTTGCAGCAGCAGCAGGCGCATTTTATGCGCGGGGTCATGATGCAGAATGCTCAGACTGTACAGCATGCGAGTGCGCAAGCCCAGGCTCAGGCTCAGGCTCAAGGGCAGTCGCCCTCCCAACCGCCTGGAGGAAACGGCATAATCAACATGAGTCCAGGCATACACCGCCAACCCACCCCATCCCAACACCCCACCTTGTCTTCTCTCCCCCAACATATGGCGCCCCCGCGACCCGGGTCGTCGGCATCGACCCGCCCGGCCTCGTCGTCGTCGTCCCCGCACCAGGGTTCACCCGGGATGATGCACACCCCGCCGCCGCCGCCTCCGCCTCCGGGCATGTACCACCACCAACACCCGCACCACCACACGCCCCAGCCTGTCCCTGTCCAGGCGCCGTCCCCGACGCATTCGGTGCATTCGCACCATACGCCGCAGATGGGTGCTTCGCCGATGATGAATAGCGGGGTACCCTTTCCCCAACCCCCGCCTCCGCCTCCTGCTGCTGCTTCTTCTTCTTCTTCTACTCTTTTGTCCTCTCAACCGCAGCAACAGCAAGGGTACTCGAATCCGTCTTTTCCCATCCCAAGTCAGAGTCCTTCCGGGCCGGAACAGGGTGTCTCGGCGCAGGGCGTACAACCCGGGGTGGGCCAAGGCGGACAAGGACAAGGACAAGGACAAGGGGGAGGACAAGGGGGAGGGGGGCTACCGCCCCCGCCGCAGGGGTTGTCGGGTGTGGGACTGCAGTATACGACGCAGCAGCAGCAGCAGATGGCTTCTGCTCTAGGGTTCATGAGTAAAGCTGTGCAGGCGCAACAGCAGGCGCCTGGTCCTGAGGGAGCCCGGCCCGGGTCTTCTTCTCAAACTTCTCAACCCCCCCTCTCCCACCCCCACCCCCAACCCCAACCCCACCCCCACCCCCCAACGCTCCCAAACCTAACCAACCTCACCCCGCCCAACCACCCCGATTTCCCCTTTGACGCCCGTCTCCTCGCCTACCTCCCGCACGCCACGAACCCGAGCTGGAAGGCGCAGATGCAGCAGCAGAACCCGCAGCTGGCGGCGGCGGTGCAGAGTGCGTGGGCGGTGGTGCAGAGGGGGGGGTTGAGTAGGGAGATGGGGGGGAGGATGCAGGCTGCGATGGGGGCGTTGAAGGTGGCTATGATGGGGATGCAGGGGGGGCAGGGGGGGCAGGGGCAGGGGCAGGGGGTGCAGGCTTCGCCGAACGTGTTGCAGGGGCAGGGGCAGGGGCAGTTGAAGGAATCGCCAAACGCTGCTACACAACCTACTGTTGCCCTGCCGTCGCCAGCGCTCAAGAAGGCAAGATTGAGCGGGGTGTCGGACAAGGCTAGCGGCGCACGGGATAGGGATAGGGATAGGGATCGGACGCCGTCGATGAGTGGAAGTGGGAGGGGGTCTGTCCCCCCGGCGGGAGAATCGCCGGCGGGAGGGCCGCAAGGGGGTATGCCGCCGCCTTCGTTTATACCGAGTCATTCGGGAAAGGAGAAGGACAAGGAGAAGGAGACGACGCCGGGTGAGGATGCGCCGGCAGCACCAGCACCAGCACCGGCAGCGGCACCAGCAGCGGCAAGGAAACAGTCCGGGACGGGCATACCGAAAGAATGGGAATCCCACATCCCGCGCGACGTGCCCATCACCCGTATCATCCCCATCCCCATCCCTCCCTCCGCCCCGCACTTCCAAACCGCCCTCCCGCCTCTGTCCCCCGAACAGATCGACCACGTCCGAGACTGGATCGACCGCGATGTGGCATACATTGAGGGAGAGAAGAAGCGACATCCAAAGACGCTGGCAAAGATGAAGAGGTGGGCGGAGGAGAATGACAAGGCGACGGAATGGTGGATGTTGAGAAAGGGAGAGGCGAGGGTGATGCCGCAGAATAGACTGAGGATTCTTTGGCCGGCGGATAAGGATCGGTTGAGGAGTCAAAAGAGTCATAGGGGGAGGAAGCAGGTCAAATTGTGGGATACTCTTACAGCGGTTGGGGGTATAGCTGACGGGGTGCAGTTCGCAAGCAGACTTTAAAAAGATGGCAGAGGTGGAAGATCATCTGGTTCCTGTACGGTTGGATTTGGAGGAAGGGCATCACAAGTTGAAAGATACATTCATGTGGAACTGTGCCGGTGAGTACTTTTACCCTGATGGGAACCCCCTTCTAACAGTTGTGTAGATACCGTTGTGACGCCAGAACTCTTTGCGCAAAGTCTCTGCGACGACTTTGGCGTCCCCCACCACCTCTTTGCTCAGCGCATCATCACCGCCATCAACGAGCGCGTCCATGAATACAAGGACCAGGTGCTTCCTCTCATACAACGTCATACCAAAGAAGACTGCCGAGGCAAGCTGGATCCGGAGGGCGATGCCGAGTCCAAGGCGCTGATTGAAGTGTTTCGACGGGCGAGGAACTGGGAAGAGGAGGAGGAAGAGATCAAGACGGACCCTGATGATGAGGACATCAAGCTCATCCCGCACGACCCGAACGATCCCGAAGCGCTGGACGATTATCGTCCGTGGACGGTCGAAGAAGCCATGTCGCTCATCCCTGAAGATGCCCCGGAAGAACTGAGGATCCTGATCAAGCTCGACATCTTGATAGGCGCGCAGAGCCTGACGGATAGCTTTGAGTGGGACCTCGGGTCAACGGTGACGCCGGAAGAGTTTGCGGGGATGTATGTGACCGAGTTGGGATTGTGCTTGGAGTTTGCGTACGTCCCTTCTACTTGTTTGGGACAAGGCTAATATAAATCAGTACGGCGATTGCGCATGATGTCCGAGAACAGATCATCGTCCATCAGCGCTCCCTGTTTATTGTCGGGCACCTTTCCAACCAAGGTGTCGTCCTCGACGACGAGATCCGCGCTGCCTTCCTCCCGCCCATCACCAATACGCTTCGCCGAGAAGACGTCGCCATGGCATCTTACACTCCCATCTTCAACGAGCTCGAAAATGCCCAACTCGCCAACCTCGAAGCTCTGCGAGAAAAAGAAGCCAAGCGCAAGAAGAGACACGGGCGTGCGAGGAGAGGCGTGGTCATGCCGGATAGGGAGCCGATCAAGACGCACCGAACGTTGCTCAACAATATCGGGCCGAACGGCGTTGCGCTCTTGGCCAATGTGGAAAGTGCGCCCAGAGAGACGGCTACGCTGAGTCGAAGGCGTGGTGCAGCGCTGGCCGCCGAGGCGAATATCAACTTGCTGGCTCAAGACTTGCCTATCCCCGCTCCGCCTTCTCCTGCGCCGCCGCCTCCCGTTTCCAGGGGCAAACGCCATGGACGGGTGCAGAAAGTGGGACGGGAAGAGTCGGTCAATGGCGATACCCCCGTCAGTGCGCATCTTCAGCTGCCTGTGGCGAGGGGAGGGGAGTCTATGGATATGGTCAATGGTGCCGTGGCGAGCCCCGCGGGGAGGCGACGGGCAAACCACAGTAGGATCCCCGACTCGCCCTCGGAGCCGCCTACACCGTTATCTGCCAAGCCCGAGAGCGCGCCTTTACCTCCGGCTTATGGAAGCGCCCCTCCGTCGTCAAAGAAGCGCAAGATCCTGGTAGAGCCACTCAAGGCTGTCAAGGCCGAAGTCGAATCTGCCGTCCCTTCCCCGACCCTGTCGTCGAGACCGTCGTCTCGTAAACGCCAAGCAAAGAGCAAGAGTGCCAGCAGAAACAGAAAGAGGCGGATGGCGGTTATCGATGAGCCTTCTTCTGGTCCCGAGCCCAGCGCGTCAGACTCGGACGATAGCGCCAGTGATAGCGCGAGTGATTCCGATTCGAGCTCTTCGACGAGGCCGAGGAAGCAAAAGAAGAAGGCGGTGGTGGCTGTGGCGGAGAATGAGCCTACCCCTGCACCGAGATCGAGCGCGGTCCCGCCGAGTGTACCTGTCAGATCATCGCCTGTTGTCAGTCTTGAGAGTGATGTAAGTGAGATTTCTATGATTGTGATGGAAACTGACATTTGTAAAGCTTCCCGACTGGGCAAACAAGGCGCTCGCGGATACCCGAGGGAGATACCAGAAAGACGACTTTGTGGTCATCAAGAAGCCGAGGCAAGATCCGTCGTTGCCTATCGAATGGCGAGTCAAGTGTAACGACTGGTGCGTCCATCTCTCCCTTCTTATTGAACGAATCTGACAATGTATACAGCCCCGGCAAAATCTATACCCTCGGCCCAGGCGAGACACTCAACAATTTCGAAGTGCATCTCAAGAACAAGGCGCATATGAACAACCGGACCGCCAGGGAAGAGAAGCGGAATGCGTAGAGGTGTTGTGTGTATACGTGAAAAGGGGACAGAAGAAGAATGTTCAGAAGTAGAAATATATTTGTCAAAGAGTTTAATAGCATGCCCCTGTAATCATACCCTCTTCACGCCATGAGGAACATACAATGTCTATATACCTTTTTCATCTTTTCTTATTGCTTTTTTGGGACTATTTCATGCATATCTTTTCATGCTGATTCATATGCTTCTACTCTATGACCAAGTGCAAACTTGGTACCTGATTATGCGCTTTTGGTATCGGTGTATCGCGGGTTGGGCACGACTTTATCGCCTTGGATGAGTACGCGGGGCTCTTTCTTTGTGGCTACCCAGAATGCCGTCTGCATAGCCTATCAGCTTCCTGACAAAAAGAAGGAGGAAGCTAAGCGAGGAGGGGGACGTACAGTGTATTCATGCCTCAACATGCTCTCCGGCGGGCTGGTGTAGGTCGACTTGATCATCTTTTCTTCCTACACCCCTATATCAGTACACTCTCCACCACAAGACAGCCCGAGAGAGCGCGGGGGGGGGGGGAAGAAAGAAGAGGAAAGACACACTCGGATTTCAAACCCCACCAAATCGCCCAACTGCTTTACTTCATCCAAACTCAATTCCACACTCCTCTCTCCTTTCGTCGAAGTCGTTGGCGAGTTTTCGAAATGCCACAACAGCGGGCCGATATTGATCCACACCCCGCCTCCGCCACCCTCTGCTGAAGGAGAGAGAGGGGGGAGGAGGTTGTGGATGGTACGGAGGTAGTTGAGGATGTTGCGAGAACAGTCGATGAAGAAGCATGTCACGATGGCATCCCATTGGCCTGTTTGGTCTTCCTTCTCGTCTTCTTTGTCTCCGCCGCCTTCTCTGTCGAAGGAGGAAGAGGGGGAGGGAGAGGGTTGGCCGTAGATTTCTTCAAAATCACCAGCGACCAACGAAAACGCCCCCGGTTTATACTTTTCTCCACCTCCGGCGTGGGGAGTGCGGGCAAAGACTTCAGAAGGACATACGTCTGGGATGGTAGTGGAGAGGAGCAAGTGATGTTCGGTGGTGAGGTGGTTGGAGAAGGAGTGGAGGAAGGGGTAGATGGTGTGTGAGTTTGGGCGGGTCGTCCTGTCAAGGTTTACGTGCTGTCAGCTGTAGAACAAGCGTGAAGGCAGGAGAGTCAAGAGGGGCGTACTGGTTGAGGACCCAGTCGGATGCTATGAGCATGTATGTGCTGAACTCGTTTCCTTGTGCGGTGAAACCTGCACGCATGATAGAGTCAGCTTTGGATAGGTATGAGGACGGAGAGCGGACCTTGCGAAGCGATCTCCATAGCCAGCCTCCCCAGCCCACACCCAGGTACAAGCACCTTCACTTCCTCCCTCTTCCTTACCCTCCGCCTCTCCCTTCTTACCTGCCCCTGCACATTTACATCAATCTCCACCTCCCCTCCCTCGGGGTAGTCGTGGAAAGAAGGAAAGTGCTTTTCGAGCGCCTCGAGGCAGGGGCGGTAACAGGCATCGCGTTCGGGCTGGCCTAGAGGGGACCAGTCGCGTACGAAAGAGCGAAGCGTGGAGCGTACTTTGTCTTGGGCGGCGTCGAGCTGTGAGCGAGATGGTTTGGAGGGGGACCCCGGGCGGGACGCGGTTTGAGGTTGGGGCTGAGAGTGAGAGTGGGAGTGACCATGGCTGTGGTCGTGCGAATACTCTCCAGCGTGTGAATGACCAATGTCTTCAGGTTCGGGATCTTGGAGCATCTCTGAGAAGACTGGGTTGGCAATCATCTCGTCCAGGAACTCTTGGTTTCTACTCTCATCAGCTCCTTCCTCATCATATAAGCCAGAACGTACTGTCGTATACCCTCGTCTACGGCTTCGACCTTGTCCATATATCCGAGCATCCTGTATATCTCCTTCTCCGCCTTGGGCAGCGTAAGGACGCTCATCTTGCGGGCATGTTGCGCCGACATCTGCTCCCCGTCAGTATCCCGTACCAAAGAGCAAGATCGACCTACATGATAGTGCTGATACCCATCGAACGCCTTGATGACTGCCTGCCAGTGCCTCCGTTCTTCTGCCATCCTGCTGTGATTTGCAGATGATAGAGGACATGCGCGCATCACCATTTCCGCCGGAAGTCCGTCTTACGTCAGCAGGGGTTCCTGTCGCTTACGTACTGTGCAGGCGGCAGGCACCGGCCACCCGAGATTAGGATTAGGCGGTAATCATCGCACTGTACTGTTTGGCCCCGAGTCGTATAAGATGCGGCTTCCAAATAAGTCGAATACGCATCCCCCGCCACTCTCACCATGTCCCACAGCGTATTCCTTGGAGCGTCTACTGGTATCGGATACTATGCCCTGCTGCAGTATCTTACAGACTCGCCCACAACCACCGCCACTGTCCTCCTCCGCAAGCCAGACCCCTTCAAGGCGGACCCGAGTTTGAAAGAGTTTCTCGACGCGGGCAGGGTACAGATAGTGAAAGGTGACGCTACCAATGAAGATGATGTCAAAAAGCTCTTTGTGCAAGATGCTGCCTATGTCATTTCGACTATCGGTAAGCGTTTTTGCTTTTCATGGGAAAGTGCTCATGAGAAATAGGCGGCAAACCGCATATGACGCTTCATGGCGCAGTCAATGACCAGCCTACCCTGTGTACCGACGCCGCCCTCGTTCTCTTACACGTTCTCGCATCCCTTCACGCCCAAGGCAGGAAACTCCCCAGGGTCGTCACCGTCAGTACGATGGGTTTGGGCGAGAACCACAAAGTCATGCCTCTCGCTTTACGCGTAAGCCCCTATGATACTACCAGAGGATGAGAAGACTGATGAACGACAGATACTGTACGCCTGGCTCCTCCACTCCCCGCACCAAGACAAACTAGGCCTCGAACTACTCCTCCAACGCGCCTCATCCGTCCTCCCCACCCCTCCCCAATCCACTTTCGCCACACTCCCCTTCCTCTCTTCTTCCTCCGTCTCCAGCGTGAAAGAAAACTTTCTGCCTGAAGTCATCATCATCCGCCCAGCACTGTTTGCGGGTGAAGAACCGGCAAAGGGAAGGGAAGTGACGAAAGTCGGGGAGCAGGTGACGACGTATACGATCAGGCGGAGGGAAGTCTCGAGGGTTATTGTGGAGGACTTTTTGGGGGAGAGTGAGTGGGTGAATAGGTTGCCTATGATCGGGTACTAGGAGGTTGTCTGCTTGCTTGGTCGGTCGACTTGTCTTATACTTTTATGGATATTCCCCTCTCTCTTCTTTTGTCCTTCGTAAGGACCTACGCAACATCCATACAAACACAAACTACGAAGCATAATCAAAGATCACAAGCAGCGCTATAGCCCCGACAAGCAATGGATAGAACGCATTCTCCAAATTCGCCAGCCCTCCATACGGGTTCGGTCCGACTGTTTCCCACCGCGTCAGCTCTTCTTGTCGCCCCGTTTGGAGAGTGGTGGGAAAACATACCAGGTGGCGGTCCGACGGGCTGTACGGGCTGCATCACCGGCCCCGGTCCAGGAGGAGGAGGAGGGGCGCCTTGTGATTGATGTTGCACGATAGAGCCTGATTGTTGATGCATCCCATAAGCATACCCAGCCGGAGGTGGCGGTGCGTTGGCGGCATTGTTGGGATTGGCATAATACCCATTTGCGTTTGCGTAAGCGCCAGGTTGAGCGTATGGTTGTTGATATCGATAAACAGCCCGTTGTTGTTGTTGTTGTTGGAGGTAGTATTGATAATGCGGATGTTGAGGATGAGTAGGGGGTAAGAGATGAGCGGGGTATTCGTAAGCGTAAGCGTATATGGGAGCGCAGTACCATGGTTGGTAGATTGTACATGCGTATTGATTTTGGGTTTGGACCGGTTGTGGAAGGGAGTCGTAGGATGGATAGGCTTTTTCGTCAGTTGGTACAAACACCACAAGTGATCCAGGATATGTGGAGAAGGGAACAGATGACGACGAGCATGAAGCAAGGAAGCAGAGAGACGGGATAGAGGCTTACCTGGCTGCTGCTGAGGTCCAGTAGATACTTGCAGCTGAAGTCCTGGACGTTGGTATTGTACCGAACGTTGTTGTGGCTGAGGTTGATAATATTCTATCCCTCCTCATTAGCGCTTACATACTCACACATCACACACCATCTATCTTGTTGAGAAGAGAGATACACTCACGACCCTGCGGCTGCGAAGCATACTGCCTGACCGTGTTCTCACTCGACGGCCCATTCGCAAACCAACTCCAACCCGCCCCGCCTTCCGGCGTCGCAAACCCTCCCTGTCCACCCATCTGAGACCCCTGCGTCTGTTGATAGCTTACCACTCTCGGCTGTTGGGGCTGAGGGTGGGGCAAGTATCGAGCGATAGGCGGAGAGTATCGATGGATGACTTGAGGTTGAGTGATCCGGAGGATGGGCTGAGGTTGAGGTTGGATGGGAGTTTGGTTCTGGCACCATGGTATCACTTCGGCTACGAGCCCTACACACCCCGGTGCACCCCCCATCGCACCCCAACCCCCGGTCCCAGTCCACCACCCCCCGCCCCAATTCGGCCACTGACCCCACTGCGCCACACCAGGCAAACTGCCCCCGCCCGTCAGACCCAAAGGCCCTTGGAGGATGATGAGCACAAGACAGCAGAAGAGGAAGAATGACATCCAAGCGTTGGCGGAGATCGTTGGCATCGATTGTGGGCTGGCGGGTTTTGGGGTTGAGGAAGAAGAAGAGGAAGAAGAGGATGGTTTGGCGGCGGACGATGAGGATGATGATGAGGGCTTAGCAGCGGAAGAAGAAGAGGATGACGATGGCTTGGCGCCAGAGGAGGAGGAGGAGGGTTTGGCGGAAGAGGAAGAGGAGGACATGGTGAATGGGGCGAGGTCGTAGACCGAGATGGAACCGTAGACTGCGCAGGTGAGGAGGAGGAGGGAGATGGGGATGATAAAGGGTGAGGAAACGGCTTGTGGTGGTGTAGGGAGGGGGAGGGGGAGGGGAAGCTGGGGTGGAGTGGTGTTCAGGGTTGAGAGTGAGGTTTGGGGACGGTTGAGATAGTTGAAATACAGGTGCTGATTGTGACGGTGTTAGAGTATACAATTTCCTATAACTTAGGAGTACTTGAGCTGTGGTGGCGAGGTGGAGATTATGGTGATGATTGAATCAGAGTTGAGTATGTGGAAAGAGTGTATGAGTAAGTGATCCCAGACGGACGCAGGTTGCGAGTCTCTTAGCTTTGGAAAGGAGTAAAGGTCAGGTGCTCGAGTTTGAAAGCGTTCCAATGATGATGGGGGGGGGTGGTAGGAGATGTCGTGATCCTTTATGGGCTTTGATGGCAGAAAGGATGCAGCAGACGAAGATGTGGGGCCAGATGAGACGGCGGCCACAGCCCATTAGCCGCTCGCTCCCGGCCACCTTGTTATCCACCACTTCCACCCAGCATCACAATTACTTCCATAATGGGTTACATGCACCATGAGAAGCTACTACTAAACTGAGCAGTTGATCATTACGGCTGCCACAATAATGCAATCATCATTGTTGCGATTGGAAATTCTTATCCCAACATATCTCCCCAAAGTCTGCACCTAAAGCATCCATTTCCTCTGGAGAAAGTGGGACATATTCGGGATTGTCTTCAAAGTCTACGAGAGACGCAAAGTCGTCTTCTGTTCCGTCAAGAGGCTCGTCAGCATTACCGGACTTTTGTCGAGTTGACGCTGATTTGGTATTTTGGGCCGCCGCTAGGGCCTCATTCTTCTTTTTGTCTCTCGCTCGTTGTGACTTTTCTCTATCTGCACAGAAGATGGTCAACAATGCGGACTGTCTGCTGTACTATTGTCCCTGCCATTTGTCATGACAGGGGATATAGACGACTCACTATGGATGCGTAGTCTGTGTTGTTCTTCTTTGGTCAACTCGCCCATGGCCAGACGTCGACCATTTCGCCTTGGCTGGAACGCGGGCTGCGATCCTGTAAGACATACAATGTCAGCAATCAAATGGTGTTGCATAAAAATAAGGCATGTACCTCTTTCATTATGGGTTGCATAAGTACTGCCGGCTCCCATCTGCTAGAACAGTCAAGTTCAAGTCAGTCTCGACCACTTTTGAGATTCCCGACAATCAATAGCACTGACTGTTGAAAACTCACAGAAGATCCATAGCCCCCGCTTCCTGTCATCACCCGACTCTGAAGGGACCGGGACTGTTGTATGTCTTGGAAATTCTGGACTAGCTGCTGCTGAACCTGTCGAGAGAGTGATAATGACAGCATGGTCCTGTACCATCTCTTCTGATGGCAACTAGGCGCGATACTTGATGCTCGCGAAGTGCTGTACAGCAGACCACCCCGTCATGAGTAGTAGCCAGACTACCTTTGTCATGTGTAAGATGTATCGATATATGCTCCCCTCTCCTTCGTGCGTCGTCAAACCAAGCTGATAATATTGATACGCACCGGGGACATAGACGAGTAGTTGCTTGGATCGTATCCACCACTGAAAGTACTGGTATCACCGAACCCATACTCGTCGCCATATGATTGGTTTTGGTCAGCCATATTCTTCCTCTATCCAATGTTGTCTTGAAATACGATTTGATCTCACAATGTCCGACAGTTGTATATATCTGATTGCAGCGTCGATGTTCCGTACATGAGCGTTTGATGAAGAGGGGATTATGGGAAAGTCACCTATCGTAACGAGTCTCAGGATCATTCTGTGAGGCCAGGCCACTTCTCACGGATGTTTTGTCTTCCAGACGGGCGATGGCGGCCGAAATTCTGCAGTTGAAAGGACGGATCGATGAGATGTTCGAGTACGGTGATACCCACGGCGTCCGGTCTGTTGATTGCAGGGGCATGTGCAAACAGCTCAGTGCCATGTGAAGTTGGTTTTCCCACGACGACGAAGGAAGAAATCCCGGGACCCGAAATCAGGCATCGTTTCAATGATGCAAATGATGGTGCAAGGGGAAAAAGGGGGAAATGGTGGAGCCGACAGATGATGGCGAACCCCCCCAGGAATGCTTGATTTGCAGACAGCGAGATGGACGGAGAGTTCGATGCTGAAAAGATGAATGGGAAATACAAGCACGTTGATTGAGCCGGCGGTTGATCTCCGGTGTGGATATAGAGGGAGTCTGAAGTTATGGCTTCTCTACGAGCCCACCACATTCAGCGTCCAAAAGGTCACAATGCTGATGAATGATGCATGAGCGGCCGTTCCTTACGAGAGCTGAACCCCACCAGGCCGGTTGCCAGGCGGCAGCGCATCCTCATCGTCTATCCTAAACACCGGCAGTCCCGCTCCTCCATACCCCGTCCCTGTACCCCCTTCACCCCCTCTGTTCCCATCATCACTGGCCCGACTGCCCGTCTCTGACTCTTCATCCCAAATCACCCCCTGACTCCCCCTTCCCCCTACCCCTCTGGCAGAGGAAGTCTCCTGTACGGGCGAAGCGGCACCTTCGAACCGATGTTCCCGCCCTTGGGCATCGCGGTACCGCCCCACGCCGCCAGCGGAGAGGGGTTGGTAGAGGGAGAGGATTTCTTGCTTTTTGAGATGACGCAAATGGGCGAGGTGGGCGAGGTAGAGGAAGAGGGAGGAGCCGAGGAGGTTGGAGAGGATGTCGAGGGGTTGGAATGTTTTCCACTATTCAAAAAGGTCAATCACCCACTTGAGGCTTTCGGATTGAGAAAGTTTACTGGGAGAGTGGCTTGTACGAATTCGCTGACTATGCCGCCGATGAAGAATGCCAGCAGGCCGACCACGATGAGCGGTGCCCGACGGATATACCATACTCTTCTGCCTGGCCCTCTGTTCTCCTTTGTCAGTTTGCATGTAGCAAGAACATGATCTGAGACCCACTCTGGCACGTCAATGACAAAGTACAGCAAGAATGTCGCAAAGCCCAGCTGTCACAGCGCACTGTCAGCCTGGTCCATGACCGAGCTTACGCATCTACTCACGCCAAAGAAATGCAGTGCTTTATCATTGACGGGCAGCTCGGGAAGGGGCGCCATTCCGAGAATACCCAGTAGTATGATCCATGCTGCTGTAGCAAACACCATAGCCTTTTTCGAAATTTCAGTCGCGAAACATTAGAAAGACATGACGTCTCGCTCACCGGGCGAAGGTTGAGGGGGTAGTCCCGTATGGGATAGGAGCGCATGATCCAGGTGGTAAACTTGTCCCATAGCTCCTGTATGACCTTGGTGGGGACAGGGTAGGCAGCAGGCATGGCGGGCAGGGGGTGCAGCAGAAAGCGGGAATGGAGATGCAAGTGGAGATGGTCGGAGTGACCCGTCATCACTTTCGGCGGCGGCGACATCGCCAACAACGCATGCATCGCCATCCACAACGACATCCACAACGTAAACCCCCCCATGCCCTCACAGCCCCGGAGCCCACCATGACCGCCCCTCCGTCCCACCCCGCCACATACATCAACTTTCCCTTCTCCCTCATCCTCGAGCGCATGCCCTCCGAGAAGGATCCCAACGTCTTTCCTCCCAAGACATGGCTCGAACGCGCGAAATACTATGGAGACAAGGCCACCCTGGCTGAGAGAAAGGGGTGCAAGGAGGATATGTATGTGTGGTATACGCTGTACTGCCAGTGCTACCTCCACGCTGGGACACACCCAGACTGGGGAGAGGCGAAGAAGAAGGATCCGGCGCTGGCAGCGAGATACAAGGAGATGAAGCCTGTAAGTCTGATGGGTGTCTGGAAGCACGTACTGACTGAATATAGATGTACGAGCAATATTTCGGCAAGGCAAAGGTCGTCAAAGAGCAGCTTCGTGCAGCAGAAGCCAAACCCACCACCTCCTCCTCCTCTCGCCCCCATCCTACCCGTCAACCCTCAGGCCCAGAAACAGGAAGCATAGGCAACCTCCGCGATCGCATGGCTGCCCTCGCAGGCCACGGCATGGCGGTCGAATCGGTCCAGCCAACAGCAGGCGCGGCAAAGAGGATGAGCCGGGATATGCCCCCGCCAAAGATCGTGGCCAAGCCGGCTGCTCTGAGTGGGAATTATCTTTCCGGGGCTGGGAGGGCGAGGAGCAGTAGTGGGTCGCACAAGTCGCCGACGACGACGGGCGGGGCGCAGGTTATAGTGACGGCGTCCTCGAGACCGTCGGCTCCTTCGCCGGCGCCCAGTTTTGTCAGTACCCATCCCACCGGCTCGTCGATGCGCTCGAATAATCAAGCAAATCTTGGGCCATCTGCTGGGCCTAGTAATGCAGCATCGCCGCCCTCTTCGCTGATACACAGCGCGAGCGTCACGCCGACCGATAGAGCTCCCTCCACCTATACTACACCCCAAGCCAGTCCCCTACCTCCTCCGCCTACTGTCAGACTGAACCCTTCACCCCGACCGCCAAATGGGGCTCATCCTCCGGCGCCTCCAGCCCACCAGACGTTCCAAGAGTTTGAACGGAATTTCCCCTCCCTATCCGAGTTTACCAAAGAGTGGGAAGAACCTCTCCCGAATCCCCATTCTCCTAACGGCGACGGGGCAGACGATAGATCCCCCAATGGATACTCCAACGGAGATGCCGGTCTGCCCAACCTGCCCTCTGTCCCTACGAGCAGACCAGGTCTACCACCCCCGCCGTCCAAACCCGACTTTGGTTCCTTCTCCCCACGCGACGAACGCTCTACCGCACCGTCGCCCGTTTCCCACAACGGCCCCAGCCGAGTTGACGATGTGGCTGGTCCGAGTACACAACGACCCGAAAGCTCTGCTGGGCGGGCTAAAGAGGACGATTCTCGGGCAAACGGCGTCAATGGCAAGACCCAGCTCAACTTTCCCGTGGCCGTCCCCACCCCTCCTACCCAAGCACGTTCCCCCCTCCCACCTACCCCTTCACAATCCGTCCCGCCCCCCTCGCTATCGGCACCACCCCGCGAAAAACCGCGGTTCCCCATATCAAACTCTATCGCCCCCGACCAACTACGCGGCTACTTTTTGAACCCGTCTGTCGAGATGCTGTTTCTCGATGTGAGGCCGCAGGAAGAGGCAAAGTATCATGTGGCGCAGGAGTATGAGTCGAGGACGTTGAAGGAGGTGAATGTGGTGCAGATTGATCCGACTTTGCTTATGCGCGATGGGTGAGTTGACAGAACCCAAGTGGGAGAGTAAGCTGACGGGGATACAGTATGGACATTCCCAGACTCGAAGATTCCCTCTCCCTCTCGCCCCCCAAACAACAGACGTATTTCGCGAATCGCGACAAGTACGACCTGGTCATCGTCTACGACGCTTCATCGACCAATTGGCCTACGAGCGGACCGCTTCAGAGATTGTGGAACATGTTTTTCAACGGGCATGACCCGAAGAAATTGCAGAGACCGCCGGTGGTGCTCATTGGGGGACATAACGGGTGGATAGAGTTTATCAAGATGAGGGCGGGGAGACATCAGGCTCACAAGGAGAGTCGGAGTGGCGTTTTGTGAGTACACCCTGTCTTACTAGGACTTCCGCTGATGTGATCGTTAGAGAACCGGATGTAGTCTCGCCAGTGACTTCGGGCCAGAAAAAGGCAAACAGAGACATGCCAGTCTACCAGCCATCCCAATACAGCAAGACCATCACCGAAAACGTAAGTCTCCCACCCACATGGCAAAAGCACGCGCCAACCTCATTCCCCTCTGCAGTTCGCCTCGGCCCCTCAATCCATGACCGGCGAATCCCGCTACTCGCAGTCCCACACTCAATCATACCCCTCCTCCTACAAATCACCCCCGCCTTCATCGCATCAGCATCATCGAACAGGCTCGAGTTACTCTGTCCAAGCGCCGATTGCGGCCCCTCCGCAAGCTAGTATACACCCAGGACCGGGGGCGAGGCGAAGGAGCGACTATATCGAGCATAGCGGGCAGACGTATTCTGGTGCTACGCCGAGTACTTCGTCGACACCCCAACCGCAATCACAATCCCAAGCTACATCACCGACGTCCAACTATTACTCCCCACCTTCTACCAGCATCGCCCAGAACCTGACATCCCCTCGTCAAGGCGTAGACTACCCCCAAGCACACGCGCTTGCCAAAGTCGCAATGCCGCCGCCTGTCGCCAGACCCATGGAGAGGCATGATTATAGTTCTATGGGCGGGGGGTATATGCCGGGGCAGGGGCATGGGCAGGGGCAGGGGCAGGGGCATTTGGTGAAGAGCCATGCGCAGAGGGATTTGCGGCAGAATGGGGTTGTGGCTGGGGGAGAGAAGGTGGGGTATTGGTTGGATGTCGTTGTTGGATTAACGGGGTTGAAGAATCTTGGAAAGTGAGTCTTGTTTTTTGGATAGACGGGGAAATGTGCTGATGAGAGGGTAGTACGTGTTATATGAACTCTACGATACAGTGTTTGAGCGCGACGTTTCCTTTTGCGACATTCTTCCTTGGTGAGTCGTTCTACGCTTCTTCGGGTCATTGGCTAACCCCTGGTCATCAGATAATACTTTCAAGAAGTCTATCAACCTGGACAATCCGCTAGGTACCAAGGGCGAGCTGGCAAAGGCTTGGGCGGGGCTGTTATCAGTCTTGTGGAGTGAGAAGTACGAGTTCTTGTCGCCCATGACTTTTCGAGTACGTCCCTCCCACCAAAACCTTGCGATGGCACTGACAGTCGAGCAGAAACAAATCATCCAATTTGCCCCCCAATTCCTCGGTACCGACCAACACGACTCCCAGGAATTCCTCTCCTTCGTCCTCGACGGCCTGCACGAAGATCTCAATAGGATCAAGAAGAAGCCTGCGCCGGTAGAGATGACGCCGGAGAGAGAAGCCATGCTGGAGACGAGCCCGCCCGAGGTGGCGAGTGAGAGCGAATGGCAGATTTACAGGCAGAGGAATGATAGTTTGATTGTGGATCTGTTTCAGGGGCAATATCGGAATAGGTTGCAGTGCTTGACTTGTCATAAAGTGAGTGCATTCTGCGTTCTTGTGAACGAGAGCTGATGAGGTCCAAGACATCGACAACGTACGATGCGTTCATGTACATGTCCCTACCTGTACCCACAGGCAAGACGAAGGTTGTCGTACAAGAGTTGATTGACGAGTTTGTCAAGCACGAGATTATGGAAAAGGAAGACGCCTGGTACGTCCTTCATCCCTCCTTCAAACTGGTTACTGATGCGCTATTAGGTACTGCCCTCGCTGCAAGACCCGACGCCGAGCTACCAAAACCCTCTCCATCTCCCGCCTCCCGCCTGTCCTCCTCATCCAACTCAAGAGGTTCACAACCCGCGACGGCCGGTTCTGGGACAAGTCTGAAACTCCCGTCATCTTTCCCATCCGCGGACTCGACCTCTCGAGGTACTTGCCAGCGCGGCGGCAGGATACAGGCGCAGGAGGACTGGATATGAATGATCCGAGGACGCAGGTGGGGCCCTTCAAGTATGATTTGTATGCTGTTAGCAACCATATGGGCACGCTGAGTTCGGGGCATTGTGAGTCGTCTACCATATCTTTCGAGGGCAAGAGCTGATGGAGGAAAAGACACGGCGTTTGTGAAGAGTAGAGAAGGGTGGAAGTATTGCGAGGATAGTCAGATCTCTAGTGCGCAGGAGAAGGATGTTGTGGTGAGTTCTTCAGTCTCTTGGGTTGAACAAGGAGCACGTGGAATCTATCCCGCGTGGCTCGTTCAATTGCTACCCTCCTTTGGGTACCAAGCCTGAAGCTTCTCCGCCTTCCGATCGAGCTAGGCTGACGTACATGTGCTTTTCTTCTAGTCACGTCCTGCATACATTTTGTGAGTATCGGTCCTGTCCTCTTTTCAACTGTGCCTCGTCGTTCGCGTGGTCCCAATCGGGGAGCACCATGTGTGGATTGTTTGGTTTGTTTGGCTCTGCTCAGCCTCGGATCAAGCCCGCTTCCGGAACGCCGATGCAAAAGGGCAGATGGCAGATGATCGTCTTTGAGAGTCCGTCCATCCTTCGCTTCATCGCATGTTGATCGGCAGACGATCATATGCTCGAAGAGTAGAGAAGGAGACGCTAGAAGCTTTGGTGGAAACAGGAGAGCTGATCGATCGTTTGCAGGTTTTATAAACGAGTCCCGGCCTAGATTCGAATACCATATGACCGCCATGCCCCCTTGATTTTTCTTGTCTGATATTTGTATCAAAGTTAGTTGCAATGCATGGTTCTCTAGAGCGATCAAAGGTCATGATGACGAGCATCAAAGGTCTTCATAAGAACTTGACTACCATCAGATCACAATCAGAGCACATGGTCCCACTTTCCGCGTCAAAATCATCTCGTTCACTCAATGCACTCGACTGAATCATCGATGACGAAAACCACATGCGTAGTGACTGATTACACGGGGATCAACAGGGTATACTGGGATTTAAGGAAACTTTTCATAGGAGATAAAAATGTGAGTGTGACCAAACAATGCTACGATCCAGCTAGGCGCCAATGAGCTCTACTACTGTATCTCCTCTGGCTCGACACAAGCCCCTCGTCCGCTGACGTAAAATGGCCCGCGTCGAGACTCCTCCGGCCGACGCGCGGGGCTTGCGTCGAGCCAGGTATCTCCTGGCGCTAGCGGTGATTGATGCAAAATGGGGGGTAAATGCAGCAAGATGCTATGTATTACGTATGTATTACGTATGTACTCGTACTCATATTGCGTGACTTTCGGAGTTTGATAGGAGCTTTCTTTTCGGTTTAATTGAGATCGGATCTACCAACCTGCCTGTACTTTAGCGTATCTCGCGTGGATGATAGAGTTCTGACGCGTAAATGAGGAGTGAGGACGCGTTTTGCTCATGTTCGTTGACATTCCGTGGTTTGGGGATCTTGGGAGATGTGAAAGCATGCTATAAACGATGTATGGGCTCGGTCAGCGGAGAGCACAGGGCCCAATTAGGAAAGGACAGCATGCCGACTGATTTGGAGGCACCGGGTTGCCTTCAGAACCGTCAAGGTACCACCCCGACATGACGGATGATGTGCATAAGACATAATTACTTCCGGAAGCCGTGAGGCACACATTATCCTTGCCTCCCATCACAATATGGCTTACGTGCATGGGTGTTTGGATAAATCCTTGAAGGGATCCGCAGGGGGACAGTGTGTATTGGGAGATAATCGCGAGGGTCGATGAATGAAGGCGGCGACGACGAGGGATGAGGGGATGGGGCTCGAGGGTCGCTGTGAGCTGTACATCATGGGAAACGGGGATCATGTATTTTTTGAGCCAAGGAGAAGACGTGGGAACGCGACATCTCCAGCCTTTCAACTTTTCAGTAACCAGTCGACTCCGCTGAGATACACATGCCATGATATGGTTACCCCACCACTGACGTGCTGCCACTTGTCAACGTTTTCGTACCATACCATGTACCTATGCGGCGTATGTGTTACCTTGACATATGCCTGGCATGTAAAGTCAAGCTCAATATTATTCGCCCCATCCGGTAACGGGTGGTGAACCGCATGGAAGACAAGAAGGTTGGGAAGACGGCCCGAGCGCAAAGTGTACCTGTACCTCTTCCCTACGCTCATGAACCATCATTCTACGTGCCAGTGACACTGTTGCCTTTTCGGGAATAGCATAGAGGAGCTCTGAGCTCTGGCAGTTTGACGGCGTAACATGTATGGTATAAGAGCCGGCGGAACAGTCCTTGTCGCTTGGCTTGACTTGACTTCCTGCCGAAACTGCTGACTAGCCTCAACATATTTAGAGCTGGAGAGTTCAAATAGAGCAGAGTCTGTCAATACTGGCTTACTAATTAGTAGACTGTGTTACTCCGTCTTTCTCGAACATCCTCTTTGAACCTTCCAAAACTGGTTATCTGAGTCTCACCATTTCGCGCGATAACGCTCGATTAACCGATGAGTCTCTTGCGGTATTCGGGTTTCGGCTTATTATCCGTCGGCCCTTCTTAGTTCACCCTTCCCCTCTCTTCACTTCTCCGCTCTCCACTTCATTTTCATTTGCCTGACTGCGAGAGTGGATCCGAAGTCTGACCGAAATATCTCAACGAAAATGAAGTGTCCTTGTCTTTGGGCTGTACGTACATGCAAGACATGGCTCCCAGTCCCCAAATACATAGCTCGCACAGCTCTCTTCGGGATCAAACTTTTTCTGACTCTGGTAAGGCGGCTACCGCGGACCGCGGTCGAATAAGACGTAAGAGCAGGACCCGAATGTGAGACCTGCCGTGTGCCTTGGCTTGGGGTTATGTACAATACTCGAGTAGCCTGAGTTACAAAATACGGCGGGTGTGGCGGCACGGGAGGAAGAAGGCGAGAGACCCGGTCATTGTCCACCAGCAGGGACAGCAGCCATTGTCCAGCACTCAGACAGCCTGGCCTTCAGCAGGGAGCGGAGGAAAGAATCAGACTACCAGTATTCTTTCTCTCCTTCATAGCGGCCGCACGTCCTAATATAAACGTCCATGCTCATAATACACTCCGAGGGGAAAGAATGAGCGACCCATGAACGAAAAATAGAAGATCGGATCTACGTGACACCCCAGCCACCAGCCAGCCACTGGTCACTGGCCCTTCACTTCAAGCTTCAGGAACTCAGGATCTCCAGAAGGAGAGAACAACCGAAACGAGTTAGTCCGCCCAGCTCCGCCAGACATGCATGGCAGCCACCCACCAATGTGAAAATTGGTTAGCCCAGGGTTCTTTTAAGGAATGATCAAGTTTAGCGTCATTAGTGCTCGGTCGGACCTGGTGCGGTGGGTTTGGCGCGTCGCGCGTAGATCGGCAACTTCTCTTTCTTTTCTTCAAGTTGGTGAGATATTGGTGGTGTGGACGTGTACTGGTGGATTTTGAAGGGTGTGTTTTTTTTTTGTCTCCGGCTCGGACTCCGAACTGTGCGTTAATTTCAAGCCTTCTGGATCCGAAGCATGGATAACGTCATTTATATCTCCTTTGACTCTCGATTATGTATGTATGTATCTCTTGCGAGTTGCGACATCACACTCACCCCAAGAGCCCGAAGTAAAGAGTCAAAGATAAGGAGCATGCGAGTATGCAGTTATGTAAGGCGGAAAAAGACGGCAAGACCATTCGAGCTGGAGTACATACCATTGCATCTCTCGGCATACGGCATATCCACCTCTCCCACCTTCCACCTTCTCCAGTACTCGTACTCGTAGTGTCCACGTCCAGCACGGACCACCGCTCCATGTCCCACTGCTCCACTTGAGAGCTGAGATCTGAGGCCTCTGACATCTGAGACGGGTACGTATACGGTATACCGCATGGTCCAGAAGCAAAATGAGGAACAGGGGGGACGGAGGAGCACAGCAGCGGGGCCAGGAGCGGCAAGCAATTCTCATAATGGCATATGGGCGAACGGGCCTTGGGCCTTGGGCCTTGGGATGATGGCATTGATGGGGTTGATGGTGGGTACAGCGCTTAGTATATGGCAGATTGCATTCTCCGTCGCGAGCTTCATTGCTCAGTATTCGTGAGGCTTGTGAAAGAAGAGGAAAGAGAAGCGCTGTGGTCGCTCATCTCATCATCGTTCATAGCTCGTCACCCATCGAGGTCATCAAGCGTCCTGCTCACTCACTCACTCCTGCACATCCTGCATTCGATTTCGGACAGCAGGTCAGTCGGACTCGGGGCTTTTCAAAGACAATCCTTCTTCGATTCATTCATGAACCAACTTGCACAAGTACGTCGGCTCGTCGGTTTCCCGAACATATGGGACAATAAAATAATTGAGAAATTTCGACCCAACAAAAAAAAGTGACAACGAAGTGCCCCCCAAGATCTAGGGTCTCAAGTCTGTCTTTTTGAATTGATCGAGACCCAGACCCCCAACTCCCCCTCCTGTCCTCTGTGCTCCTGCCTCCAAGATATTTGACCCCCTTTCTTCCGTCAGGGATGGGCTTGTAGTTCAGTGCGGTATGCACCAGGCACGCGTAATTTCAATTGTATTGGGACCATCTGGTGCATCTGGCATCTGGCATCTGGGCGATTGATTGGACGGCGATGGGAGAAAAGAGGGGCGGAGAAGGGGTGAAATGGGTGACACTTTTTTTTGGTCTTTTTTTTTGGTGAAACCGGTGGTCAATGCGCTTCGGACTTCCGGTACTCTCGTAATGATCTGACGAGCTGGTGGAAAGTGGAACGGACAAATGGCACGAATGGGTTGAGCGAGGAGACGCCTAGAAAGTTGAGAGACAAGCCAGAGATGGACTAGGGGAGCAGAGAGCAGGGACAGATGCCGATACATATGTACGAAGAACGAAGGGGAGGAGAGGTGATATGCGAGAGATCAAGCAGCGATACGAGAAACGAGCAAAACGGTGCAAAGGGTTGACGCTTGCGGAAATCAGGGAAGGACAATAAGCAGTTCGGAAAACCTCCCTAATCTAAGACGGTCGCGTACCCTCCGAACCTCGCGCGAAAAGGAGTGCGAAGCGCGAAACAAGTCTCTTTTTTTTTTCTTCTCTCGTCAGAATCCGCTCATACCGTGGCTCCAGTGGCTGGCTCAGTTCCGGCTCCATGGACCATGCATGCTTTCTGACGCAAGGGTAGATAGGGCAGATGCAGGGAACGAAACCCATCTAGACGGGGTAGAATGGCACTTGTCTCGAGATTTGACGGATCAGTCTTGGAGGCCTATCGGCCGTGCAGGGCACGTTAAAAGGGATATAGAGATCGTTGTGGATGCGACCTGTTTGCTGATCGTTTCCCCCTCGCCCAGACTGGCTACCATCACCCATCGGCATCTCGACATCTCTCTACAAAAGGCCGTCTCTCGCCCACCACCCCCTTCATCCCAAAAGCCCCTGCTACGGCCTCCACCTGCGCCAGGCACCTGTTACACCCCCTGGACAGGACAATAGGACAATAAGAAATTTCTCTTCTGGCGCCCGCTCGACCCCCTCCCTTGGTGCCGACGTTCTCCTTCTGAGGCTAGACGATCCTGCGACGTGCAGCGTGTGGTGCATAGTGAGCTGCCCCTTTGAGCGGTGATGGCCCTGGCTGATTGTGTCAATTGCCCTTCCCTGCAGCCGTCCTCACGACCGCCCTACCCCGACGCCACAGCGACCCCGGTCCGAGCGCATCTGGCAGCTTCTGAAATTGAATTATCCCCCCAATCAGCCCACCGCGACCTCGTCCGCCCGTCCCTGGCCTCCCTGGCCCGCACGAGCAGTCTCAGCATCACATCAGCCGCCTTTCAGACCGCGCGCCTCATAATAAAGCGGCGAACAGCACACTCCGAGGCCATCCCCCCTGCAACACCCACCATGGACGCCGGAACAACCCACGCCATGAGCTGGACAGAGGTCACCAAAGGCCACGTCCCGCCCCCTCTTACTGTGCGTCCCCCGCCGCTCTAGAGACGCATACTGACTCCCCACAGGGCCCATCGGTCACCATCTCCCCCCTCCCCCTCCCCCACCCCCCCACCATATACCTCTTTGGCGGCAAATCCGTCCTCACCCGCCGGCTCACCGCCAACATGTGGGCCATGGACATCTCCTCCCGCACCTGGACCCAGATCGACCCCGGACCTGGGCCCTCCCCCCGGTACTTTCACTCCATGGACGTCTACCAAGACAAGCTCGTCTGCTTTGGCGGCATGTCGGACGCCGAGCCGAATATGGCGGTGCACAATGATGTCTGGGTATTCGACTGCTTGGCGAGACGGTGGTTACCACAGCCTTCGCCCAGTGGTGGTATCGGCCTGGGGATCGAAATGGCAGCGCAAGATCCAGGACTGGTGCCATCGCCGAGGTATGCCCATTTGAGCGCTATCTCGAGGGGCCAGCTGGTCGTTTCTGGCGGGCAGCATAGCGACAATTCATGGATCTACGAGATCAACGTGTACGACTTGCAAAGCAGAGTATGGGTGTCCAAGACTGAGCAGCCTCAGGCGGGAGGGATGTTCTCGAAGGGAGCGTATAGGAGTGTAGCGGCGAGCTCGTCCAAGCGCGTCATCTCCCCTGCGCCAGAGTCCAAGCCTGGCTCCCAATCATACTCTGTCGATGAAGCAGGCGAGGGTGGTGGTAAGTTCATTCAGTTCGCTTCGGGAACTGAGCTAATGAATGTATAGACGTGTGGTGCTACTCAAACTATGACTTTGCCAAGGTCAGACGCGAACTCGACATCATCTCGCCCTCTTCCTCCTCCCAGCCCACGGCGAAACACAGCCCCCCGCCAAACTATGAAATCCTCGACAAATCCGCCCTCATGCGCGGGTCTTCACAACCTCCCGGGTTGCGCTTCCCCACCGGCGGTATCGTAGGCAACCACTTTATCCTCTGCGGTCTCTACCTCGCTTCGGTGTCTGGTAAATTCTCTATTTGGGCGCTCAACATGGATACGATGACCTGGCGGCATATCGAGCCTGCTGCTCTTGCTGGCGGGAGCTGGAATAGGGCTGTCGTTTGGGCCGAGAGGGGCAAGGTGCTGGTCTTTGGCAACTCCCAGCTCGACCTCGCGCAAGATTACAGCCGACGCGCGGTCAACCTCGACCACATGGCAGTCATCTCCCTCGAAGCGTTCGGCATCTACCAACCCCCGTCCCTCGTCGTGCCCCCCAAAGTACAGCAGACAGGTCTGTCGATGATGGATGAAAAGCTCGCTTCGGACTTTGAAGTCATTTGCGACGACGGCCGTCGGGTCAAGTGTTCGCGCAAGGTGTTGAGTGAGAGATGGCCTTGGTTCAATGAACAAGAAAAGACGCTGGGCAGGGAGACGCAGAACGTCCTCACCGAAGCCCCTGCGGTCGACATCAACGACACCCTCCTCGGCTCATTCACCCCCGCCCGTCTCTCCCCCTCCACCCTCACCTTGTCCGAACCATTCCCCGTCTGCGTCGCCCTCGTCCAATACTTTTACACCCTCTCTCTCTCTACGCCACTCCAGAATCGGGCCCCGATCCTGTCGGCGCTGCTGTTTATGGGCAAGCAGTATGGCTTGGAGAGGTTGGTGAGGCTGGTGGTGCATGCTTTGCATGGGAGATTGGAAGGGGGAGGTGGGACGGCCGTCGGGATTTATGAGATTGCGACGTTGGCTGGGGAGAGGGATTTGCAGGTGCGCGCGTTGAATATCGTTCATGTGAGTCTTGTCTTTCATATCTTTGGGGACTGAGGCTGACTTTGGTATAGTCCGGAAAGGGCGGTTCGTCAAGCTCTTCGAGGGGACATCGATCACAGCCGGATGCCTCTACGGGTGTGGAGAATGGCACCTCACCCTCGAACGAGTTCAGACCTCAGGGAGGTGCTGCTGGTAATGGTGCGCCCGCGGGTAACACTCAATCTGGCTCTTTCGCCCCCGGTGAAGCTCCCATCCGCCGTGCCCGTGCCGACTCTGATACCATCCCTTTCGACACCACCCCTCTCGCCGAATCCGACGTACCAGAGGAAGACCACAGGCAAGTCACTGCCCTCCTCTCTTCTCTGCGCGTCAAGTCGAACGGGTCCCCGGCACCGACAGCGCCATTGCCGAGATTACCCTCGAGCCCCGCGTCGAGTTTGAGGCCGAGTATCGCGATGAGGCGACAGTCGGAACGGTCCTTGGCGTCTGCTGCCTCTGCTCAGAGTCCGTTGGATTCGCCAGTGCTTCCACCGCTTCTGCCTCCCCGCAGTGCTATGCGCGTCCCCCCACCCCCCATCGCCCCTCCTCCCGCTGGCCGTCTCCCACCCGTCCCCAACGTGCCCAACCTCCCCAAAACACCCGACCTCGCCAACAGCTCCTGCGACCACCGTCATTCCGGCGGCATCTTCCGCCCATCATCCCCCACTAATTCAGACGCTACCAACTTGCCAGCGACGCCCTCTGAGAGTCTGAGGGAGAGCTGGATCTTGCCGCAGCATAGGGATTGGTCTATCTCGACGGGATCTGGTTTGGGTGCGTTTGGGGCGATGCCAGGTGGAGGAGGAGGAGGAGGGGGCATGATGGATAGTAGGAGTTCGTCCGGGTCGGGGTTGACGGGGTTGTTGCCGGTCTTGCCGGAGGATGATCCCATGCCGACTCATGGGAATGGGCGATTCGACCTCTTCCCGTGGAAGAAGCAGGCGATGACGGAACACAGCTTGCTGCCTCCTGCGAGCTTGCACCACTCCCAAAGCCAGGGACAAGGGCAGACGCAGAGGAGTCAATCACCGAACGTCTCCCCCATCTCGCACAACCTGTTTTCGTTTGAATCTTCTCCCTTACCCACGCGTGCTCAGAGTGTGCAACAGTCAATGCACAACTCGCCCATCCCACCCACAGCGTCGAGGGTAGCATCATACTCGTCCTCGACCTTTTCTCCGACGTACCAACAGATACTCCAAAACAACCGTCATCTCTCGATCGCTACCCAGTCGTCCGGCACGTCGGGCTTGTCCAATATGTCGGGCATGTCGAACCCTCTGTCGCCTACGGGTACGGACTGGAGCGAGGAAAGTATTGGGGGTTTGATCAGGAGTTATACGGGGAAGGGGAAGAGCGGGATGGGGAGGGAGTTTGATAGTAGCTCGATTTCGTCTGGGTCGACGGGGACTAGTAGTAAGAAGGCCGCGAAGGAAGAGGCCAAACTGTAAGTTTTTGCCTCTCTGGAGATGACATGAACAAGAGGCTGATGACACGTGTAGTATTAGGGAAGCCGAAAAGCGACAGAAAAAGGCCGAAGCCCAAGCACATTTCGAGCAACTCCGCGCCGAGCAAGCCCGCAAGATGGCACTCTCCAAAGCCGAAGCCCAGCGTCGGGACGACATTGCGGCAGCCAACTCGAAAGCCCAGTTGGACAAGAAGGTGATGGAGAAGGCTGCCATGGAGCGGGAGAGGGAGCAGGAGAAGGCGGATGCCAAGAGCCTGAAGGGCGCGGGGGGGAGTGGAAAGAAGAGCAAGTGGGGAAAACTTGCGAATGGGTTCAAGGATGCGGTCTTGTTCCCTGAAGGAGGGTCGCAGAGCACAATGTTCTAAGACTCTATTCCTGGGTTTGAACACGCTTCTGGCCTTTCTTTCTCGTCTCTTTTTGGGCTTTTCGTTTCTCGCCTTTTGGGCCTCTTTCGGGTTTTGCTTGCCGTGGTGTGGGTGTATACTATTGTAGAATGGAGTCTGTCGAAGGAAGAAGAAGAAGTAGAAGAGAAAGAATATTAAAAAAAAATCGAAATCGAAAATCAAAAGCTTGTATTATGGTGTTGAATAACGTATAGAACGTATACCTATACTCTACCTAGACCCTTTCTCTCCCCCTTGTCTTTTGCTCTCTCTCTCTTTTCATTTATACTCTACAACCATACCAAAAAGTATCAATCAGATACCAAAGATGAAAATGATCATGACAACACTTGAAGGGCCAGAATCTTTGGCAGTTGGGTCTCTTGTCCTCGCTGCTCATGCAGCTCCTCCAAGTCCTCAGACGAGAGTCCGATCAGCGGTTAGGGTACAGTCATCATGTGCACAGAAGTGTATGGCTCGGCTGGACTGGGCGAGAAGCGAAGGGGTTGAATGCTCGGCGTACGCTGAATCGTCGTGATTGTATTTCTTGTGCGTATATCCAAGCCGATGGATGATTGGTGACCGCACCCATGAACCTTGATGTTGTGATCCGGTGCCGAGTTTGAAGAAGGTGAGTGAAGGCAGAGGAACTGCCTGTCAGAGAGACCACTCGATATTGGAGCCCTCGGGCAAGTTCAGCAAGCGATAGGAATACATACTCTACATGTGAGCTCTGCGCTCTTGATCTCCTTCACATCTTCCTCAAACCGCCCTCTCTCTATTCCTCTTCACTTTCTTCTCTTGTTTGCTCATCCCGCTCATGCTCGGCAGCGTTGATACTGGCGACAAGGTCGACTTGAGCGCTGGGATCTTGGTTTTTGCGCAACGATTGGAGACGTTGACCTGTAGTTATGTCAGATACATCAAAGAGTGATTGAGGAGATCGATTGACGTACGGAAGATGGTGGCGATGGCCTCGTTGGTCTTACGGTCCAGCTTGCTCATGCGGTTATCCATGTCTCTCTTGAGATCCCAGTTTGGCCGCTTTGGTTGGATGTTGAAGAGATCCTGGAGGGGTATGTCAGCAATCTATCTTGCCTTGTCCCAGTAGCACTAGAGTAGGAGAGAACAGACTCACAAGCTCCTCGGCCCTCTTCTCTTCATCCTCCTTGATGATCATCTCCGCCAGCCCTTCTACAGCCTTCTCCACAGTATCCTGATTTCCATCTTCGGCATCACGCTTCCGCAGATTACGAGTCTCGGGATCGTAGTTTCGTTGTTTCAGGGCGAAAGTGCTAGTCGAAGATCAGCATTCAAGTATAGAGAGGCGGATGGAGTCGAAGCCGCTACTGACCCGCTCGTCTCTCCCTCTTCCTTCTTTCTTCTCAGGGCGATAAGGCGCTCCTTTCTGGCAGCTGTGGTGGCGGCGAGGTTGGTCTCCATATCTAATTTTGTTGAGATGCAAGGGAAAAGACGGTCGAGAGTGTCGAGGCGAAAGAGCGCGACGAGAAGATCGAGGTGTGGTTGTGATTATGTAATCATCTCACCTCCACTCACATTTGCCACAAAATCTTGACCATCTCTATCATTCCCAGTCTCAAGATATCTGTTACAAAACCCTCGCCATGCCCGTAGCAGTGCCTCCGACAGAGGGTGTAGAGTCCCCACCTAAGGCTCCCGCTTCGACAGCGACAAAACCGCGAAAACGCTTCGTCGGCAGCTCCAAGACGGCCTCGTCCTCGAAGGGCGTAGTCAGGAAGGTGGCCAACCAGGTCCCAGATGATATCCTGCAAGACCCTGCAATCAATGCCGCCATAGCTGGTATGTCCGATGAATCATCTGTGGGATATCAATAAGAAAGCTCTGACTTCCATCAGCTCTGCCTGGAAATTACAACTTCGAGATCCACAAGACGATACACCATGTCCGCAGAGATGGAGTCAAAACTGTTGCTTTGCAGATGCCGGAAGGACTCATGATGTATGGCTGCGCCATTGCGGATATAGTAGAGCGGTATGTTACCTTGTGAAATATAGGAGTAAAGTTGCTGACTGATTGGCGTAGCTTTACTGGTGCGCTGCCAATGTTGCTGGCAGATGTCACATATGGTGCCTGTTGTGAGTACAGCCATTCACCTGTTTCTGGATGATATTCATAATCGTCTCACAGGTATCGACGACTACACAGCACGAGAAATGGGTGCCGAAATGATTGTACATTATGGCCACTCCTGCCTTAGTGAGTCTCCTCCATCATCTCAGTACAGGCGCTAACGGTCCTGTGCAGTCCCTGTATCCCAGACGACACTCAAAACTCTCTACGTATTTGTAGAAATCGGCATCGACACTCCCCATCTTTCCCTCTCTGTCCGCCGCAACTTTCCTTCATCCCGTTCCGCTTTCCAGCGATTGATTCTTGGTGCCAAGGAAGCAGCCCCGGGTGGCAAAGTGCCCATAGCATTAGAATCATCAGACGCTGAAGCGAGAGATCAGTCTTCTTCCGTTGCGGAGGAGGATTTGCCGACGAGACTGGCGCTGGTGTCCACTATTCAGTTTGTCGCCGCAACGCAGGGACTTCGACAGGATCTGGAGAATGTGATGCCGCCTCTGGAGAAGGAGCATGTAGAAGAAGGAGGAGAGGAACAAGATGGGATGATGGTCAAGGTGAAGAGAGGAGATATAGGAGTATGGAGGGGAAAGTATGATGTGACAATTCCTCAGGCGAGACCCTTGAGTCCCGGAGAGGTTCTGGGCTGCACGGCGCCGAAGCTGAAAGACGTCGATGGTCTGATGTGAGTCTTTTTCTCTCTTCCATATCTTCGGTGCTGACTATAGTGCAGATATGTGGGTGACGGCCGATTCCACCTCGAATCCATCATGATCGCCAACCCCTCCGTCCCCGCCTTCCGATATGACCCCTACTCCAAGAAATTCACGCGCGAAACATACAACCACACCGAGATGCGTGGCTTGCGCGGAGACGCCGTCAAGAGTGCAAGGAAGAACCTAGCAGACCACGGGTCGGGCAGTTGGGCAGTCTTGTTGGGCACTTTGGGCAGACAGGGCAGCTTGGCGGTTTTGAAGAGTGTACAAAACTCGTTACCAGAAGGGTCATTACCTCCAATGCTCTTGCTGCTATCCGAACTATCACCAGCCAAGCTCGCCCTCCTGCCTGAAGAGCAAATATCAACATTCATCCAAACCTCCTGCCCCCGTCTCTCCATAGACTGGGGCTACGCCTTCTCCCGTCCACTGTTGAGTCCCTACGAAGCTAGTGTAGCTGTCGGCAGGATCAGAGGATGGGAAGGGCTCACTCTCGAAGCCGCTTCTTCGGGACCTTGTGCCTCGGGACAAGGCTCATGCGGGTGTGGGAAGGAGGAGGAAGGGCAGTCGTGCGGGTCAGGCAAGGGTGGTGAAGGTGAAGGCATCATGCAGCGGCTCGAGGGCGCTGGGGAGTATCCGATGGACTTTTATGCGGATGATTCGCTGGGTCCTTGGACGCCGAGACATCGTCCGCCGAGGGAGAGGGCGGCCAGGCCGAGGCCTCTCAGGAGCGCTGTTGCTTAGGATACTGGCCGTTGTGCTGTACTTGTAGTTGTACGCAAGTGTAAAATCATGTATGCAGCATTCACCAAAAAACATTTACGGTACGAGTTTTGTTGAAGGATGCGCTCGAATGGCTGTCGAGGAAGACAGGATTGAGAGCGCCCAGACCAGCAGCTTTGTTATTGTGTGAAAAGGATGGGCGATAATGGTCCACCTTTTCGATATCGATCATGGTGAGCCGCTTCGGTCAGAGCGATCGTCCAATTGTGACAGCGATAGCATAAGCTCCCTAGCATCTTGCGTAACTGTCTGCCAAGGAGAGCAATTGTATATCCCATCGGTCCTTTCAGCACCAAGACCTGGGTTACCATGGCGGTCGGATTAGAAATTCTTCTGATGATGATGAGATTCGAGCTCCTCATGTAATATTCGACAGTCGAGCTGACAAGAGCGTGTGGCATTTTCCCATGATCGTTACAGGTGCTGTGTAAGAGTGCATGACAAATCAGTCTGGAAGCCCGATACGTATAAAAGACGCTAGGGATCGTCAGATAACACATTCAGTCTATCCCCAATAGGCCAGTGACACTATGAGCGGTGATCAAAACCAACAATCCTATGGCGGCGACTTTGGCGGCAGCGGTTTTGGAAGCGGTTTCGTAGTAGCGCCAACGATCCTGGGGCAGCTGGTACATCCATGGATATGACGTATGTTCCCGATGACCCCTTCTGGACGTCTCCGGTACGTATTTGCATCTTTGTGTTGACGATGGACGGGCGGCATAATGTGATCCACCCCGACCTACTTCCGACGTTTTACGAAGACTATGAGGACACCTGACTGTCTGCATCCATGTGTTGGATATGGTGCCGTCCGATATGCAGAGAGATCTGTCGACTTGTGTTGACATTGCTACTTCCCATCAACCACCCGCGAATGCTCTCACCGACAGGAGTTCCTTCATATCCTGCAGGAAAATAATACTGGAGAATGGGGGCCGAGCGCTCAGACCAATAATGATCAATATCAGCAGGTGATTCACTCTTCCCAGTCCCCTGGCTGGCCACAACTGACTTGACCTGATACAACAACAGCAGCAGATCGGAGAAGGTAGTACTCTACTGTTCAAGCAAGCTTCCCTCCCCAACCATGGTCGGGTATGTCATGTTGATGTCCTTCTGTCCCTGTCACGCAATTGCTGACCCCCAAGTATGATCTTATTTCAGATGCAAGACTAATACGTCAAATGAGGAATGGTAAACGTGTTCCGTTGTCTGAGCTGAACGAGGAAGAGAAAGCGAGCCTCCGTGAATATAGTAAGCAAATCTAAACTCTGCCCTGCTGTCTTCTGCTAAACATCGTTTCTGTAGACAAGCAGAGAACGAGGGCGCACCGAGTAAGGAAGCCTCGAGGAGAAACTAAAACTGAAGGCGGTAGTAGTCGAGGGGGACATGGGGAGAAGAAGACCAAGTCACAGCCACCCTACGATCCCCGATTTGGGGTAGATACTGAGTTCCCACCATTTGATGAGGAGTCTGCCATCCCCCCGCCCACTCAAGAGGAGATCGAAGAGTTAGCTTCCGAGTTTGGGCAATTGTGGTGGTCAAGTTCACAGCAGCAGCAGTAATGTTGGGTGATGATGAGATGGGTGACTGCTTTGTCTTTCTGGCCCTTCATGCCAGAGACGACGTCTTGATTGATGATTAGTAGTAGAACAGCAGCATGCACAGGAAGTTTAAAATACGACCAGTATATTGACAGGTTTGTCAACAGCGCATTTGACAAGGTAACCCGTCAGCATAGTGTATGTCTCCGAGAGGAAGCCGATACGTCCAATGAAGAATGGTAAATCCCGATATCTGCAATCGTGAGTGAGGGAAGGAACAGAGCCCTCCTCCCAGCCTCCTCCACAAAAGCCGGAAATCCGTCGTCTACCCCAAATCGAGATCCATAGGGGGGTTGTGACTCGTTCTGCTTTCCTCGTTGCACTCGATGAGTACGGCAATTGCGATGACTGCCTTCATTTGTAGCTTCTTCTCGGTCTTCGTGTCGTCTTTTTCGGCCTCTGTGCTCTTGTAAGTTCTCTCTTGTCTACAGCAATGGACAAAGTCGGCGATATTATTATGTGCTACCCACATACTATGTGCTTGACATGTACTTGTATGTGATGAAGACAGCAGTGGGGATCGGTCTTCTGTTACTATATTCACGCAGGGACTTCTGTTCTTCCTCGCTCATTATCACAAGAGGGGATGGAGACACTGGCTATGTATTTTGGCGAGCTGTGGTGGGCAAGCACGCATCAGCAGCAGCACTGGCAGCGTCTGGTGGGGACAAGACGGGCGAATGTCTTCCTCTAGCCCAAACGCATGGCAGCATGCACAGAGATATCTAGATGAAATTTGTGTTTCTGAGTGTTGGGTGTACATTCGAGTTTCGATCTTCTCACCCTTCTGGAGGGGCAAGGAGTGTCGACGACAGACAGGCACCAGAGAGCTTACTGCTGGACAGGATCTGGTCCCAGTATATACCCACAGTATGACAGCACAACGATACCTCTCCGGACGGACCCCCATGATGCGCGGCACGCAGCGGCAACAACTGAGCCTTTCGGTATTCCGAGTCGTCGCGTATATCGCGTATGCATCGTCGCGCTGTGGTGAGGTTGGGACATGGCGTCAGAAAGTGGAGAAAGAGTTTGACCATCTGCTGGTTTCACAGAACTTCTGGAAGTCTGAATATTGAATGAAACAATGGTTATTCTGGGGAAAAGGAACGGAAGTTTAAAAATAACCCAAACTGTCGTCGCCAAGAGAACTTATGTAAAATGTTCTTGAGGCAGCATGCATGAGTAGGTATACACGGTTTGACTGTGTACATTTGATACCCATCGGCACACGTGCCAGGCTGGCCGCCTCGTTGGAGGCCTGGAGGCAGATGATACCGGTTACCGGAGGGACTGGAGGAAGAGATATACAAGCCACCCGGCATTTGCAGGAACATTGAAGAAGTTGAACGAAAGATGTTACGGCGCAACAGAACTCAGCTCGACGGAGAAGCGTCTAAAGTTTGGATGGTCTAGATGCTGTCAGCTAGTATGGCGGCACTTACTTGAAGCTCGATTGCAGGATGTAGGCTGAGCCTCTTCCCTCTCCACAGTATATGTGCAGATTCATCCAGACGCCTCGATCTCAGAGTAGGACTTTGTATGCAGGCCGGGTATACCAAGTAGGAGGCCCTAAAAGCAAGTATTATGGTGCCTCACTTATATGCTCGCTGCTCGCTGCCTGTGTTGATACTTGGATCCATGCAGAGCGCAGAGGCCAGACCGGAAGTCTATACCTGCGCATCCACAAGCCTTGATCACATTTGATCTTTGATCCTTGAACTTGTTTCTGGAAAAGCGCCAAAAGGAAGCTACCGCTGTCACGGTCGGTCGCGCCCGCGAAATGAGACGGGAAGGCCTCTGCTGCTTCGACGTATCGAGAGGAGCGTACGACGCGCGGGATGGGATATGTTCTCTCGGCGGGACGCAAGGACGCAAGCATACCCATCGCCAATCTGGCAGAGACATCTGCATGCATGCAAGCAGGTGAAACGAAAGGACGAGCAGCATCTGCCGGTCGAGATGGGTACGGTTGTCACGCCGTTCCTGGCCCAATCTTGAGCCTCTTATTACGCACAAAGTCCACAACTTCAGGGCGCCCACGGCACTTCGCCTTCAAATGTCGAAATGAACGGGAAACATCTCTCTTTTGCATTCCCACGTCGATATAACTCAGCAGCCCACTGCCCCCACGCTCTTTAACACCCTCGTCCCCAGTGCTCATAGACGCTCGACTCGCTCTACTGCCACCATGCCTCGCTCTCCTTCTTCCCCTTCCATGCTTTCCCAGCGCAACACAATGCCTACTCCCTCCACAGCCGGCTCTCCATTACTCATACCGCATCCAGAACGATCTGCCATTCATCGTTTCACCACCCAACAACGCCCCTCATCCCCTCGTGCTTCGCCCTACCCCTCGCCATCGCCCTCACCCCCAGGCGTCTCACGACCGGGTATGAGCCGACGCCCTGGCCCACCTCGCCGCACACACTCATTCTGCGCTACAGAGCAGCAAACATTTGCCCTGGCTTCAGCCTCAACTTCTAGTCATCTTTCGCCTGACAAGGCTTGCATCGTTGCGCCCCCGCTCGAGAGGACATTGAGCTCTATCGGGTCAAAGGGTAATATGTCGTCTCCCGAGCAGCGCATGGCGAGGCCGTTACCTGATCTAGCGGAGATTCATGAGGAAGACGATATGACGACGCCAAAGAAGGCTCGTTTTGATTCTTCCGATAGGCGTATCTTAACCGAGATGAACAGTAACCTTCAAGTGAGCTCTCCCGTTCCCACAAGTATATTGTATATGCTGATATAGGTATTAGTTGAATACCCCGGGCCACTCTCCCGTTACGATCGTCTCCCCATCCCCAGTCAAAGTTCCCACAATCCTCGTCCACCCCTCTCTCTCCCCTCCTCGCCCATCTCTCGCTCCTCTTCGGACATCCTCCGCCTCCTCCTCGGCTTCCGCTTCTTCTACCTCATCCCGCTCCTCATCATACACCATCGTCACACCAGCTTCTCCCCGCGGTATGCTGTTCAACGTCCCTGTCAGAGAAAGGGACTTGGATGAAGAGATGGAAGATGTTGACGGAGTGTTGGGGTACATGGATGTTGTGGCAGCAGCAGCAGGGAAGAAGAAGAGGCCTGTGAGCTGTGAGGCGGCGGTGGAGAGGGTTGTGAATGGGGTGGACAGGCTTGCGCTCTCCTGTTGATAGTAGCGGGACCTTTCTTTGACACTCTTTACGACGGACACGTGTTTCTATTAGATTTCCTTCCCAATATCATATACCAAACGACCCTGTAGCTTTTTACCCAAACCCTCATCACTCTCCCATCACCTTTATCCCATTCAATCACCTCCTCTGTATACCTCATAGGCCCGTATCATTTTCTCACATTCACGATAGCTATTGTTGGCAGACGTCTGAAGATTCGACAGACAACAGAAAGATGGAAGAAGTATATAAACAACCAAATGGACTTTTGACATGTTGATATGTATCGGGTAAACTATATCTATCCCAGCACTGGCAGAATAGACAAACGTATAACTCTCCATGCATGCTGCCCTGATACCACCCTTTAATCCTGATGGATACGCTGCTCGATGAGGCCAAAGAAGGATACACTGAGAACTGCTGTGACGGCTACTGCGGTCAGTAATTCTGCGACCACAATTCCCCAAACTCGCGAGACACTTTCTCCATCTCTTCCTCGGTGGGTGGGGGTTAAGCGGATTCCTCAGCAAAAGCTGGGAATTCCTCATCTACCCCAAACCGAGAGTCTTAGGTTTCTGATTTGGACTCATCTTCTTTCCTTTTCTTCGTCGGCTGAAGGTTCTCTACAGCTTCTTATCTATACGTTGATTGAAGCGCTGATAAAATCAAATACTCGGCTAGACCGCAGCAGACGAGGTGAACATATGAAAGAAGACATCCAGGGCCTCAGCCGATGTGAACGTAACTGCGTGATTATGAGGCAGCCCGACTGTGCCACCGTATCTGTGGGAGGTTCTTGCTTTTAGACCGCTATACTGCCGCAGCCGATATTGCCGGGATGGTCAAAGGAGCGGTCCTTATGGTGGTGTTGGCAGTCAGTGTTACGGATGGAAAATAAAGCCTACGGGACTGCTTTCGTGCTTCAAAAAGATCGAAGTCACCGTTAAGTTGTTGATGATGTGTCCCTCAACATACAGCGATAGGAAGGGATCGCGCCGGTGCCGCTGCCGCTTCCTCTCTTGAAAGGGTTAGGCGGAAGACCGCTATCATGAATCGGCGTATTTCTGCCTTATGTGCGCGCCTTATGTGCAGTAACCGAGCATAGTAGGACGCTGCTAGCCTCCGTTTTGATCATCAACGAAGGGGAGCACATTGTCTTTGCCAATCTAGTACTTTGTCTCAGACATCCGATCTGTGTGAACTAGGGACAGCCCTCAGATACCACCGCCTATAGCTACACGATCCATCTCGGAAAAACGACAGTCAATAATCGGCCGGATGCTCTATCTACGCATCGACATTGATGATATTCAAGATCTCCGGCATCTTCGCCTGTAGCTCCATATGCCCTCTCAGCACCGACGACACATCCACATTCTCCACCCCCGGGTACTCTACAGGGCCCAAGCCGGCCACGCGAATCCCACTCGACCCCATCGCAGCTTTCGAGACCACCTCATGCAACCTTTGTGAATCCAGTCAGCTCTCTCCTCCCAAAATCTCACAAAAGAGACGTACCTCACAACACCTGCCAACACAAAGTCAGAATCACTCCACACATTCACCAATCTTCTCGCTACCACGCTTCTGCACTGCTGCCACTCTTCTTGCGTCGGAGCTGCGGGTAGAGAGATGAGGAAGGCGGATTCGACGTATGCTGGAACGGAGGAGCGGGCGCCGGGGGGTGTTGGAAGAGAGGCGAGGTAGAGGAGAGCGTGTTGGATGGTCAAGGCTCCGACAGATGAGCCAATCTACATGAATCAGTGGTGATAGAAGGAGGTTATAGGGAGGTACGTACGAGAATGACAGGTCGTTCGCCTTGAACGCGCTTTTCGATGACTTCTCCAAGGAGTCGACCGGCTTTCTTGGCTCGGTCCTGCGCATGCACCCAAGTGTTGTCAAGAGTCATAGAGGCCATCGAGTACACCGTTCTGGGCCGTATGATCAGTCTAGGACACTCGGATGGATGGGAAGGTACTCACAGAGGCAGGCTGACGGCGGCAAAGTAAGCGTTGAGAAGAGTGCGCTTGATGATTTCCTTCTTGACGTATCCTTTAAGCTTGCTTTCCACTGAAGGAACGATAAGCTATACATCGCAAGACATGTAAGATCTCCAACTCACCCCAGAATTCCACATCCTGTCCGGTCTTCAACATAGCGGCACTCTCAAATCTCAACAGATAGACGTCTCGCCCGTCTTTGAGCCCAAGCTGCTTTCCTTCCTTGACTTCTTCAGCCCCAATAGGCTCACCCTTCTCCCGAGGTACGACACGAGGAGCGAGAGTCGCCTGAGAACTGGATACGGACGAGCAGATAGCTCGCCAAGCGGAGATGGCTTCGGTACGGGATACAGTAAGAAGACCGGGAGCGACGATAGTGGCCTGCAGTCATCGTTAGCGCTTATCTGAGCTAGAAAAGAAAAGCATACAGTCAAACTGGGAGGTTTGGGTGCTTCAGCGATAGCTTTCTCATCTTTCGGCTTGTTGAGAGAAACACGAGGGCTTTCAGGAGTCGCGTTGAACGAGTCGTTGGGCCCAGAGATACTCGTCCTCGTGCCAGATTTGAGAGTAAGACTCAACAGCCTTTGTTCGATATCCAATCGTCCGGCTTCAACATTCTTCGCCGCTTGCTCATCACTGATGCTCCCATCCTCCCCAGGCTTTTCTTCTTCCTGCTTCTTCTCGGCCTCTTCCTTCGCCTTTGCAGCCGCGTCATCCTTGACCTTCTTGCTTGACGCTTGAAGATCATCAATCTCTTCCTGAGTAGCCTTGTTGCCATCGCCGATCTCGATAAAGCTGAATTCTTCTACGCCCCTCCATCTTTCACGGACTCGTCGACCGGCAAGACCGCCACCACCGACGCCAAAGAGGGTACCGAGGACGACTGGGGCGGCCGACGCGGAGAGGACGGTGCCGATACCGAGAGGAGCAAGGACGGCGGCGATTGCAGGAGCAGCTTTGTGGATATCAGTAAGGCGCTATATTGCCTAGAATGAACGTACCGAGACCTCCTGTGACACCCAAAAGCACACCACCAGCTACTACACCAGCGCCGGTAGCTACAAAGACATCAGCTTCGAGACGTCAAAATATTCGAGAGATACTCACCCAGATGGCGCCCAAGAGATCCACCCCATCCTTGAGATTGCGCCGCCCTAGCACTCTCCACTTTGTCTTTCTGCTCATGGTAAGAAGCAGACTTGAGCGCTTTGAAGAGAGTATGAGCGAGGTTCTTCTCGGCTCCTGGGATGAGCTCGTTGGCGGGGAGTCCCAGTAGCTGAGCTGTTCGATACGACAGTGCCCGCGCAACGGGCGTATACTTGAGCGCACCCTCCTTGTTGCCCTTCTTTGCACTCTCCTGTGCGTCCTGGGCTACACTGGCTTCTATGAAAATGCCAGCAATCCTGATGATCTCCTCTCGGCTCCACTCTTCTCTCTGCTCATCTGCAGCGAGCTTGACATGGCTTGGCTCGATAGACGAAGGTAGCTGCTCGATGTTGAATTCCAGCAGCTTGCAGACTGATCGGATCCATGATGTCGACTCTGCCTCATACCACTTTTGGGCACTTGCTGAAAGAGTGACAGATGACTTGGCGCAGAGAGAGGCGAGAGCGACGATGAGGCGGAGGGGAGGGGCCAGGGGGTCTGGTGGCTTTGGGAGGTCGGCCGCTGGCATGGCGATTGATGTTTGGGTGGGGAAGAAGATGGAAGTACAGTTGAGAAATGGAGATACATATAATTGGGTCAAAGACGTAGTGGAGCACAATAATAGTCAATATCGCTCATGGTTCCAGGGTCAGCTCGGCCTGCCGTGACGTCAAATGCGGAGAAGGCCGCTGCTCTTTCCTTCAACCGACAAGAGCAAGATACGATACAATGGACAGATGCATGTCATGCTAAACTATGAATACTCGTCTCAGACAAACTGGAATTATGGTTCAGAAAGTACTAAAGATACAATTGGTTTGATTCGAACGAAAGACATCTGAAAGAGAACATTTTACACCCGACCGAGGCCCCTGCGCCTGTGAACAACGCGGCTGATATCCCTCTCACTTGCCCGCGTTGGCAGTGATCTCCTAGCCGCCTTGGTAGTGGATACCGAGCTGGTGTAGTAGATACCCAGACGGGCACTGCCTCCACAAGTCTGGGTAGAGTCGCCCTTGCACGCGTAAAGACACTTGGCGTCCGTAGAGTCCTTCTTGGTCGAGGCTGGGGCAGTGTTGCCACAATAGCACTATGACGATCGTTAGCATTGCAAGGAGAATCTAGAACATTGACTTACCTCGTTGTAGTACTCCAAACCCGCGTACTGATACCCAAGGCCAGCACAGTAGCTGACACAAGTCTTGGCAGTCATCGTACTGGTAGAACTCTTGGTTCCCTTCAGGGTACGATCAGACCCGCTGTCGGAGTAACATCCCAGATACGTAGAACCAGTGATGGTCGTGATAGCGAGACTGGTGCTGGATGCAGCAGCGCTTGACGAGGAGGACGTGGAAGTGGAAGCCTTTGACGTGGAAGAAGCGGCAGAAGTCGATGCCGCGGCGCTAGTGGTCGAAGCCTTGGACGTCGATGCGGCAGCCGAAGAGGAAACAGAGCTGGCCTGGTAGATTGCTACTCGACCACCACCGCCACAGAATTGAGTGGAATCGCCTAAACATCGAGTCAGTCTTCTGATATTTGAGCTAGTATACGAAACACCCACCCTTGCACGCATAGTGACATTTAGCGTTGGTAGAGTCCTTCCTAGACGCAAGAGGAGCGTAAGAGCCACAGTAACACTGTATGCCTGGTCAGCGAATACTCAAACGATCATGAGACCCAGACGCACCTCGTTGTAGTACTCAACACCGGCATAGGCATACCCAAGACCCGAACAATAGCTGACACAAGTCTTCGCAGTCATGGTATTCGTAGTCGACCTGGTGCCGTTCAAAGTGTGGTCGGTACCGCTGTCAGAGTAGCATCCGAGGTATGTCGTGCCATCAACCACCGTGATGCCACTGGTAGCAGCGCCGGCGGCACTGGAGGTGCTAGAGGCAGCCGCAGGGCTTGAAGCTGAAGTGGAAACGGCAGGGGTGGTGGCATTGGAGGTTGTCGAGGTGGCGGCGGCGCTAGTGGTGGTGCCGCCAGCAGCGTTGCCTTGGACGATGTACCAAGATAGACGACCACCAGAGCCACAAATCTCGGCAGAGTTTCCTATTATCAAAGTCAGCTATCATCACGAGCGAGAAGAAAAGAGCTGCTCACCTGCACACCTGCTCGTACAATAGGACTCGGGGAAAAGCGGGGTATTGATCTTGACCGACAGCGGAGCCGCATGACACTCATTCCCATTCTCAGTGCCATACTGAAGACCACCACTGCCGAACGACTTGACTGCCTGGCCCTTACAGAGGGACGAAGACATGCCGCCGCTGGTATAGGTCAAGTTGGGAAGCTTCCGGGGGTTGTCGGTGATACAGCCGACGTAGTTGGCGGGATAGCCGGAGGGAGGTTGAGATCCCGCGCCGGTGGTGTCGTAGACGGAGAGAGCGGCAGAGTGTGTACCGCCACAATTCAAAGTGCTGTTTCCGGAACCTATACTTCATGTCAGCGCTGGCCGTCGACTCGAAGATGAATACTCACAAGCAGCGTTACAGACGGACGAGGCAGCAACAGCGCCATAAGAAGTCGAGTTGCCACAGTAGCAAGCATTACCGTTGGTGAGGGCGGCAATGGAATACGAGTTGGCTCGACAAGTCCTTCGACAAAGACCAGTGGTCATGTAGGCGCCATTGTAGTTGAGACCCGCAGAGGTGAGGAAAGTGCCTGGAGAGTAACAGCCGGTATAGCCTTCCGCGCTGGTAGAGGTAGCGCTGCCGGTGGTGTTGTAGATGGCCGCTTGCGTAGATCCACCACAGTACTCGGTCGTGTTGCCCTTACAGGTGTAGCTTTGACTAGAGGGGTGTCAGCGATTGTATATAAAGATGTGATTGACTTACCATTGACTGGCGGGAAGCTTGGTCAAAGAGCTCGAGATAGAGTTGCCACAGCCACACGAGTTGCCAATGTAGACCGAGGCCAAGCTGTATCCCAAACCAGAACAAGAGCTTCGGCAGCTTTCGACCGTCAAAGAGCTGTCGGTGTACGAGTACGTGCTCAAGACACGGTCCGAGTTCTGATAGCAGCCGACATAGGCGGAAGCAGAGAGACCTGGCATAGCAGTGGAAGCAGTCGAGTTGGCGAGAGAGTAGGCTTCGATGTAGCCGCTAGCGCCGCACGTTTGGGAGGCGGTGTTGGTGCAGTTGGTGGTACAGTAGAGGCTGCTGACCATCTGCTGACTGGATGGAGCGGCAGCGCCACACTTGCACTGGTTGCCATTCTATAACTTTGTCAGCAAGATATCAATTGAAAAAGGCAAGTCTCACCTCGACACCGCTGTAGGCATAGCCAAGCTCCTGACAAGCAGATTTGCAGATATCAACAGACATGGTAGTAGCGCTGTAGGAATAGGCGTTGGAGAAGGCGAGGTTGGACCCGGCGTCCTTGAAGCAACCGAGATAGCTCGAAGGCTTCTTGGCGGCCACGGTCGCAGGAGTCACAGTGGCGCTCGTGACAGTGTAAAGATCCATAGCAGCACTGCCCCCGCATGTCCCAGTTGAGTTTCCAGCGCACTTGGCCTGGCACTGGCTCGTGGGGAGGACACTCTTGGAAGAGGACGGAGTGTTGCCGCAGTAGCACTGAGACCTAGAGTAGAGGCCGGCGTAGCCGTAGCCGAGCTCGGAGCAGCCGTTGATACATTGGTTGACAGACATGGAGCTGAGAGTCCAAGAGTTGGCGGTGAGACCGAGGTGGGAACCCGAGTCGGTATAACATCCTTGGTAGCCAGCAGCATAACCAGCGACAGCAGCGCCCGTGACCTGGGAGATGTCGTAAACCGAGTCTTTGTAGTAGTCCCCGCAAATTTCGGATGAATTACCGCTGCATTTGGTAGTACACTAGGTCTTGTCAGCCTTTGATTCATGTAACACAGCGTAGACTTACTTGGTTGTCGTTGACGAACGCGCCAGTGCCATAAGTGAGGTTCGTACCGCAGAAGCAGTTCTTCTGAGAGTTTGTCGCGGCCCACTTTGCGCCTTGGCCGGCACAAGCTTGAATACAGACCTCGGTAGTCATAGAGTTGGAGTTGAAGTTGTAGGTAGACTGACCAAGCAATCCGGCGGTAGTAGGAGAGGGGTTGGAGTAGCATCCGAGGTATGAAGATCCGTCGGAGCGAGTACTGTTGGCGGACGAGGTAGTGCCATTGGGAGCGTAGTAAATGTTGTACAGATAGCTTCCTCCGCACAGCTCGGCAGAATTACCGGGGCAGGCAACGGTGCACATGCCAGGCTTGACTTCGGCTTTCGAATTGATACCAGTACCACACTTGCAGTTCCAAGTACTGCCCTGTTGTCCGGCTAATGGGAAAGGTAAGCGAATGAACCCACATGAAAAGAAGCAACTCACTAGCAGCATACTGGTACCCAGCGGTGAGACATGTCGACTGACAGGATTCCTGAGTCATACTAGAGTCGGTGTAGGATACACCGCCGGTAAGAGACGAGATGTCTTTAAGACACGCGATGGTGTGCCAGCCAGGTGTGGTGGGAGCGACATAGTCTCTGCGCTCCGCAGTGGAAGCGATATAAGCACCGTCGGTACCCTTGAAAGAAGAAACGTCTATGCCGGCGACCGCAGGGCTACAGGTGGGCTTGCTGCCAGAAGAGCCCCAGACGGGGTTGCATTCGGGAAGACGAGGAATGGTGACGAGGTCGTCGTTGCCAAGAATAGGCTCGGTCAGGGTACCCTTCTCGGGTGTACAAGACGCTTGAGCACTGGCGTCGAAGGAAGCGTAGAGGGTTAGGCATTCGTCCATAGGGCTATGAAAGTGTAAGCAAAGTGAACAAACACGAAAGAAATGACTTACGTGGCCTTGCCCTGCCTACAGGACGTGTCATTGTGCAGAGCCTTGGTCAAGACGTCAATGTCCCAGCCATTGACAAAGTCACCGTGGATGCCGTACCCTATGGATCAAGTCAGTATGGAAGCTCCACAAGAGCCAGGCTGAATGTAGCAAAATAAGAGATTGGAAGGTGATGGTCGTTTCCCACAGCAGCAGGAGTCGGCAGCCGAGGGCACTCGACGGAGGTCGCCGCGCACAAAAGTCACTCAACGCTGAAAAAGTTACGAACCTGTGGTGTCTCCGTTCGCCCATGCAAGGTTCCCCTTAAGAGCCGTTTCCGGGTTGTGGTAAGATGTGTACCATGTGTACTCCAGCTAAAAGACATTGGTCAGTTTCAGTCTTCGCGTACCAGAAGAAAGATACACACCTGAATGGCAGGAAGTCGGACCGGATGGGACCAAGGACAAGACCCATCTCGCACATCTTGACTGGGATAAGACATGTGCGAGCCGTCGCTTTTGTAAAGGTTGACACCATCCCAGCAAGGAGGGAAATAGAGCTCGGTCTTCATTCCCCAAGGACAGTCACGCTCAAAGTTGAAGTTGTCAAGGATGACAGAGTCGGTAAAGCCCGAGTTGATCTGACATGTGAAGGAGGCGACGCTGGTGGCAGCCTTGTTATTGGGGCTACCGGTGAGCATACGAAGGCCCTTTGGGAAAGGGGAGACGAGCTCGGCGTCCGAGTTTTGGGAGAGGAAGTAGTAGAATCGGATCTTGGCGGGGACAGGGGTGAAGGTGACATCGGATGTACCGGCATTGTCGAGAACATAAAGATCTGTGGCTATCAGTATGGCGAAGATGTGAGAGGGCAAAATCACTTACTAGGCATCCAGTAGTTGGACTTGTCGGCTTGCACTCTCAATGATGAGCACTTTGCGCCCGCATAGTCATCGAAGTTATAGTAAGCGGCCATGCGAGACCCGCCGATGATCTTGTGCATGTGGGACGCCTGGGCATTGGGACTGACTACCGGGTCGAGAGCTTCGTTGACCAATGTGTTGACGTAGTCGAGATGCCATGCTGAATCGCCTGCCGTGGCAAAGACAGCTGCTGAAAGAGCACCTAAGAGGTGAAGTGGGTTGACGAGCATGGTCGTCGCAAAAGTTTGTAATCGTTGATCGTTATCGAGTCTTGTAGGCTTGCTGGAGGGTCGAATGATAGAATGGATGATAAGCGCGGGGGTGGGTGTGGCGAGGAAGAGGTATTTCGGGGTGGGCTATTATATGTGATATCAGTCGAAGGAGATAGCCGATCGGCGATGAGGGGTCAATGAGGTGGAAAAGCAGTAGCGATGATGTCGTTGTCCACACACATAAACTTTGTTGAGACGTGCAGGTTCCAAGCAGAGGGCAGAGGGCAGAGCGCGAGGGAGGGCTGTAGAGCGCCGAGCCCAGATCCAAAAAAAGTAGGATACGACGGGAATAAACATGATGCGTAAGGGTCGACCGGAGTAACCCAGGGGTGACATCTGGAGTTCGTACAGAGGGTACAGAGGCGCGCGGAGGTGGCTTGCAGCAATTGACCGAATGAAGCGAAAGAGCAGGAGATCGAAGTGTAAACACGTCAACAAACACAAACCCAGAGAAAATAAAGTTCTTCCAAGCTGCCCTGAATGCTTGTTCTGGAGAGTTTCCGAAGCGGCGTTCCTTAACTCTCCACTGTGCCTATGGGCGTGCCTCGGTGGAGGTGACCTGAGTGGCAGCATGTCGGTCCAGCGTTTCATATGGATATCGTGCGTGCGTATGCGTCCCTCTGTGACACCCAGCCTTGGCGAGATCTCCGGCCTTGGACGGGACCTCTCTCTTGGGTGCTTAGTTAGCCACAGGCCCCACAGGTCACAGACATCGTATGCAGCTATCTTGCACCAGCCCGAAGTTCAAGGGCTTGTGGTACGTATCAATAATCCGGCACAAGGCAGGCAACTGCGCCGGGATACAAGAGATCTTCTGCTTGAATGCCCAAGGCCCCAAAGGCACACCTGCAGTTGGTCGATTGTGCACTACATACTTGACATGTCACTACCGAGCTCAGACAGCGACAAGCATCGCCCCCGCCCCCGGCGGGCCACAGCACAGCACATACATACTAATCGCTTTGCATTGACCGTAATAATGTCATAAATTCAAAGTCCTCCCGTGATGCGTTTGTGATCGCGTCGGCCTGGGAGCTGAGGACGACTGAGACAGTGACCATGGTGGGACGTTGTGAGAGAAGGATGACATGTGCTCCAAAAAACTCTGATCTCATCTGGTTTTCCCTTCCCCCCTGGCACAAACAGGTACGTACCGAGGCCAAAGATCAATGAGAGAACTGATTCCAGTGATTGTGATGACGAATCACCTCTGGTTTTTGAGTTCCAGGGGGACTGCTTCTGACATCATTCAGCTTCTTTGGGAAGTCATTTGGGCTCGATCATTGTTCCATGATGCGTATGCAGTGAGTCTTAGTGGTGAGAAAGTCAACTTTATTCCGTTTAGCGCACCGGATCCCGCCGCTTTAGGAAAGTTTGGCAGGCTTCACCGGCCGAGCCGCGCAGTCTACATTACTCCTTGAACGTAAAATGTTTATTGTTATGTCTCTTCATTCCAGATCCTTGTTGCAGCCGAAGCAGCGGAGCACATAAAGCGGGGATCAAAGCCATCGAATAAGATCCACGGCAGCAAATGAATCCAGTGCTGGAGGTGGAGGAAGGCGACTATGGCATTCGGTGGTCGGGGCATGTAAAGAGGCCGAGGGTCATGAATAATCTTGTGGAGCTCTGGCCTCTGGGCCTTGTTTCGCGTCGTTTGTGGCTGCCTAAGAACTGTTGATAGCCGGTGCTGCAAGCTGAGAAGGGCAACGTTCGATGGCAAGTAAAATCAGAGGGATGTATGAGGGGAAAAATCCTGTGGAGCTCAGGACAATTGCCTTGGCCTTGTTTTGTCTGCTGCTGCTCGAACGCCTGAGGGATTCATACATGTGGCTCGTATACAGGCGCCCAGGGTCCGGCATTTGAAGCTGTCCCCAGTATCACATGGGGATATAATCGATGTGCGTCAGGAACAAGAGAGAGCAGGTATCCAGCGCGATCGGTCATGTTTACAAGTGAAGGAAGATATTGAAGCACGAGAGGAGAAGTAACTTTGATTTGTCGCCGGTCGATGCCCTTCTCAAGCTCTTGCAGTCATAATTTCGTCAATACCATGTGTACGTACACGACTTGAACCTCTCAGATTGTTCACACACAACAGACTGGAATGATAATCGAACAACAATGATAAAGATGTTGCGGCGGCGAGCAGAGGCCAAAGGCGACGAGAGGCGCGCAGAATGTACGACATCGAATCTGACTATGGAATTGAACGTTTTGCATTTCGAGCGTAGGGTAAGATCATCCTTGTGCCTATGTTAAAAAACAAAGAACAAAGGTGTCCATCCAGTCCAATATGGTAAAATGACTCCCCCGGCTCGCGTCATCAGTCGGAGGAGGAAAGCCTCTTCTTCTTGTTGCTCCTTCAACATTCCATGACGCTTAGCAAGCAGGTTCATCGATAGATCGATAGACCAATGACTCAAGAGAGAGAGGAGAGAGAGCTGTTATACTAGATCAAGCTTTGCTGCTGTGAAAATTACTTGTGTCAAGTTCACCGAGAGAAGAGATCTGGTACTCGCATTGAAGACGATAATGAATATCAAAATCCGTTGTCCTGTCCCCATGCGTCTGCTCAACCATCCCATGCTGTCAGCCACCTCATCCTCTTACAGTTTTGATTCTACCAAGATCATACGGCTTCTTCGACAGAAACTTTAGCAGCAGCATGTATAAGATGAAAGATCGATCTGGACTCAATGGTTATATCGAGTAACAAAGTCATTACTCACATTCAGCTGCACAATCTTACAAATAACTTTCTGATTTCTGATTTTGATAATTGTCTTTCCGAACATGTATATAAAAACGCCACAATCTCCCCCCAAGTTTCCAACAGAAGAACTGATACACTGTGAGGCGTTACACAACAAATGCTCTTGGCATCTCGGGTGCCGCTTAGTAATCACTGGACGGATGGAAAACATGCCGAAAAGTGTAGATGTGTCAGCTTGCAGAACTCCAGTCACCGGCCATTGGGTCGTGAGCATGTGCTCCTCGTCGACGACTGACGACTGACGGGTCGACGCGCTCGACGCGACGACGCGTCTTTTTCTTCGGAATTCGTACGCCTCCGTCTTTCTCGTCAGAATATTCCACTCTTTACGTATTCGAATGCTATGTTTTTGTCTTTTGATCCTTTTGAGAGAAGCTTCGTCGTGCCATAAGTGCCCGTACGTAACAAGATAGGAGAAGGAAGATGAAGATTGGACAACAGCCTCGACCCTTCAGTACCGTAAGCACTAGCGAGAAAGGTTGACACCTGAGCCTGAAACTGCGTTCCGATTCCGGCATGCCACGCAAACTTTCCGGGGGGCGTTTCATGTTCGAAGCCGCTATACGGCCGCGGGCACTGCTCATACCTATCTTGGGTGTTACGTACAAGCAGAGGCCACAGAGGTCAAGCTGAGCTGGATTCCTCAGTTCACAGTTCACACTTCACAGCAGCCATCGCGGAACACCGAAGAGTGCGACTGCGTTCGGCCAAATCCGACATCTGCATCATGCGACTTATCGCCTTCGTCCGTGATTATATCTCGTCGTATGCAGTCTACTTTCCTCCTCTTTCATTCATCAACTTGTCAGCAACAAACCTTCGCGCCAGCTCAACTATAGAGGAGGATGAGAATCTTCCCGACAATCTTGGGCTTCGCTCTCAGCGCCCTCGCTTCACCACAGCTCGTCTTCCCAGACTCTGACTCTAACGACGATATCAGTCTCTTATATCAGTCCCAATCACCACTCATATCAACACTGAACCCTGTGGAAGGTCAGGCAGATCCACCGAAAGGCAATGTCAAGTACATACTTCCGACCGAGAGGACATTCCTCCTGAACGTGCCCGAGGGGTACCTGCATGGGAAAGAGCATCCTGTCGTCTTTACCTTCCATGGCGGTAAACAAACACTTCCCTCGTATCTCTCTGTGATAGGTCGGGAACTGATGGCTCCGCAGCTGGAGGCTTTAGCGAGAAGCAACAGCGCGTCACTGAGCTCTCGGACCCAATGCTCAAGATTGCCGGCAAGCCCTTCTTGACAGTATATGCGCAAGGGGTGAATAGTACGGATTGGAACATGACGCATATCTGGAAAGGGGCGCCGTATGAGAACAAGACCGTGGACGATGTGAGTACCTGCTGTCCAGGAAGACATCGCAGAGACGAAAGAAGAAGGTCGCCGGGCGAAGGAGATAGATCAAAGCTGATGGCCTTGGTAGATTGCATACGTATATGACATCCTTCACACCATCTCCACTACCTACACAATCGATCGTTCCCGTCTTTACGCCTGCGGCAAGTCCAATGGAGGCGGATTTACAGCGCTCCTCGCTTGTCGTCCCGATACTTCTGCCTTCTTTGCAGCCTTTGTCCCCGTCTCGCCGGCACTCTACCAAGGGGTGTATTCTTTCCACGGCTGTCAAGAGGATAGAGCAGTCCCGATCTTACAAGTTCATGGCGTTGAAGACGATGATACCCCTTTCTACGGCCGCAAACCGGAAGGAGGCGGGTACGGCCCCGAGCCAGATGTCAGGCTTTGGCGGCGCGAGTGGGCTCTGCGTAATGGGTGTGTAGGGCGCTGGCCGGGGCAGTATCCAGAGCCTGAGGTGAAGGAGATATATGAGGGTGTGTGGGAGGAGGTATGGGATTGTCCCAAAGGCGAGGTGAGGGCCTTGAGTGTTGAAGGTTTGGGGCATTCTTGGCCGAGTACGCTGGGGTTAGATTTGGCGGGAAGTCCCAACCAGACTGCCAACTTCAATTTGACTAGTCCGCACCTGGTAGATTTCTTTTCCAAGCATCAGCTTCTGCTTTGAAGGGAGGTTGGCGTGTCAGGGAAAAATGTATTTATTTGATGCAGTTCCACAGGCTACACGTCCTTCACAGTTGTCCAAGAAGAGGAAATCAGCGTTCAGCAGAGAAAACGGAAGCTTCGTAAAACTGGCATTATTGTGGAAGTGTTCGCGCCCGGCGCGGTCCTCCGAGTGGAACCAAACAATCCGTCAATGGGCTTATTTCGGACCGCGCAGAAAGTATAAAAGGGTACATACATCTTGAAGCACCATATTCCCGTTCTCAATACGTACATGATTCCCATAAAGTCCCCTTTCTCCCCTGAAGATTTGCACACGATGGATATGCATATGCTTGCAACCCTGAAAAGTCTTCTGCCCCAGCTCGAGAAACGTGCGTTCGTTCGTCGCTTTGAGGATCTGTGTAAATCTGATGTACGTACAGTTTGAACATCGATGAAGCAGGGGATACCTCTCAAGCATCAAGATGTACATTCAACATGCGAACCATGAACGAACTCACTACGCACTGCCAGGCCGTTCATGTTGAGAGACAGATATGATAAGTGGGGGGTGAATATGAATTTAACTATCACTTTGCCCCACATTACGTAAGTAAATCTCCGTCCAGCTCGAACTTTCAACTTCTTCGTCCACTTTTTTTTTTTTTCCTGACTATACCAATCGATACTCAAAAGATGTCTTCTGAAGCTCCTATCGGTCAGTATATGTATCACCACTGAATATAGTGTCTCCCTCAAAACGGGATTATTGACAATGCCACAGCGCTTCTCTCCGTGTACGACAAGACCGGTCTCCTTCCCTTCGCTAAGGGGCTCAAGGAGCTCGGCTTCAGGCTCTTGGGCAGTGGTGGTACTGCCAAGATGATCCGAGAGGCTGGTATGGAAATTGAGTACGTTGGATCTAGCGTTCTAGAGGCTCAGGCTGACTCGAAGGTAGGGACGTCTCCAACATCACCAAGGCCCCCGAGATGTTGGGCGGTCGAGTCAAGACTCTTCACCCCGCTGTCCACGGTGGTATCCTCTCCCGAGACATCCCCTCCGACCTTGCCGACCTTGCGACCAACAAGATCTCCCCCATCACCCTCGTTGTCTGCAACCTCTACCCCTTCGTCCTCCAGACCCAAAAGCCCGACTGCACTCTTGCTGGCGCTATCGAGGAAATTGACATTGGAGGTGTCACTCTTCTCCGAGCTGCTGCCAAGAACCACGGCCGAGTCTCTATCATCTCTTCCCCCTCCGACTACGAGACCATCATTGCTGAGCTCAAGGAGAAGAAGGAGGTCTCTGCCGAGACCAGGAGGGGTCTTGCCCTCAAGGCTTTCGAGGACACCAAGAGCTACGACGAGGCTATCAGCGACTACTTCAGGAAGACTTACGCTACCCCTGATGTCGGCGAGGACTCTCAGGCTGGTGCCGGTGTCGGCTACCAGAGGTTGGGTTTGAGGTACGGTGCCAACCCTCACCAGAAGCCCGCCCAGGCTTTCGTTGAGAACGGCGAGTTGCCCATCAAGGGTGAGTAATTGGTATATCCCTTGGATCTCACGCTCATACCCCATAGTCCTCTCCGGATCCCCTGGTTACATCAACCTTCTCGACGCCCTCAACTCTTGGGCTCTCGTCAAGGAGCTCGCTGCCGGCTCCAACCTCCCCGCCGCTGCTTCCTTCAAGCACGTTTCTCCCGCAGGTGCCGCCGTCGGTATCCCTCTCGACGAGCGATCCGCCAAGGTCTTCGGTGTCGATGACTTGAAGGAGCTGTCTCCCCTTGCTTGCGCCTACGCCCGAGCCCGTGGTGCCGACAGGATGTCTTCTTTCGGTGACTTCATCGCTCTCTCCCACCCCGTCGACACCCCCACCGCCAAGATCATCTCCCGAGAGGTCTCTGACGGTGTCATCGCTCCCGGATTCGAGGCCGAGGCTCTCGAGATCCTCAAAAAGAAGAAGGGCGGCAAGTACTGTGTCCTCCAGATGGACTCCAACTACGTCCCTCCCGAGATCGAGACCCGACAGGTCTACGGTATCTCCCTTCAACAAAAGCGAAACGACTGCAAGATCGACGAGTCTCTCTTCCAGAACGTCGTCACCAAGAACAAGGACCTTCCCCAGTCTGCCCTCACCGACCTCGTCGTCGCCACCCTCGCCCTTAAATACACCCAGTCCAACTCTGTCTGCTACGCCCTTAACGGTACCGTCATCGGTCTCGGTGCCGGCCAACAGTCCCGTATCCACTGCACCCGTCTTGCTGGTGACAAGGCCGACAACTGGTGGCTCCGACACCACCCCCGTGTTCTCGCTTTGCCCTTTAAGAAGGGCACCAAGCGAGCCGACAAGGCCAACGCCATCGACCTTTATGTCACTGGCGAGGCTTTCGAGGCTGAGGGTGGTGAGAGGGCGCAGTGGGAGAGCTTGTTTGAGACTACCCCCGAGCCTCTGACAAAGGAGGAGAAGGTTGCCCACATGAAGGAGTTGAAGGGTGTTGCGTGCGCGAGTGATGCCTTCTTCCCCTTCCCCGACAACGTCCACCGAGCCAAGAGGTCGGGAGCGACCTACCTTGCGGCCCCTGGCGGAAGTATCATGGACGCGGAGTGTATCAAGGCTGCGGATGAGAGTAACTTGGTGTTCTGCCACACCAACTTGAGATTGGTACGTCGTGGTGTATCACCTCGGGGATCTTTTGCTAACATGGCGTACAGTTCCACCACTAAAACATTGTATAAACGACATTCAACATGATTCGGGTTTCGAGGCATTCAACATGTATATTGCAAAAAGGTTGTGGATTTTGAGATGAATATCATTACGAGCTCGCATATCGAGGTTTCTGATTTACCTTGCCGATACTCCGTCATCAATCCCTCACCATCTTCTTTCCCTTGATGTCCCGCCAAGCTTCCAAACCGCCTTCCACCAGCGAACCAATATCAATCTCATCTGGCTTGCCTGTCCCGTCAAAGAACCCATCCTTCGAACTCCACCTGAGAGAAGCGCTCAACCCGTCTTCGGTGAGAGCGGTGATGGGCTGTAGCCAGATGTTTCGCTGTTCACCTTGCCCGCTGAATCCTCCTTCCCTTCGTTGCTCGCCATTGGCGGCGATGGTCTCATCGATCGTCCCGGCAAGCGTCTCCTTGATGCTTTTGCCAATTCCGTGCCAATCGTATTGCTCGATCCTCTCATCCATTGTGTCCCACTCAAACATCGGCGACACCCGGGGGTCCGGATACCTCTTCATGTTGCTAACAAGCTCGGTGCCTTCTGTAGCCAACCTCTTACCCGTCTCAGCCATCACAGATTTTTCGCCTTCTGCAAACCAACTTCTCACTTCTTCGTTTCCGAACTTGATCCCTTCCACGGGGGCAATGTGCACGAGATTATTACCTCCCCAGCCTGGTGAGATGGACATATTCAGTCCCCATGAACCGGGAGTGGTATCGACATCCGGGTGAAAACAGTAAGCAAATCCCAAGTCTCCTATTTCCCCCTGATTTACAGCCTCCAGAGCCAAGTTGCGCTCCAGCTCCATCTTCTCAGAGACAAAGCTGTGAATAGTGTCATGCAGAGTGGCATTGTCCATGATATCTCGGTATGCGGTATACACGTGCTCTATGGACGGAAGAGCGTTTCTTGTTGCTGGATCGACCAAGCAAGCCTGGCCCAGACGCTGATATGCCAGATTCTCCTGGATCTCTCGGGTGACATCGTCAATCGCCTCTTCGAGAGCTCTTTCAGAGTATAATGAGACTGGCTCTCTCTCCTCCTCGGGAACAAGTTCCATGACTTCAGGTTCTGCTGATGAAGACCCGGCAGACTTTGAGCTTTTCAGCTTTGTGAACTGTGTCTGGATGCTCTTCATGAAGGTATTGAAGCTGTCTTGTCTTGTAGAAGGGGGCGCATCAGATGACGATGCTCCGGCGTCCAATCCAGGAGAGGAAGAAGAACCATCTTCGCTGGGGGAGCTTTGTTCTTCCATGATGTCGGAAAGCTTAAATTCGGAAAAATTGCTCATGTTGCTCATGTGACTTGTTAAGAGGCTGGTCCTAGACTGACCAAGAAACACGTGCTTCTTATACTGTACAGCTACACAAAAGACGCAGGTCTGCGGGGCCCACTGAAATCTAGGCGGTTGAAGTGTCCTTTGTGGCGCCTTCCAATCGGAGAAGCAGAGTTGTCGGAGGATGTTGCACGTCCCCGTCGGTGTACCCATTGTTATACATTACAGTCCGCCCACTATTTATGGAAACGTTGCTGATTGTGAGAACTCTGAATCGAGAAAGACTGATGGAATCATGCAGTCTAGACACGAAAACCAATTTTCGTAATACGAGCAGCTGCATGTACAGTCCCCGTATAGGTCTCGTATGTTCCCTTCCTTGCACCCATTCTCTATACCTGGGTAGACACATCTACATATACATCTCCCTTTATCCATTCCCCCACCATTTCTTCTGTAAGGGTAGGATAGGTGAGGCGTAACCTAAGGGCGGTTACGTGGTGGATCTGACTAGGGGCGCCAGATGTCGACCTTGAATAGACTGGAGGGATGAAGGATGGATATAGGTGAGGAGGTTCTTACGAGAATACATCGATGAGGGAAAAGGATACGGAGACGCGGCACGATGTATATATGGGAACCTCATCTACCCAGAGCTGTCACCTCGTTATCCTCAACGTCGATCGTAACCAAAGACATTGTCACATCCTCCAAAGCGCCCTCCGTTCTTTTCTCCTCCACTCTCGTGTCCAACTTTGTACTCAATATATCCCCAATCTCCTTATTGAGCAGTGTCTCGATGTCCGGCCGTGCTTTGGAGAATGTGGAAGTCTGTTGAGGGTTGAGCTGCTTGGTGCAGCAGGAGAGGAAAGCTGACGTTATTTTAGACGCGGCAGATGGAATCATCGAGGCATCGTCTTCAGCGATGGATGACAAAGGCTTTTCTGAAGCGGACGAAGGGGTACTACTGATTCTACTAGTTGCCATCTTGGATAATTTGAATGTGATGTTGATTCAAAGTTACGAATGTTCCGACGACGCGAATTGACAGTTGTTGAGATGTGTTGTGCGCAATAAAGATTAACTGCCTGTCTCTTATATCTCTCTTGAAGGCTGTAAAAGGGACCCTAGCGGTCATACGGAGATTGATGTGCAGCTGGAAGAAGGCGCATATCCTCAGTCTCTGCGAGACGGCTGCCAAAATGTACCTCAACGATACAAGTGAAAGGGAGCGGGCGCTAATTTGAGGAGGAGAAGAGACCACATATCCGAAGAAGCTTGCGAGGTCAAAATATCGAGATGGCTAGCAAGCTTGCGATACTATGAGCAAGGGCTCATGTTCATAGCTTCCTTGCATCCGTGTCTATCGGATTCAGCGAGCGCATCGCCTTCTTATTTACAGCGCTGTTGGATGATGCGTTTACGTAACGATTAATTAGCCTAATAGAGTGCTCCGGCATCTGTTACCGACCTGGAGATCCCATGAGATCTTGCGAGTCGAAAAGAGTCGAATGCTGCCTTGGCCTTGCATCGACGCATTTCTTGTCCATGTACATCTCCACAACCACATCCACATAGCATGGCTGAAGTCATCGGGCTGACCCCAGTCACATCGCAATTCTCGCAGCAAGCGACAGAAACCGCCCGCGGCAGCTCGGCACTCGCGGAGCAGCAGCAGCTGGGGGATGAGCCGGAAAGCGCAAGTGCTCTGCCACCGGTAGACACCGGGCGGAGAGCGTGGTTGTTTCTGGCCGGAGCGACGGTCATAGAGATCATCGTATGGGGGCTGCCTTTCGCTGTCGGTAAGTGATCTGCTGTTAGCTGTTGGTTAGCTGGCGGACGAAGCTTACCATCTGCTCCAGGTATCTTGCATGGTCAGTAACACAAATCTCCTCATGTGGAAGTGACACGTTGACAGAGTCAAAGTATACTGGACCAACACATTGTTCCCTGGCTATGGCGCCTCGACCATCACCCTCGCTGCTACCCTCCAGACCGGTCTCCTATATATGAGTACGGCATTCTTCGGACCGATCATGGCAGCATTCCCGAGATATCAAAGACACTTTCAGATACTTGGGTTATCAGGGGCGTGCATCAGTCTGATATCCAGTGGCTTTGTCACCAAAGTAATCAGCCTTTTACTGACTCTACGAAACCTCACTGATTTCATCGCAGCCGTTCCATCTGGTCATCACCTGGGGCTGCATCTTCCCCCTAGCAGGCTCCCTCTACATGCCCTGCGCAACGCTTCTCTTCGAATGGTTTTTCGAACGCCGTGGTCTTGCCAGCGGCATCATGTACGCCGGCACCGGTATCGGCGGTACGGTCTTTCCCTACATCATCAACAGCCTTCTTTCCTCTGTGGGATACAAGGCGACTATGGTATCCATTGGCGTTGCGTACGCCATCATCGGTGGGATCGCATTGATCCCCACGACAAGGCGAGTACCACTCTCAAGATACGGCTCCGGAGAACCGGGTCCAAGAAGACAGGGGTTGAGCCTCGGCTTTATGAAATCCTTCACCTTCTTCATGGGTATATTTACCATCCTCTTTACGAGCTTGGGCAACTTTGTCCCCAGTCTATGGCTTCCTTGTACGTCACCCCCACCCACTCTTTCTCCCCAAAACAACAAGATCTGACCATTCGCGCAGCCTACGCAGACGACCTCAACCTCACCTCCCCCTCTGGCACAGCCTTAATCTCCATCCTCAACGCCGCCTCCGTGCCCGGCAACTTCCTGCTCGGCTTCATGTCCGACCACATTCCCCTCCAAATCGTGATTTCTATCTCGTGCATCGGTACCGCCCTTTCTTGCGCTTTCCTCTGGGGCTGGGGAACAGGGGGTGGGACGTTGGTTGGGTTTTGTATAGTGTTTGGACTGCTGGGACAGAGTTTTACGGCGTTGTGGACGCAGATGATTGTTTATATATCCAGTACGTGCCCCTATCCCGAGAACGTTTGATATGAGAAAGAAGGGAGAGCTGACTGTGCTGAGCAGAAGACGATCCGCTGGCTTCACCTCTAGTCTTCTGCACTTTCGCCTTCATGCGCGGTGTAGGGAACATCACCTCCGGTACATCCTTCCTCTTTCTCTTTTTCTCACACCAAACACCACACAACGCTGACTATCTTACAAAGGGCCCATCTCCGGAGCACTCCTCAACATCAGCGCCCTCCGAGGCGCTACAGGGGCGTACGGCTTCAGAAACTACGTAAGCTTCCCCCTCCCTCACCTCACTGAAAGGTCGATACTGACACGAGCTTGAAGGGGATCTTGTTGATCTATACGGCGGTGACAATCTTGTTGGGCGCCGTGACTGGTCTGCTCTTCAAAGCGCGATAGGTACCCATACAGCAATGTGTCCTTGCCCTGGCATCTTCATCTCCCAAATGTAAACATTCTCATTATACTGCATGACTGTCGCCCAAGTATGCATCAAAAGCATGGTTCTTCGTCCTTCTCCCCAGATATCCTTAGTATGTGGTGTGGCATGCTCGGCCCAACGAACTCTTGAAGCTCTCGAATCTCTCGAACTCTCGAATCTCTCGAAGCTCTTCATCTTTGGTAGCTCCCTGTCGCCTTTACTTGCAAGGAGAGCGATGGTTGGAACGGCGAAAGGGAGGATGATACCAATGCTTGATATTGATGGCAGTGGGAGGTAATGGGGCGTGGAGAAGTCCACGACTATGCGAACATTGTTGTGACCGTGTCCTAAAAAGGATCAGCGAAGAGGAGAAACATACGAGAAACCTTACATGTATTGTAACAAGTCCCACATACATCCGACATCTGCACTTCCGATCACACCCTGCAGTCCACTCAAACCCAGACAATATCAACCCACCTCAACCTCCCACCACCTCTCACGACATTCCCCAACCCCTTCCTCCCAACTCTCAAAGCCTCACCCTCATCTTCCTTCACCCCCTGCTCGCTCTGCGACGCCGTAAGCAGCGGTAAGGGGAGGTTCCGCATACCGAGGGTACGCAGAGAGGGGAGCTGTGTTTCGGCGGGTTGGAGGAGGGATGTGAGGGTTGTTGTTGGGAGGGCGTAGCGGGGGTTGGATAGGTCGAGTACCTGTATAACATCAGCTGAGGAACGGGAAAGAGAGGGTAGGGGGCTTACTTTAAGGACGATAAGCTTCCTACCCAATCTCAAAAGACCCCTCTTGACAGTCTGTTCTCCAGCTTTCCCAAAGTTGACGCCTACCAAACTCAACTCTTTCAGTCCCGCTGGAAGGACTTGGACGAGGGCATCGATATTGGGGATGGTAGAGTATGCGAGGTTGATACTCGTTAGGGATGTGGTGAATGGGAGTGTTTGGAGGAAATTGTGTGGAGAGGGATGACGGGTGAGGGCGAAATGGGAGGTGACGGGCAAAGAGACAGGTGCCAATTCCCAATCGTCCCAATCGTCATCGTCGCCAGGTTCTTCCCCTTCCGGCTCGACTTCATCGTCAGAGTCAGGCGGGGCATCTGAGAGGATCGCACGTATGGAGTCGTTCGATATCGGTCGGTAAGGTTCTGGAACGAGAGAAGAAGCGTCCAGGAGGGCGATCTTGAGATGCGGTTCGAGATAGGTGACTTGCTCCCTCACCAGCCGGCTGATCGTATACGTCTCTGCCTCAGCTTCCTCCGCCTCGAGCCCTTCGTCCGGGGCGTATATCACAGTGACGTCGTCGATGTATCGAAGCATTGCACTGAAGCAATATTCGAGTAGACTCGGGACCGGCGTCGAGCGAGGTTTGGGTCGATGACTGAGTAACGCTGAAGACTGCTCGAGATCGCCGCGAGTCACCGGAGGATACTCGGGCTCCACACTAGGTGCTGAAGATACTCTAGAGGCCTTCTGTCTAGCTACATGCCATGAGGGTGGTGCAGCAGGACCAGCGGTCGTCCGCGACGCTTGCCATCGCGAGTGCTCAAACCGGCGCAAGAGCTCTGCCCTACTTTCCCATTAGCACTTTCCCTCAATCCTTTTCAGCAGACTTGCGGATGTACAGCTCCCCTGCCCAGATCTATCAACAGCTCTGCATCCACACCTCCAGCCGAATTCGGGACCCATGGGTTCTGTCCGATGAGATACGCGGGGATCTCGCGGTTGACCTGTCGTCGGCGTGGTCGGGGCGCTTCTGCCTGTTGGTCCTGTTGTGGGCGGGTGTGGGAGGTGTGCAGGAGGTTCTTGAAGGTGGGGACGTGTTTGGGCATGCTATAGCAGAATCATCTCCTCCATCTACGCTGCAATAGAGACCTGAAATCTCAAGTCGGCTCTCCGCTCTTCCATTCACAATTTGGTTCCGTGCCGACTATGGCCTCTATCAATTCGGCATCCCTCTGTTTGGCTCTTATGCACGCCATGTCTCGCCCACAAACATCCGCCTACGCAGCTTCCCCATCACTTTTGCCCTACCCACCCAACAGCCCGCTCTCCTCGCCCAGAATCCACTCACATCCCATCCTCCTCCAGCCCTTGCCACCAGCCTCCGCTCTCGCCCAAGAGTCCACTTTCCAATCCGAACTAGAACTCGACCGCCAGACACGCCAGATCAAGCAAGAGAAGGAGCTGCAAGAAGCGCTACAAGACCAACAGTGGTCTGTCGAAAGAGCACAAGTCCGTGATCAGCAGGGGACTTGGTCAAAACATCAAAAGAAGCCAGACCTGCGGCCGTCAATATCGGACAAATGGGGGCAATCGCAGGCTTTTGCTCATCCACCACAAGCGTGGGAGCTGTATCGCGCGATAGACAAGCATGATATCGAGTTTATCATGCGGATCAGGGATCACTCGTTCAAGATGCTGCTGCAGAAGAGTGGGCCGGACTTTCCGATCGTGTATGCTGCCAGGCTGGGACCGCAATGGAGGGATATAGTCATCATCCTCGTAGGTGCATTGTCAAGGTATGTTGAAGGTATGAAGAGTCGACTGGAGCTGACCCTTGCGATATAGATATGTGAATCATCTAGACCCGGAAGACTTTGAGAAGAAAGAGACTAAAGATATTCTGAAAGGCCTTCGTGAGTGATCCCATCATGCCATTAATGTGATAGGAAGCTGACTTCGTCTCCAGGGGTGAACGTATGTCGTACCAGCAGACCTAGATGGTATTCGTTCGCTGACCCCCTCTAGCTCAAACTAGCAATCGACTACTCTCTCCACTCCTCCTCCCCGCACCTCCTCGCCTCCTACCTCCAAGTCCTCATCATGTCGGAAGGCGACGAATTCATCCACAAATCCATATCCTCCCTCGCCCTCCTCTTCCGCTCCTCCCCTCTCAACCAAACTAAACCCGTCCAGTCGGCAGAGGACACCGTACGCCGCTTCTGTACGAAACAGTTGAGAGAGGTGCAAGAAGGGGTGGCAGAGGTGGAAGAGTATGTGGCGAATGCGGTGTTGGATTTGGTCATTATGGCGGTTTGGAGCTTGGTGGCGGGAGAGTTGGGGTTGGAGCGGTTGCCTGTACGTCTCTCTTCTCTTCCCTTGTGTCTTTGTATCTTGACTGACCATGCCCCAGACGCACACTTTCGCCCGAGATTTACGCACCTTCCAAACATTCTCCGAACATCTCTCCGACCCCGAGACGACCCCGAAACTCCCAAAGCTCAAGGTACGGACGAGAAAGATGGTAAACGTCCTTAAAGAACTCGCGGGGGATAACGTAAAGGGCGTCAGGGGGCGGTTGAGGGATGTGAGGGAGACGTTTGATGAGGGGGTGTTGTGAAGCTTCAAGGAGAGATATGGGGTTGTTGTATAACTTGCATAATGTGCTCGTATAGAATCGGTTGTTGTTCAACTTTGCATGAATGTACTCGTACATAAAGTATGATTGGGTAACAGCATTCTTGGTGAGCTCTGCTTGAGATGATGACGTACGCAAGAGAAAGAGGCTGCAGTCGTTCCGTCCTCAGCATGTGCATGTACCTCCCCGACTGCTTCCAGATTACGCCCCCAGAATCCGGCGACCCGATCCACGTTGAACCATCCAGCTGAGATGACCGGTTCCGGGGCGGGAGGCTTGAATCGACTGCAGCAGTCGGCGGCACGGCGGGACAACTTACTGGTGCGTGTACCTGTAGTAGAGGACCTAGATTATCGAGCAAGTCAAAATTTTGATCCGTGATGAGAAAGACATGTCCGCTCACGAAGTTGCCCACCGTGTAGACTATGAGGACCAACACTGCGGCCATCGTGATCTCATTCCAGCGCCTCGCCCTCAACTGGGCGCCCGGGACCCTTCTCCAGACGGCGATAACGCTGGGGTACCAGACAAAGGCGCCACTTAGCCAGAAGCCTGGGCCGGCGTAGTCGTATAAAACATGACCTGGAGCCGTACGACTAATAGACTTGATCAGTGTTTTCCCTCGACATAAGACAATTTCCATCGACACTCACCCCTTCCAAGTCAGCACCAACCCAGCACCCAGGCGGATTGCACTCACCGCAAAGGCGACGACTGAATATAGATCAGATCCAGGTCATGTTGGCTCGAGGATGTCACTCACAGACTGCATATTGTAGGCGCAGGTCTGATCTCTGCCAGCGATCGTGAGCCAGGGGCTGGGGCTGGGGAGGCTGAAGCGCCTGCTGTTGAGCGTGCTGCTGCTGCTGGAGCTGATCCAGTCTATCAGTCTGACGGTTCCGGGTGGCCTTGTGTACACCTACGCCGGCCCAGGCTTCTGGATTCTTGGCGCCTTTCTCTGGTTCCCCCGAGCTATCGCCGCCTGGAGAAGGGTACCGGGCGCTGAGTTGATGTCGAGGCGCTGACTTGAGCTGTCGATTACCTGTCAGCGTCGGCGCCAAAGGTGGCTGACGAAAGGACTCACCACATCTGCTTCTGGTACATGGACCATCATTTGGGGCAAGTGAGGCCATCCTCGGGGCTGTGAGAGTGTCAGCGACCGGTGGGTTATCAACCAACATGGGACTCACTCGGTACGGTCGTTGTCAGAACAGCGGGCGAGGAGGGAGAGAGCGTCACCAAAAAGCATTGTGGGTGATGTAAAGAGGGTGGGTAAGGAGTGACTGTGGGTAGGTATGGGTGGTTGTGGGAAAAGTAAAAAAAAGATTGTTGGTGGGGAAAAGAGAGAGAGAGATACAATTGGGGAGTCTTATATATCTTTCCTGGGGCGGGTGACGGTGTTGATCGGGCCTCGCCGCAAGGGTGGAGGCTTCTCTCTTCTGGCCATCGTCAGCCACCAGTTACCGCGGGCTATAAGCATGTAAGCTTGAGCATTTAGCATCCTGAGCATTCTATGCACATACCGTGTGGTTTGCCAAACCATCATAGAAGAGACTCAGGCGGTGAGAGGTCGAGACCTTTGTTCCTCGCGTCGGTGCTCTCGTCACATCCCACTCACTCAACCCTCCCCCGTCTCAGCCATGACAACACCTCTCCGTCCTTGCTTCCTCTCCCTCGAGCATCATGCCAATATCACGCTTTATCCAGATGCCGGCTCCCATCTCTCACCATGGCACTTGACCAGATAGTACGCCTGAGATGCCGAGTTGAGGAAGAGGTGTAGTCGAAGGGCGCATGGGATGGTGGGTGGCATATATGCAAGGTGGGGTACGATGTATCTGTATGATGATTCGCGTCTGGAGTAAGGTGCATTGATAACTCACAGATCTTCTTAAGCTATACGTACGCTCTAGAATGCACCGACTGCGTCCCCTCCTCCGCAACTTTCGGACTCTATGCCCTTCCTCCATGTCCCCAGATGATACTAGACTCATTTTGTCGCTGAGGGGCGACTCCGGATATGGCCGATCTTTAGGGGAGGCTGGCCCCACATTGTACTGATAGTCTTCCTTGCATTGTACCACATTAACTGAGTGGGCCGGATAGAAGGTGATAATGTATGCAAATTTCGGAGGACTGGATCCACGGACTGGTTGGGGACCTCTAGGGAGCAGCGCTCTTAGCCGTGCGTAAGCTCAGTGAATACATCGTTATGCTTGTTGCCTGATGGACAACTGGCCAAAGAGGCGTTTTCTGGGTGTTTTCGTGGATCAAATTTGGCAACTTTGTGTCATTCTTGACAGCTCTTACTTCGTACATGGGTGCGACGTCGTCAGAGCTGGCATTCGGTAAGAACACATTCCAGTTTGAGCAATATGTGTGCGAAGCCACCACAAGTCCGAAGTATGTGGTATGAACGAGATATTCAAGTTCGGAGAGGGTAGGGCAGGAGGGCAGCTCAGTAAAATCGTCAGCAGGTTACTTGCACGCCGTTGTTGACTCAGAGTACCGAAATTTCCAATACATCGAGGAGAGTAGAACTGGCTAGATCAATGGGGACCTCAGCGCTGAGCTTGCTGCTGCTACGCTTTAAAGGTAAAGAAGAGATGATCTTCAGTTCACGTGCATATATGATTTCTACCAGGGCAAGATAATGTGAGGTCAAGACCAGCCCTGACAGCTTCGCCATATTCAGACAAACCCTCAGAACAATTGTGGAACAGATGTCAGGTAACATAAGGCTATGGTTTTCTGGTATCGTCTGCAGCGTCGTTATATACAGGCGTAGCGCGCGGCGAGCCCTAGCATTCGGAACCCGTTCGAAACCCATCACCACCGCCATAATAGCGCATTCGCCCTTGCAGCTCCACCTCATTCATTACCACCACGCATTGATGGGTACGTGCAAGGGACATAGCATTGGGTCTTTGTGAATCAGAAGGTATGGCTTTAGGGGCGACAGTATGCATCTTCGATGGACTTGATATATTGGCCTGGTATGAATCATCTGTCAGAAAATTGTGTGGGTCACACTCAGACATACATGCACCGAGAAACGGCCAAAGAAAAACTACAAAAAGGATAACAATCTGGTAAGGGTTATCTGGTTTCTCTTGCCTACCCTGCTGACTCTGCTCGTGGATAATCGAGCCACACCAATTGAGCTTCGGGTATATAAGGACGAATATGGTCCCGCAAATAAGTGTCGACAGCCCAGTGACGATTGACCTCGACCGGATTAGCGTGAAGGAGACTCCAGCCGTGCACGGATATTATCTGTGGGACAAAGGCTGGTGTTGGGGCGCTTGCCCCCTCATCTGCCCCAGAATCAGGAGGAGTCCAGAGCAGATCTAGTTCTCAACTCACCCGTTGCCTTGTGGTAATCTAGGGTCTTTGTGGACGTGAAGGAACTATCACCGACAACAGTCCTCAAACTCGAGACCGACGACGATGAAGATGACGAAGATGATGCAGCTCTTACGGAGTCAGGTTGTCTGCCATATCCTTGGGCATAAAATTTGCTGGCAACCTCCTGATTCCAATCAGTGACTCATCCTCATTCAGGTTGGGAAGGCTTACCCGACATGACCAGGGATCTAAGGACTCGGACTTTGGAAAATTACGATACGCCGTGTCAGATTCCACCACTTGTCGTCCATCGGGATAATTCATCCTCAAATAGGTGTCCTCTTCTTGGACTGGCAGGTATTTGTACCTTACCCCAAAATTGATTCGGAAATACCTTCTCATATCTGGCCTCACTATCCACCAAGCATCCCACCAGACCTTATCTATACCTTCCTCGTGACGTTTTAACGCTAGCTTGGCCACACTGATGAAGGTTGAAGGAATTGCCATCGGAAATTTGTGCTCGCACTCCTGGTAGAAGACGGTGCTGGGATCGAGGCGCTTAGTCCAAGTAAATGTAGCATTAGGTACCCATCGGCGGGGTTTGTGATGGTCCCTCTCCCAGTGAGAGATCGCGCGCAGCATTGGGCCTAGTTCGCCTGCATCAGACCAAATCAGCTGGCATCTTCAAGGATAGTAGCCAAGTCTGGTGGTGCCACTCACGTATAGCATACAGCATCTATGTTTGCAAGCTATCATCAGCAGCCGTCATATAGAACTCTTCAATTACGATTGCCGGGACCCACTTCATAGTATCGAAGAATCAGCTCTCGCTCCATCTCCAGCGGAAGCGTCCCCCAGCTTCGTCGTTCATGAAGCGTCATGACGAGGCCAGTGAGGAAATGTGACGTTTGCGTGGCGCACAGGAATGCTTTGACTAAATCAGTGCGGGTGATCTGGCAAATAGCATCAGTCCGTCTTGCTTCTACCAAAGATTTGGAATCAGAATACTTGCGGAACTTTCCTGCTCATCAATGAACTCTTCAAACCATAAAGATCGTATTCTGCCCTCTGGCGCAAATTGTTTGATTAAAGCAGATGCCCATGTCGACCGATACTCTTTATACCGGTACATCACAGCACCACTAGTCTCATCTCGCCCCTCCTTGATGTGTCGCGCGGACCTGTTGTGCGCCGAGAGCTTGTGCTGCTGCTGGTGTGCTGTTGTAACCACAAATTCGCCATCAAACCACCACCCTTTATCTATCTCTTTCCAGAACTCAAGATCCGGTGCTCTCCCCTCTCTTTGCTCGTTGATGTCAAACTCATGGTCTTGCGGATCAGACCATAGCCCAGAAGGAACCTCCCCGAAATAAGATCCCAAGAGCCTGCTGTCTTGGTTGATCAACATCGTAGGCATCGTTGGTGACTTCGACATGCGAGGAAACATTGAAGTAAGATGATAGACTGTACGAGTCAACAGTGATTATGACCTTGTAATGTTCCAAGGTGTGCGGGCAGCAGTTGATCAGTCCAAAACAGTTCAGGTCGGGCGGCGGAAACTTGGCGGGCGGAATGCCGGCCTCTGACGTAATTTTTGTTTTCGTTGCCTCGCTGGTATAGTAGCATCTAACTTCACTCAAACTTCACTACGCCTTCGTGCTCTGTTCTCTTTGTAAAAGCCATACTTTCTGGAATATTCTTTTACATTCTCGAAAGACATTTCAGGATTTAAACCTCCGTTGTCGGGCAAATGACAAGAGGTGGGTAGATATCGCGAGGTACGAGCACCCCGTTTGATGAACCACCAGCTGCTGTAGCTAGTACTGCCCTCTCTCTCCAAATCCGAATAGTTCGTCCTCAAGTACACATCCTCTATCTCAAATGGCAGACACGCATGGCTCACCCCAAAGTTGATTCGGAAATGCCTTCTCATATCAGGCCTCACTATTACCCACCAAGCATTATATTACCACACCTTATCCAAACCGTCCTCGTGGCGTTGCAACACAAAGTAGGCGGTACTGATGGAAGTGAAGGGGATTTAAAGCGGGATTTTCCGTTTACTGTATGCTTGCAGAATGGTTTCTCATTGAATTCCGCGTTGGTAACGTAGGGCATGTGCCAGGTGCGCTACGGGCGGTACCAGGGTGTTGTCCTCGTCTCCGCCGCTACAGACGGCAAAGCCTTCGTCTGGGACGTCGCCACAGGCCGAGTCCGCGCCAAACACTCCCACTCTGAACCCATCACCACCGTCACGACCCACCCCTTCCCGAAGCTCCACCTGGTCACGACCGCGTCTGCCGACAGCACGCTCAAGACGTGGGATATCCGTACGGGCGCGTTGGTGGGGACGCATACGGGGCATATGGGGGTGGTGAATGGGGTGATGAATGGGGTGGCGGTGGCGCCTGCGCCTGGGGGAGAGGGGAAGGCGCTTGTTAGTGCGATAGATGAGGGTGTTAGTTTGATTTGGAAGATATAGGGTCAGGGGTGAGGGTATGCATCCTTGGTGAGCTTTGCCTGAGATGATGGTGTACGAGAGAAAAAGAGGCTGCAGTTGTCCCGTCCTCAGCATTGCATGCACCTATCTAACTGCTTCCAGATTACGCTCCTGAGATGACCGGTCGTGGCACGGCGGGACAACTTATCCGTGTCCTTGACTTGAGAAGACCTAAATTATCGAGCAAGTTAGAATTCTGATCCGTGACGAAGAAGACATGTCCGCTCACGAAGTTGGCCACCGTGGTGACGCCACCCCCTAGCAGCGCGACCACCGCCACCCCAATCCAGAGCCTCGACTGCAACTCAGGGCTTGGCACCCTGTACCAGGAGGCGATAAGCCCGGGTAGCAAGAGCAAGGCGGCACTGAGCCAGAAGGCCGGGCCGGCTTAATTGAACAGGCGCCCGCCCGCAACCGTTGGACTGATAAACTGGATCAGTGTTTCCCTCAACATAAGACAATGTTTGTCGATACTTACTGCCCGAAGTTGCGCCAAAAACCAGCAGCCAGGCAGACTGCACTTACAAACATGGTAAATACTAGAAGTGTATCAGATCCAGTACATGTTGGCTCGAGGATGTCACTCACTGATTACCTTTTGGAATGGCAGGCTTACTCTCTGCCAAAGAGCGTGGGCCCGGGGCTGCTGGGCCTGGGGAGGGTTGGGCGGTGGGCTGCTGCTGGGCCTAGAGAGCCCGAGGCTGGTTGGGCGGCTGCTGGGATCGGTGCGCCTCGGAGGGCGAGGGGGAAGCGGGTGACGGGGAAGCGGGCTGGGGGGAAGCGGGCGAGGGGGAAGAGGCTGAGGGCGAGCGGCTAGAAGACGGACGAGGTGCAGGAGATGGAGGAGGAGGAGGAGGGTATGTGTGTGGTTGGAGCTGAGCCTGGGGCTGGGGCTGAGGTGCTGCTGCTGAGGTGCTGCTGCTGAGGTGCTGCTGCTGAGGTGCTGCTGCTGAGGTGGGGACAGGGGCCTCTAGACAGCAAGTCCGCACCACATCGCATCGAGTCGGCATCGGCATCGAAGAGGCCAGCAGCGTCGCGTACCTACCCACCTCCTCCTGCTTTCCCCTCACCTGCAGCAGCCTCCATGCCAACCTCCACGACGCCGGGCTGCTGTGGCTACTGGGGCTGGGACAGTGGCCGATGCTGTTGGTGTTGGTGAGGCGGCTGCAGTTGCTGCTCGTGCTGGGAAGAAGGAGCACGAGGAGGGTTGACGGAGGTCTTCGGGTCGAGAGATGCCGGCCTGGAGAGATGATCGTGTGTGAATTGGGGAGGGGCCGGCTGTTGCTGGGAGGGCTATCGCTTGGAGGGCTGATGAGAATAGGGCGACCGTGAAGAGGACGAATGGGGTGAGAAAAAAAAAACAGGAAGAGGTGGGTAGGTGTGCAACGCTGTTGGCTCGTCCGATGGCGATGCCGACTCGGTGCGACGTGGTGCGCACATGCTGTCTGGAGTGGAGTGGAGGAGTGGGAAGGGGGTGGGGGTGGATGGAAGGAGCTTGCGGTATGGGCAGGGGGAGGGGGTGCGCTGGGGAAGTAATGCGATCGTAGAGAGCCTGTACTGTCTACCGGCGGGTCGGCAGATCGGAACAGGCCAGAGCTGGCACTGGACCCTGGTCTGGGCCACTGGAGGGAGCTCATGACGCTCTGGCTTTTGGGCTTTTGGCGTCCCATAAGCAGCCAGGGCGTAGGCGGCTGCACCCAGGGACCACGAGGTGGTGATTCGGTGTACGAGGCCGTGGTTGAAAGTGGCCATCGCCATCGAGGGGTGCTTGCGTCAACCTCGCCGACCTAGCAAGGGGTTGCTCGGCGTGCTGGGGACTGGGAGCAGTGGTTGCAGGGTGGGCTGGTGGGACTTCGAGGTGAGAGTACATAGTCCATATCCTCGTCGAAACTTCCTGGGAAGGGTCCGATTGCCGTTGACGAAGGCAAGATGAATGATCAACCAACGTTGGCGAGGAGGCTGTACGCGCAAGGAAAGGCGCCGATGTCAAAGCTTGACCTGCGCAGCAAGACTGTTTGTATCGCATCAGCAGCTGTATGAACCTTCGCACGACGTGACTTATCGAGTGATCTGAGAGAAAGACATCGGCACAGTCATGGCTAGGTGGTCGGCCTTGCACCAAACGCCAGTGGAGAAGCCGGAAGAAGGATGGGGTCTGGCACAAGGGAGTGTATAGGCAGGCCTGATGCTTGCGAGTCGATGGAAGCAGCTCTGGAAGACCGTCAGCTGGTGCTGCGTGGCGTTGGTCGGCCGATGCTTACCTGTTGGCAGCGAAAGCCTCTCCCAATCCTCAGGCGACGATGATCGTGATAAGGAGCATCCGAACGATTAGCTCTTGCCGTATGCTGCCCCCAGGAAGAGCGACTCCAGCTCCTACTACCCCTGTGGCGAGCGGGAAGAGACAGAGGGGATAGATTGTGGAGATGCAAAAGAGAGATGAGAGATGCAAATGGAAGAGGAAGAATGGTGACACCCACCCACACACAGATTTGATCCCGGCGATCAGCGAACGTTGAGCGCGGGTGCCACATCAGCCAGTTGGAGCTGCCAGCATCTGTAGGCATGCTAGAGCGCAGGTGTGATCCCGCTTTGGACTCGTATACTTTGACCATATGGGCAAAATGTCATACATTTACCATCATCTACTCACAGAAAACGTAGGTTGCAATGCATTGGTCTCTCAATCAACCTACATCAGCACCCAGCTCTAAGGCTTCACGTTCCTAACCGCCATCTTCTTCCCCTCCAAAAAGCTCTTCACCTCATCAATCCCCACCTCGCCCCTGTGGAAGATCCCAGCCGCCAACGCAGCCTCCGTCCCCGTCTCCCTAAACACCTCCTCGAAATCACCCGGCCCGCCCGCTCCCGAAGAAGACACCACAGGAATGCCCACGGCGCCCTTGACGAGCTTGATCAAGTCCAAATCAAACCCAGCCCCCGACCCGTCCCTGTCGACAGAGTTGAGCAAGATCTCGCCCGCGCCCAAGCGCTCGACACCCTTGGCAAGCTGGACGACATCGATATCCCGGACAGCACGGCCGCCAGAGATGGTACATTGGTACCACCAAGCCTTGCCCTTTTCTTGCGGCGCCGTGCGTGAGGTGGCCTTGTCGCCGATGATGAGGGAAGGCAGGTGTTTCTCGGGGAAGGAAGAGAGCCAGTCGGGGGAAGAGGTGTCGACGTAGACACGTTTAGGGTCGATGGAGACCACGACAGCCTGACGGCCGTAGCCCTTGGAGATGTTTTCGATACCCGTCTTGCCAGAGAAGGCGGGCTCGCCACGGGCTTCGCGTTCGAGCATCTCTTCGACGGCGATGACGGCTTCGGAGCCGATAGAGACCTTGTCGGCACCAGAACGAAAGTAGGTGCCCGCGACTTCGAGAGCAGAGTGGACGGTGCCGTCAGGGTCGACAGTGTCCTTGATTCCTCCACCAATCGTCAGGGGCACAAAGCACGTTTCTGCCGCCGCCTTGACCACCTCCAACATCGGCTGGTCGAGCAACGCCGACTGCCTGAAACTCGTGATATTCAAGAACGCGACCTCGTCGGCACCGTTAAGGTAGTATCTCTGCGCGAGCTCGACAGGCTTGCCCAAGTTTCGCACTTGTCCACCCTCGTCAGACTTTTCACGGACGTCGTATTGGTCGCCCTTGGTAACGACGAGGTCACCGGCGTCGTTGGAACGGACATCGAGGCAGGCGACGATACGGTTGGTAAGGCCGTTGCCCTGGGCGCGGAGGGGATCGGGGTTGGTGGGTTGCCAGACTTTGCTGGAAGAAGAGGATGAAGAGGCCGATTTGGAGGACAGGCTCTCGACGGGAGCTTCGATCCAGCGCTTGAGCAGGTCGAGACCAGCAGGGCCAGACTTTTCGGGGTGGAATTGACAAGCAAAGACATTATCGCGCCGTATAGAAGAGATGAAGGTCTCGGATCCGTATCGGGAAAGGGTGTAGGCGAAATCGTCGACAGATTTGGGAGGCTGCTCGCCGGGCGCGAGTTTGGGCAGAAGCGCGGCGTAAGAGTGGACAAAGTAATAGTCCTCGTCGTGGATCAACTCCTCTTCTCCCTCCTGCTTGTGCGCCCGCCAAGCCCTATTCCATCCCATGTGGGGCACACTCTTCTTTCCTCCCTCCACACCCGCATCTTTCGCGGTAAACTTGGTGATCCCGAAGGGCACCACGCCGAGACCCTTTGAGCCTGGCGACTCGGTAGAGGACTCAAAGAGCACCTGCATACCGATGCAGATACCCAAGTAGGGCTTGCCAGAGTTGATATAGTTCAGGAGGTGTTTGGAGAGGTTGGAGGAGGTGTGGAGGGCGGAGGTGGCTTTTTCGAAGGAGCCGACACCGGGAAAGATGAGTTTCTGATACAGTCTCAGCGCAGCTCTTGCCCAAAGGGAGAATACACACCTCGGCCTTGTCAAAGTCGCTCTCATCCTTGATCCATTCAAAGTCGTGTCCCAAGGCGTTGATGGAGTTTGCCAATCTGCTTGGATGAGCACTTTCAGGCAGGTATAGAAGCGACTCACGATCTGACATTTCCGGCTCCATAGTCGAGGATGTAGAGCTTGGGCTTGCTCGTGGAGGAGTGCCCGGAAGGCTGAGATACTTGAGGGATGGGGAGTACCGAGTCGGCCATGCTGAAATGATATATGCGATGAAGAGACAAAATGAAGAGATGCGAGCCAAATGATTGTTGCGACTCGCTTCAAGGCACGGATTACGTACTCCACCCCGGCAACGGTCAACCCACCAGTATTAAAAAGGCGCATGCATTCAGCATTAGAGTCGTGATGGTACGATAAGATAAAGAGCTATGATAGGATACTAGATACAACAGGGCAGTTTAGGGCAGTCTATGGAAGTATGAGAAAGAGCAGCGCAGGCAGGCGGGCACGGTCTCTCAACTTTCTCTCGGCGCGCCATAGCCATTTGTACAGATGTACAGGACGCGCTGTGCTGGGGTGGTGATGATAAGGAAGAGGTTCATGGCTCGCCGTGGGTCTTCCAGCTTCCGGCGAATCCATGCTCCACCATTGCTTGGGGGTCTACCCTTCGTCAGTATCCATACGTATCGTTGTGAATGTGGATGGTACCCACCCCCTCTCTGCTGAGCGCCAAAGTTGCCTACACCCGGCGAGAAGCCAGTAACTAGAAGGTAACAGAGTCAATACATCCTCAACAATGAAAAAAAGACGAAATACTCACCAGGCAAGATCAAAACATCCCCAACCCTCATCGGCTCCCTCAACCCCTTCAAATCCACCCACCTCATCCCCCACCCAACCTTCAAATAACTCAACACTGCATCCGTCCACACCCCCGGCCCCGTCCACGCCATCACCCCCACCGGCCCGCCATTCTTTGGCTCATTCAGCGCCGTGACTTGTGCGAGCGACTCGGCGTCGGCGTAGCGGCCTTGGTCGAGGAGGATTTTGACGACTTTGGCTTGGGTGTGGGACCAGTGGATGGCGGTGGATGTGGCGTGGAGGATGCGGAGGAGGGCGTTGAGGGCGATGGGGTGGGAGGGGGTGGAAGCCATTGTCCATTGGACTATCTGGATCTGCTCTTTGTCAGGCTGTATCCCTCATTTCGAGGTTGCAGGACGTACAGGTCTCGGCCACCAATCATACCAATCTTCCCTATCCCCCACATCAGCCTCAACCCCAACAACCACACTCGCCCTCCCCAAAACCTCATCATGCGACTCGCCCGCTTCCAGCCTCTCCTTCTGCTCGGGTGTGAGCCAGCCGTCGCCGTTGTTGAACAATACGGGAGGAGTGGTGGGGGGAGCGCCCCATTTGGAGGGTGGTTTGAGGAGGGTGGTGTCGGTGTCGGAGTAGATGCCGCCGCGGAGGAGGAGGAGGAGGTATCGTAGCATGTCCGAGCGCTACCCTTGTCAGCTCTCTCTTTTTTGTTGGTGATGGAGACTCACGAGAATACCACTGGGAAGCCCATCCCAGACTTGCCTAACGCGACTACCCGCAAGCACCTTCTTGACCCACTTTTCAGCGTCCTTATCTGTCAACAAATCCCACTCCCACTTTTCATTCTTCGTCTTCCAACCTCTCCAGCTCTTCACTTCCGGACTCTCCAACCGCCGTCCGTCCTTATCCGTCTGCCATACAAACTTTTCTTTATCCCATGCCCAATCACCCCCTTCTTCTGAGGAGTCACCCAGGAAATGGTCGAGCCCTTTGAGGAGGACAGTATGCGCTGCTTTGGGGAATGCGATTTTGACAAATTCGCGCATGACCCTGGCATACTCTTCTTTCCCCTCCGGTCCGTAATCGTAGATCCCATCCGCAAAGTGCCCCAACACCGACAAGGGCTCCTTACTCTCATTTACCTCGGGCTTTGCCGGCCATGGAGAGAGCCCGGCAGTGAGATGGTCGGGATTGAGATCGAGACCCCAGGATTGCGGTTTGATCTTTCCCTGGGCTGCCATCTTTTCTGCGTGGGAGAGGACGTGGTTTGGGTCTTTGTCAGAGGAAGCAGTTGGGGATGGGGAAGATGAAGAGGAGGAGGATGGGGGGTCGGGCTCGAAGAGGATTGGGTATGGCGTGCCATCGGCGCCTAGCGGAATCCCAGGTATGGACGCATCTATCGGTCTCCCTGTATCCCACCATCAGCTTCCCTCCCCCCTCCCATCTAGAGACGAGACAGGACATACCTCTGGCCAAATAAGCATCTGCATCCATCCCCCAAATCACCCAGCCTGCTATACTAAAGAATCCCACTCCCAAGAGGATCTGCGATATAAGCCGCCGCCGGCGTAGAGAGATGTGCGGTATTGGCGGGGCACCGTATGGGTGAGGGTTATTATGCGTGAAGGTAGGGGAGGAAGGGGAGGAGGGGCCCTTTTCGGGATCTGTATCCATGGTGACTCTGTTGAAGGGTGAGTGGTGGATGGCAGAGGATAAGAAGCGCAGGCAGTAAGAATCTCGCAGCAACAGAGATTTGTTGACAACCGGGACACCGTCATAGCGGACTACGCCGAGGGCATATATTTTGATTTTTGCATGCTCAAATTGGTCAGGACGGTTCTTGAATAACCATGAGCATGTGGCGGGGCTGAAAGGGGGGACAGAGACCAAGAGGGTATGTTGTGGTAGATGACAGGGCAGACCGACAATACATACGACGTAGGCACGAGCGACAATGACCTCTGGCAGAAGAATGATGGCGAGCTCTGGGTAGAACTTGTTGGCAATACTGCAGACTGGTCGTGTCGGTTCCAGTTGAGCTCAAGGAAGAAAGATATGATGAAATGTATGCGACAGTCAAAATACCAGCGGGGTTGAACGAGACGCCGCCAGCCAGATCTTCTTTGTTCTTTCTCCCCCCATGCATCACAATCACCCTCCCATCGCCCCTATCGCCGTCCCAGATATTACATCTTATCACCAGACCCCTGCTTTTATGTGCATAGAAAGCAGTCCCGCCGTCAGCGGCGCTCGCCACCACGCTAAAGAGGTCCCGTAGGTCTCCCGCCCACCCCCGGCGATTAACAACGCGTCCAATTCTTATTCCCTCTTTCTCCTCCTCCTCTTCTCCCACACCGCCATGAACGACTCGCCCCCCACAGACATCCCCCCCATCCTCCTCCCCCTCCTCGCAGCCCTCTCCTCCCTCCTCCACACTACCCAGCACCTCTTCGACTCCCTCCCCGGCTCCCCCATCATCCTCCGCTACATCAGGTCGTCTTATCAGAACGACCCGTGGCGCAGTCTCCTCGAAGTCTTGCTCGTCGCTTTTGCGATCCGCACACTTCTCAAGGGGCGAACCCGAGGAGAGGAAGAGGGCAAGAATGTCATCAAGTTTAAGGAACATGTGAGTGTCGATTCTCGGGACGCGCTTTGTGTAGTATGGGTTGACGCGAGACGCTTTAGGAAATCGACGAGCTCGTGGACGAGTACCAGCCTGTGCCCCTCGTCGAGGAGCTCGTAGACTACGACGCGCACACCCTCGAAACTGTTCCCATCGTCCACGGCCCCAACGGTGCCCGCGTCAAGCTCTCGCCCAACGGCAAGTCTGTGCTCAACATGGCCATCCCCGACTGGACGGGTCTTGTGGAAAACGACAAGGTCAAGTCTATCGCTATTGACACCCTACGCGAGTACGGTGTGGGGTCTTGTGGTCCTTCAGGTTTCTACGGTACTATCGGTGCGTACCCGAAAATCGTCTCGGGAAGCCGGCTGACCGGGGGGTTGTAGACGTTCATCAACAATTTGAGCGCGATATCGCTGAATTCATCGGTACCGAATCGGCCATCATCTACTCCCAGTCCTTCTCCCTCGTCTCTTCCGTCATTCCCGCTTTCGCCAAGCGTGGCGATATCATCGTTGCCGACCGCGGTGTCAACTTTGCCATTCACAAGGGTCTTCAGCTCTCTCGATGCCAGATCAAATGGTATGCCCATGGCGACATGGCCGACCTCGAGAGGGTGCTGCAGAGTGTGGAGAAGGACAGGAAGAGAAAGGGCAGCAAGTTGACAAAGATGTTTATCGTCGCTGAGGGTATCTTTGAGAATGACGGTATGATGCTGGACTTGCCTAAAGTCGTGAGTAGACTATCTCTCCAGATGATTACGAGCTGACGCTTTCCCAGATCGAGCTCAAGAAAAAGTACAAGTACCGCCTCATACTCGACGAGTCCCAGTCTTTCGGCATGATCGGTCAGCATGGCAAGGGTATCACCGAGTACTTTGGTATCCCCGCCACCGAAGTCGACATGCTCCTCGGTTCCATGGCTGTCGGTCTTGCCACCGGTGGTGGTTTCTGTGCCGGCTCCCAGGTCGTGTGCAAGCACCAGCGTATCAATTCGTCCGCCTCCGTCTTTTCTGCCTCTCTCCCCGCGCTGCTCGCCACCACCGCTTCCTTTGGCTTGACCGTGCTCAAAGAGGGCGGTGCTCTCAACACCCTCCAGGCCAACATTGCCCTCTTCCGCCAACAACTCGTCAAACTCGAGCCTTCCGCCGACGACGCCCACCCCAACAAAGACGCCCTCATCTCCATCCCCTCCCACCCCTCTTCCGCGCTCATCCACATCTTCCTCATCAACCCTCCCCCCACGCTCGACGCGGAAGAACGTGTCTTGCAGGATATCGTGGAAGAAGCGCTGTCGAGCCATGGGGTGTTGTTGACGAGGGCGAGGAGGTTGAGGGGGCAGGAAGTGTTTGAGCACGAGCCGAGTTTGAAGATGTGTGTGAGTAGTGTGTGGGGGAGGAAGGAGGTGGAGAAGGCGGGCCAGGGGGTGAAGGCTGCTATCCAGAAAGTCGTCGGTAGTGAGTTTTGGCGTTGGTTTTGAACCTTTTTTTTCCAAGTAGGAGTGGTTGTGCTGATGATGATTTTTAGAACGTCGTTGAGCCTTCGTTTATAGGATGGTCGACAGGATGAGGAAGACCGGTCGTTTTCCAGGTTGTTTTAGTGTGCATAGATTAGTTTCCAATCATCGCGACATACAAGTATACGGCTCTTTTGCCGTGCCCCCCTCTCATATTCTTATCATTTCGCCAATCATCTACTAGATTCTCCGCTATCGTTCGGGCGCGTTCGGACAGTTTCTCATATACTTTAGAATCGTGTTTCATGTCTTTTATGGGTATATGGGATACATAAGAGAAGAAGTCATTGTGGTAGGGTCAAGACTGGGAGCCTATGGATCACCATTTGCATATACCCGTCCAACCCTGCTTGATCATCCATCCATCCATCCATCCATCTGATGACGCCACTGATGCATCCGCGACGAAAGGTATATAGAGTGGGTGAGTGGGTGACAAGTGGGTGACAACCAATAGAATTATAGAAGAGCAGGTGAATCAAATGGCCTTTTGTTATCATCGTATCATCGTACGTATCAGCTATCAGCAGCAACTGATAGGCTTGGCCGTCTTTGGTCCTCGCGGTCAACCGGTGAGCTTGAACGCGCAGAAGAGTCGTACGCTCTTGTTTCCGGACCGGACAGTCTAAAACTCTGGGGAGGACTATGGGCTATGCATGGCGGACTTGTGATCGGTTAGGGCGGGGTAGGAGGAGCGTATGTATAGGCACAAGGGGATAATAATATACAGTCCACAGATGTCGGGTAGTTCGGGACCAAAACAACTGCAACGCGCGCATAATAAACTCTTTCATCATCTACCTCTATCAGATCTTTCCTCCATTTCACCTGTACCAACACCCGCCTATCTACAGCTCGACACGGCAGCAGCACGATAAGCAGGGGAGCTACAGCAAGACGATGTCAATAACACTCCGCCTCTCCAGCCGGCATCATCCTCGACTGTCTTCGTCGGCGCCAGCTCTGATACCGATACCGCGTCTCGCCGCGAAGCGTTATTCGAGATTATGCGCGTTATCGGTAGACACTCCAGAACAGGCAGGGGTGGGGTGTAGGGCGAGAAGGGAATGGGCGAACGGGCAGCTGGGTTTAGGAGGCGTACCAAGGGTGGCTAGGCGGAGTGGGGGGGTTCTTGGAATACGGTCGCATTCTACAAAACCGACTTCTACCACCAAGGACAAACCCCAGCACGCCCATACGCACAAACATGAAGATGGAGAGGAGTGTGATCATGGTCATGATCATAGTCATTCGGGCATCTTCCATACGCATGCGCATGATCATTCAGAGGGGGCGGAGCAGCTTATGGAGGCGCTTTCCAAGGGGCAGATGGATAGGGGGACGAGGATAACGCTGCTTGGTGAGTTGTTAATCCGGTGGGGAGAAAGAGAGGAAGCTGAACGTGAAGTGTAGGACTGGGTAGTAATGTCGCGTTGACGATATCGAAAGGCCTGGCGGGGCTGTGGATGAATTCGGCTTCGCTGCTAGCTGAAGCTGGGCACAGTCTTTCCGACTTGTTGGGTGTGAGTATTCTGCTGACTCAATAACGGCCGAGCTGATATGTGTATGATAGGACTTTGTCACCCTTGCCACATGGCGTATCTCTCGCAAACCCGCCACCGACGCCTTTCCCTGGGGATACTCCAAGTTTGAGACGTTTGGAACGCTGACGGTAAGCGTAATCTTGGTGGGTGGAGCGGTGGGTATTGGGCTGCATAGTTATCACGTGAGTCCTCTTTCTCATATGGCGATGAGATCAGGGCTGACAAAGTGACAGCTGCTGCTTCAAACACTGCTACCATACCTCGAAACCTTCCCTCCCGGTACCCTCCTCCGCTCATTGGCGCCCCATCTCCCACCTTCCATCCCCTCACCCCTCCTCGAGCTATTCCACTCCCACGGCCCATCGGCTCTCCCGCATGACCATGCCGGCGAACACGTTCACTCCCATGGTGTCGAAGCTGCTACGTCGGGCGCCATCTTGAACCCTCATGCGGCGTGGTTTGCGCTGGCGAGCGTGGTGGTGAAAGAGTGGCTGTATAGATTGACGTCAAAGGTTGCGAATGAGGAGCACAGTCCTGTTTTGAAGGCGAATGCCCTGCAGTACGTCTGCTCTTCTCTGCAATGTTGTATGCTGACAAGATTCCAGTCATCGTGCGGATGCTCTCACTTCCCTCGTTGCCCTGTCATCCATCCTCGGCTCTTCCTTTGGCGGCTACACCTTCCTCGACCCCCTCGGCGGTATCTGCGTCTCCTTCTTCATCCTCCACCAAGGTCTCTCCCTCTCCAAAGTCGCTTTCCTCGAACTCCTAGACGCCGGCGTCGACAAGAGCACCAAAGCCTCCATAGAACGCATAGTCGGCGGACTCGTCGATGGCAAAGACCTCCTCGGCGTAAGGAACGTCCGCGGCGTCAAGAGCGGGGGTCAGACGTACCTCGACTTGACGGTCGTCGTACCGCCGCATATGACCGTGGTCGACTCGCACAACGTGGAGCAGAGGGTGAGAGAGGTGGTCATGCGCAAGAGGAAGGAGGTGCGGGAGGTCAAGATCCATGTGCATGGGGACGATCCGAATGAGCTGTTGGTCGTGCAAGATGGGGACGGTGGGAAGGTGGCGAAGAAGGGCAATGGGAAGGTTGTTGTTGGGGTAACGAGTGATTTCGGGAGGGAGGGGTGTTGAGGTGCTGTAGGGAATGGGGTGTTCTGAGATGAGCAGTGTTGTTCGTTGGTTCCATGATGGGTTGTATGTAAAGGCGAATCGTCACGATCATCTTTTTGAACTCCTCTCGCGCGTTACATTCTTGGCATGGCTCTGTGTATCTTGCACGTAGTCAATGGCAGTGCTAGATAGAGCCGCTGCATGAGCACTATCGGGCATCTAGCTCTCACTCATCTTCTGGAGGAGGCATGTACCATGCAGCCTCTTTTCTGACATCTTCCAATGACTCAAGGTCGGATAGTTCCATAGCCACCCCAGGGTCGATCATCAAATTCCCCTCCAGAAGGGTACCTTCCCCTACAGACCACCCCGCACCAAAGAGTGTCCCTTCCACCTTTGTCCATCTGTCTCCTTGGACCATCTGCACATGACTCTTTGTGTCTACAAGCTCCACGCTGCCGAGATCGCCATTGGCCGACGAAAAAAGTCTCTCTTTTGACCACTTCGCTTTCCAGAGACGAGGCCACCTTGCACAGCTGGGCCGATGGCGGTGTATGTGGGATCGCGGGACTTGTGCTCTTTGTAGGTAGAAGAGTCCATGTAGTTGGTGACTATGCGTGTCGCTTCTTCAGGGACCCTGAAGCGCTCTGTCGCCCCGGGGGCGGGGGGGGGGGCTACCTCTTCTTCTTCGAGTCTCTGTTCGAGGTCGCTGGATGGCTCATGGACGGACATGGTGAGAAGATCTTGTTATGTGGCTTGTTGCAGAAAGATCTTCGACGCTCTGAGCAAAATGTAGCCAGACTGGCTACTGGTACCAGAATAAGAAGAAGGGAGTGTATGGTGTGATGGTCAGCAGAGGCTCCTCTGAGCTGCATATTTCCGAAATGAGTTGGGGTTTTCTTTCAGTGCAACATGACGTTCCTATGATATGTACCCATTGTCCTTGCTTCTCTTTTCGGTGTGCGTATATTGTATTGTTAGAAGAAGCAATTATTGTCTTGTTCTGTTGAAAGGACATCAGAAGTGGAGCCAAGTGCCACTAACAGCTGAGATTCTTGGTCAAGGGGAACCAAACAACACGGAGGACCGAGAGCTCACGTGGGTGATTTACGTAAATCGATGCGGGGTGGTGGGAGCGGGAGCTATCTCCCTTTGCATCTGCATCTCTTCTATCTTCTGTCCATCCCTGCTGACCAGGGACTGCTGCAGATCAGCCGAAGATCATGGATGCGCTCAAGAGAACAGACTATCCCCAGAGGACCGATGAGGCCAGTGAGTGTCGTCGCTCGGCGGGTACTCGCTGTCCACCAGGATCAGCTGGGCGTCGACGTCTGACGAGCCTGACACGCAGAACCGACACTGACTTCTGATAGAGTACAAGAAGCTCGGGTCCACTGGCGGCCGTCTCAATCAGTTCATCGTAAGCCTACCAATCACGGACACGTTGCTCCGCAACTGACCCGCATCCAGGGTGGTCACTACGCAAAGTACAATCTCTCCTCTCTGCTGTTCGCACACCGTCTCGACGACAAAGAGCACGTCAAGCTCGAAGTGTGGTCTGCCCCCGATCGCTCGAAGCCTTCATTCGAAGAGGCCAAGCGCCAGACGTACAAGCCGGCGAAGAAGGGCGACTCCTTTGGCCCCAGCTGGTCCAATCACTGGTTCAAAGTCACCCTTCGCATCCCAAAGGAGTGGGCCGGGTATGAGCGGGTACAGTTTGAATTTGATGGCTCGGGCGAGGCTATGATCTTTACGACCGACGGCGACCCCATCCATGGTCTGACAGGCGGCTTCGGAGGCGACCGACGCGTCGAGTTTATCGTCCCTCAGGCCGCTCGTGATGCTGGAGTAGCCCACTACTATGTCGAGTCGAGCTGTAATGGCATGTTCGGTATCGACAATATGCAGCCACCCGACGACAATCGATATTATCGTCTCAACTCGGCCGACCTGGTGGTACCGAACCAAGAGGCCTGGCGTCTGATGTGGGATTTCGACGCGATCCATCAGATATACAACACCCTCCCCGGCGATTCGGCCCTTGCCAAGAAGGCACAGTGGGTCGCCAATGAGATCATGAATGTGTTTGAGGAGGGTAGCTTGGAGAGTGTCAAGAAAGGGCGCAAGGTGGCGCAGACTATCCTGGGAGAGGACTGGGAGAAGCACATCCAGGATGAGAGCGAGAAGGCCGAGAAGGAGGGCGGTACGCTATGGGGCGTTGGTCATTGGTGAATACCTATTTCATTCTGCTGGACTTCACTGACTTTTGTGTAGCCACATCGATACCGCCTGGCTCTGGCCCTTCTCCGTCACCCAGCAGAAAGCAGCACGCTCTTGGTCTACCCAAGTCGATATCATGGAACGCTACCCCGAGCACCGCTTCTCCGCTACTCAAGCTCAGCAGTTCAAATGGGTCGAGCAGCTTTACCCCTCCCTCTTTGCTCGGATCCAAGAAAAGGTCAGCGAAGGGAATTTCCAGCCGCTGGGAGCTACATGGGTGGAGATGGATACGAATTTGCCGAGTGGGGAGGCGCTCGTGAGACAGTTCTTGTATGGGCAGAGGTACTATGAGAGTCGATTTGGGTTCCGATCGGATACTTTTGTTTTACCTGACACTTGTAAGTGGGCGGTCGAGACGCGGGGTCATGCTGACTCTGAGTAGTCGGTTATTCGAGCCAGCTCCCTCAGATTTCTCGTCAAGCTGGAGCTAAGAACTTCTTTACCCAGAAGCTCTCCTGGAACTCAATGTGAGCGTTCTTCATGCCCCCCCCGAAAGTTTAGCAGACCTAACCGAACAACGAACAGTAACAACTTCCCTCACAGCACTTTCAACTGGGTTGGTCTCGATGGGTCTCAGATCTTGACTCACATGACTCCTGTCGACAACTACAATTCCCAGTGAGCCCTCCCCTACATTGATATCGATCTATCGACAAGGCTGACTATACGCCAGGTGCAATATTGACGATATCCGCAAAGGTGTTACCGGACACAAGAACCTCGACGTCACTTGTACGCACTCATGTCTGTCAATGCGGTCACTTACTAACGCGTTGTACAGCTCAAGCCCTCTTGCTCTTTGGAAACGGAGACGGCGGCGGCGGTCCCACCCCACCCATGCTTGAAAAGCTCCGACGCGCCCGCTCTGTCGCTCAACGACCCGACGCCGGCGGCCAGCTCCCCCTCGTCAAGATGGGCGGCAGCTTCAGCGACTTTTTCGATAGTGTCAGGGACGAGACAAAGGGCGGTGTGAGGCTGCCTTATTGGAGAGGCGAGCTTTATTTTGAGCTCCATCGGTGAGCACTCATTCTGTAGGGTGGAATGATCGTGCTGATGGGAGAGCCAGAGGGACATACACGTCGCATGCTTCGATCAAGAAGGGGAATAGGAAGAGCGAGATACTCATGCGCGAAGCCGAGTATGCGGCTACTATGGCTACGCTCGCCGACCCCGACTACAAGTACCCCAAGGACGTACGCCTGTCCTTACAATCACATGCTGGCAGACTGACTGACCTTCTTTTAGCGCTTCGATGCTGCATGGGAAGATCTCCTTCTTTGTCAATTCCACGACGTCCTCCCCGGCAGCGGTATCGCCATGATCTACCAAGACGCCGAGAAGAAATACGCCGCGCTCCACGCCTCCATCTCTTCCATCCTCGAAGAAGCTCTCTCCGTTCTGTACCCCAAGACCAAGCTGGTGGGCAAGGATGAGAAAGCGGTGGGTCAAGTGTTTGCGGTGAATACAACGCCGGGGATGGCGAGGCGGGAGGTGGTCAAGGTTGAGCTTGGCAAGGGGGTGAAGGGCTTGAAGGAAGCCACAGCGCAAGTCGCGGAAAGCGGAGATGCGGGGTGGGTGTTGATGAGCACTGGGGAAGACAAGTCGTTGGCTATGCCTCAAGGAGTGTTTGTCTCGCCCCGAGTCGAAAGTAAGTCCTGACCATTTTCCGCCCGCCCCCCGTGTCGTGGCTAACAACCACATTCCTTAGTCCACGAGAAGGACGACGTGTTCGTCATGTCCAACGACAATTTGTCACTCAAGATCCAAGACGGAAGGATCACCAGTGTCTATGACAAAGCTCTCGAGTAAGTTTGGCGGTCATGACGCTTGCATCCCGGCTAATATCGTCTGTAGCAAGGAGCTTATTCCTCAAGGTCAGAGCGGCGGTCTTGTCATTATGGAAGACCATCCCAACGCCTGGGAGTAAGTCATTATTCAACTACTCCAGAACAGACTGACATCGTACTAGCGCGTGGGATGTCGACGAGTTCCACTTGGAGAAGCAGACTCACCTCAAGTTCGGATCGCTCCGTATCAAAGAGCAGGGCCCGCTCCGAGGTGTTATCAGCACGGCGCTGCAGGTCGGCAAGAGCAGGATTGATCTGGAGATCATTGTGGATGCTGTGCCGGCCTCGGTGAGGGAAGGAGCGAGGAGTATGATCAGGTTTGACGCTGTTGTGTGAGTGTGTACTCCATTGAGTCTGTAAAGTGCATGCTGATGGAATTTTAGGGATTGGCGAGAGAAGCACCGTTTCCTCAAGTGTGGGTTGGGTGCTAGTAATATCGGAAGCCCGGACTAATGATCATGTGCAGTCGAGCTTCCCCTTGACATCTACTCCGAATCTGCTACCTACGACACCCAATTTGGTACCGTCTCCCGCCCTACTCACCGAAACACCAGCTGGGACGCCGCCAAGTTTGAAGTCTGCGCGCACAAATTTGCCGACCTTTCCGAATTTGGCTACGGTGTTGCGATTCTCAATGACTGCAAATACGGCTAGTATGTTAAGGCTCGAGTGGCTTAGACTGTACTAATGCCTTCCCTAGTGCGACTCAAGGCAACGTCATGCGTCTCTCACTCCTTCGAGCGCCTACCGAGCCGGACGCGGACTGTGATATGGGCACGCACGCGTTTTCGTTTGCCATCTACCCCCACAAGGGCACGTATACGGAGAGCGATGTGGCGCAGGTCGCCTACGCGTTCAACTCACCTTTGACTGGTACGTCCCACCAGGAAAGCGTTGCTCTACTCGCTGACACCATCCCCAGCCCGCCACGCGACCGAAAAGACTCTCGATATTGCCTCTCTTTCCCAGTTCGCCACCTCTAATCCATTCTCGATTAGCAACGCTCCCAACGTACAGCTGGAAACCATCAAGAGAGGCGAAGACGACGATTTCGGGAAGCGAGGCGGAAACACCAATTCTTTGATCTTGCGAGTCTATGAGCATTTCGGAGGACATGCGAGGGCAAAGCTAAACATGTGAGTCAACATCTTTCCACGATCACAGTGTGTGATACTGATGTGCTGTTTAGCTCGGGATTGAGTATCGCCAGAGCTGAGATTGTCAATATCCTCGAGGATCACCTCGAAGACCTCACCGTCTACTCCACCTCCGACAAGTCCAACACATCTCATGTGGAGCTCAACTTGAGAGGCTATGAGGTCCAGACAGTCAAGTTGACTGTCAAGAACGTGCACAAGAAGGAGACGGACGGATGGGTCAAGTTGTAAAGCAGGGAAAGAGAATGATTGTATCAGAGAGGAGACTCATACTTGTGATTGTATCACGATGTGCACCGTTGTTTATTGCGAAATGTAGTGTAGATCAAATAGCTGTCAAGGCCAGGAAGGAAAACATGAACTGTATTGCTTTTAATGTTCTGTACAAGGCATGCGAGAAGATTGGTGGATGTTTAGCGATGGATTTGATAATTGTTCTTTCCTTCTTCTCTAAGCCAGCGACCCGACTTTGCACATCATAATGGGTCCATGGCCAAGCGACAGGCCTCGACGGCGGCGATGGGAGGAGGTTTGGGCCCTGGCTAATTGGCAGTTCCATTGCCGCTGACGAGGGCGAGTGTAGCGTCGGTGTATGTGAATTAGAAAGCTAGTCTGTATGTATATCTGGGTCTCGGCAAGCGGCGTAATTGCCCCTGCACATCATCATGTAACATGCATATAGGCACCACGAGTATAATCATTTCAGGGTGTCTCGGAGAGCACGACGATATACAGCTCCATGCATGTCGATCTAGCCAATAGGCCCAGGCAAAAAGATACTGATCAATATCTAGCTCAACATCAATCGGTGACGCCTGCGCCTGGGGGAGAGGAGAAGGCGCTTGTTAGTGCGATAGATGAGGGTGTTAGTTTGATTTGGAAGATATAGGGTTAGGGGTGAAGGTATGTATCTTTGGTAAGCTCTGCTTGAGATGATGGTGTACGCGAGAGAAAGAGGCTGCAGTTGTCCCGTCCTCAGCACGTGCATGCACCTATCCGACTGCTCCCAGATTACGCTCCTGAGATGACTGGTTCCGGGGCGGGAGGTTCCGATGGACTGCAACAGTCCGCAGCACGGTGGGACAACTTACCCGTGTCCTTGACTTGCGAAGACCTAGATTATCAAGCAAGTTAGATTTTCTATCGGTGACGAAGAAGACATGTCCGCTCACCATGTTGCCCACCGTGCTGACGATGCCTAGAACCAGCGCCGCCATCGCCACCGCAAGCCAGCCCAACGCCGTCGACTCAGTGCCCGGGACAATTAGGCGGGGGAAGGAGAGAAGGGCGCCAAGAATCCAGAAGGATGGGCCGACATAATCTTTCAGACGGCGACCCGGAACCGTCCGACTGATAGACTGGATCAGTGTTTTCCCTCGACATGAGACAAATTTTATCGACACTCACCCCTTCCAAGTCAGCACCAACCCAGCACCCAGGAAAATCGCATGCAACGAAAAGGCGAAGGCTAAATGTATATCAGATATCCAGGTCATGTTGGCTCGAGGATGTCACTCACGCGCACAGGCTGCTAGTTGTAGGCCCAGGTCTGTTCTTTGCCAACCAGCGTGAGCCTGGGGCTGCTCCTGCTGCTCCTGTTGGTGCTCCTGTTGCTCCAGTTGCTGCTGCAGCTGCTGGACTTGAGGCGACTCGGATGGCGATGAGGAAGAGGGCGAGGGGGACGGGGAAGAGGGTGAGGGGGACGGGGAAGAGGGTGAGGGGGACGGGGAAGAGGGCGAGTGTTGTGAGGATTCATGGGGAAGAGGAGGGTAAGTGTGCAATTGGTGCTGCTCCTGGGACTGGGGCTGGGACTGGCGTGAGGACATGTTGTAGAGTTGTGATAGAGCTTAGAGATGCAATATCGACACTCACCCCTTCCAAATCAGCAACAACCCAACAGCCAGGCAGATTGCGCTCAGAAACATAGCACTGACTGTGTGTGTGTGGTTGGTGCTCCTGGGACTGGGGCGGGGTCTGGGATGAGGACATGTTGTAGAGTTGTGATAGCAGCGCGACCACCGCCACTCCAATCCAGACCCTCGACTGCACCTCAGCGTTTGCCACCCTGTTCCAGCCGGCGATGAACCCGGGGAGCAAGAACAAGGCGGCACTGAGCCAGAAGGCCGGGCCGGCGTAATTGTAAAGGCGCCCGCCCGCAACCGTGGGACTGATAGACTGGATCAGTGTTTCCCTCAACATAAGACAATGTTTGTCGATACTTACTGGTCGAAGTTGTGCCAATACCCAGCAGCCAGGCAGACTGCACTTACAAACATGGTAAATACTAGAAGTGTATCAGATCCAGTACATGTTGGCTCGAGGATGTCACTCACGAACTGTCTTCTGTAGAGGCAGGTCTACTCCTTGCCAACGAGCGTGAGCCTGGGGCTGCTGGGCCTGGGGAGGCTGAGGCTGGGGAGGCTGAGGCTGGGGCGGGGGCTGCTGTTGAGCGTGCTGCTGCTGCTGGGGTAGGGACGGCTGAAACTGTTGGCGTTGGTGAGGCGGCCGGAGCTCATACAGTCTATCAGTCTGACGGTTCCGGGTGGCCTTGTGTACAACAACGCCGGCCCAGGCTTCGGGATTACTGGCGCCTTTCTCTGGTTCCCCGGGGCTATCGCCGCCTGGAGAAGGGTACCGGGCGCTGAGTTGATGTCGAGGCGCTGGCTTGAGCTGTCGATGACCTATCAGCGTCGGGCCGAAAGGTGGCTGACGAAAGGACTCACCACTTCTCCTCCTTGTGGATCGACCATCGTTTGGGGCAAGTGAGGCCATCCTCGGGGCTGTGAGAGTGTCAGCAACCGGTGGGTTATCAACCAACATGGGACTCACTCGGTACGGTCGTTGTCAGAACAGCGGGCGAGGAGGGAGAGAGCGTCACCAAAAAGCATTGTGGGTGATGTAAAGAGGGTGGGTAAGGAGTGACTGTGGATAGGTATGGGTGTTTGGGGGAAAAAGTGAAAAGAAGATTGTGGGTGGGGAAAAGAGAGAGAGAGATACAATTGGGGAGTCTTATATATCTTTCCTGGGGCGGGTGACGGTGTTGATCGGGCCTCGCCGCAAGGGTGGAGGCTTGTCTTCTGGCCATCGTCAGCCACCAGTCCCGGCGGGCTATAAGCATGTAAGCTTGAGCGTTGGGCATCCTGAGCATGCTGTGCACATACCGTGTAGTTTTTCAAACCATCATAGAAGAGACTCCGGCGGTGAGACGTCGAGAACTTTGTTCCTCGCGTCGGTGCTCTCGTCACGTCCCACTCACTCAACCCTCCCCCGTCTCAGCCATGATAGCACCTCTCCGTCCTTGCTTCCTCTCCCTCGGGCATCGTGCCACTACCACGCTTCATCCAGATGCCGGCTCCCATCTCTCGGCATGGCCTTTGACCATATAGTACGCCTGAGATGCCGAGTTGAGGAAGAGGTGTAGTCGAAGGGCGCATGGGATGGTGGGTGGCATATATGCAAGGTGGGGTATGATGCATCTGTATGATGGTAGGCATTTAGAGTGTGGTGCATTGATAACTCACAGATCTTCTTAAGCTATACGTACGCTCTAGAATGCACCGACTGCGTCCCCTCCTCCGCAGCCTTCGGACTCTATGCCCTTCCTCCATGTCCCCAGCTGATTCTAGACTCAATTTGTGGCCGAGGGGCGACCCCGGATATGGCCGATCTTTAGGGGAGGCTGGCCCCACATTGTACTGGTACTGTTCTTCATTGCATCGTACCACATTGGCTGATTTTGGCCGGATAGAAGGTGATAATAATGTATGCAAATTTCGGAGGACTGTATCGACGGACTGGTTGGTGACTTCTAGGGAGCTGCTCTCGTACGCGTGCGTAAGCGCAGTGCATACTTGGTTATTCTTGTTGCCTGATGGACGACTGACCAGAGAGGCGTTTTCCCGGCGTTTTCGTGAATGAAATCTGGCAATTTTGTGTCATTCTTGACAGCTCGTACTTCGTACATGGATGCGACATCGTCAGAGCTGGCATTCGGTAAGAATACATTCCACTTAAGCAACATGTGTGCGAAGCCACCACAAGTCCGAAGTGTGTAGTATGAACGGGTTATTCAAGTTCGGAGAGGGTAGGGTAGAAGTAAGATTAGCTCAGTAAAATCGTTGGCAGTACTTCCACGCCTTTGTTGACTCAGAGTACACAAGTTTCCAATACATCAAGGAGAGTAGAACTGGCTAAATCGATGGTGACCTCAGCGCTGAGCCTGCTGCTGCTACGCTTTAAAGGTAAAGAAGAGATGATCTTCAGTTCACGTGCATATATGATTTCTATCAGGGCAAGGTAATGTGAGGGCAAGACCAGCCCTGGCAGCTTCGCCATATTTGAACAAGCCCTCAGAACAATTGTGGAACAGATGTCAGGTGACATCAGGCTATCGTTCTATGGTTTCGTCTGCAGCGTCGTTATATACAAGCGTAGTGCGCGGCGAGCCCTAGCATTCGGAACCCGTTCGAAACCCATCACCACCGCCATAATAGCCCATCCGCCCTTGCAGCTCCACCTCATTCATTACCACCGAGTATTGATGGGTACAGGCAAGGGACATAATATTGGGGGGTGCGTGGGTTAGAAGGTATAGCCTTAGGGGTGACAGTATGCATCTTCTATTGACTTGATATGTTGGCCTGGTATGAGTCACCTCAGGGATTTACTGGTCTTTCCCCTCTAAATACACCTTTTCCAGTCACTTCCCTGCTGCTTCCCAGCTAGTCACCAGACCAGAAGTGCGATCCTTCATCGAACGAAGAGGCAGGAGGAGAGCTGAAGTCAGAGGATGAAGCAGAGGTAGTGTCGGCTTCGATCTCCCTCTCCTTCCCCTTCTTTGATGCGCTCTTGGACTTGATAGGAGAAGACCTGATCACCATCCGAGCTTGGACGTTCTTCTTGGTCTTCCTCCTGGGGGACTTTCCTTCAGCCAACAACCTAGCGTCTTCGATCTTCTGGGCCTCCTTCTTGGCTCTGAAAGCCGCAGCCTCCTCGGGCGACTTCTTTTTGCCCTTCGAAGCGTGTACACGCTCCTTGTCCGAGTAGACACAAGGAATGCCGCGCTCGATGCAGCTGTCGCAAGGCTCCTTCTTGTCGACGTGAAGACGGTTACACTGGAACATATGAGCATGCGTATGTCTTGACATGAGCGTAGTGACTCACCTTTCTCCTTCTACGCCTGCATTCATTGCACCCAGTCCAGACTCGCTGGACCTCTTGCACTACCTCTCCATCCTCCAATTGGACTTTGATCTTCTTTCCATTCTTGATAATGCACGCGGTCGTCTCACCATCTTCGTCGGTCACTTGGAGACTGGAGCCTTTGTCGCCCTCGTCCGCAGACTGTCGCTTGCGTTTGGAGGCGGATTTTTTGGCAGCCGGCTGAGTAGCAGAGCTGTTGAGGGTGAGAGACGAGTCATCGTTCCCAAGAACATGGGGAGAGGGGACAAAAGACGGGGCCGGCTGAGGGGCGGCGGAGATGTGATGGTTGGTCTGCTGGGCGATGTCAGGGTTGGCCTGAGCGCCCGTGGGTGTTTGGTAGATATGATTCGTGACAGGCATTTGTCGAGGGTCCATGGACTGATAAGGGGGATCGCCTAGAACTAGACAAGGGGGGTCAGTCCAAGTAGGCAAGACGTCGCAGCATGCAGTACGTACAAGCGGACACAATGCTGGAATCGTCGAGACCCAAAGTAGCCGCGGCAGCAGGGGGTACATGGAAAGGGCTGATGTCAGCCATAGGGTCCACAGGCATAGCAGCAGGGGGCAACATGTGGTCTACGCCATATGTCAGACAGGACTTCCGGAGGGGAGTGGGAAGCGACTTACCTGCGGTAGGCTCGTAAGGATAATTGGTCCAGTCCATCATGGGCGGTGCTGCCTGCTGGGTGTTTTCGGTAGGCATGATGATTGAGGCTTGGGGAACACCGATGGGCGCCATAGGAGTGGTGAGGAGACGATGGGTATTGAAGATCGGATTGCAGGGGCCATTGAAGGCGTTGATGGTCTCAAGAGTAATGTCGGCGAAGGGATCCTCGGAAACGCCGCTAGCTACCACATGTAGGCCATTGGTGGGTGGGTCCCGGTGGTTCTGGTGATCTCCTTGAATACCAGGGACTGATGAGAGGGTGAGCTCGATATCTCTCATATCAAGCAAGAAAGCAACTTACCAGCCGGTGCGAAAGAAGAGCCAGTCGCCACCGACCCGTGGGCGGGGGCGACAGGGGCAGCAGGATAGAGCTGTTGCTGTGGGAAGGCGATGGGAACTTGGGTATAGACTTGGGGGACGCGGTCTGTGACGAGAATCAGCGGACGCTCCAGCGTCAGGCGCATCGCGTCTCTTACTCTGAGCGGGTTCCTCCGCCACTTGTATCATCATCTCCCCAGGGAGGTGGGTGTCCAATGCAGCTGGGAAGGTGCCATGCCCAAGGCCGTTGCCGAGGACAGAACCTTCGTCGGCTGCATATGGTTAGCTAGGAGGAGTAAGCTAAACGGGAAGTACCTACCCGCATAAAGGGCGCCGTCGCCAACAAAACCCAAAGTCTCGCTGTTGTCGGCAGCGGAAAGATCGGCATCACCCGACGGAGCAGAAAGAAACTCGAAAGACTCGAAAGAGTTGTCCATGCCGTTGGTACCCATGTCGTCGCACATGGTGAACAGGTTCCTCTGAGATTCCACAGATTATGGGAGGATAAAAGCGCAATGGGGTAATGGGGGTTGGATGCGGGGTGGTACGAGTAACGTAGTGCTGGGGGTGGTATAAGAACGGTGCTGTAGAATGAATACCTGGGAGTGAAGGATGATTGATGAAGGCAAGATAGATAGAATGGAAGATTGCTTCTATATGCATGCGTCTACGGATATGCGGCGGTTAACTTGTCCTTCATGAGACAGATGGTTGATGACCACATCGCCGGTGCCCAAGGCGGAAGAAGATTGGCAGACTCTTCTCACCCATTTTTGGTCGTAGAATATTTTTTCGAGCACTGGGGTGTAGCTATGAAACGCAGCTACATGCCATATCATTATCATCTCAATCAATGCTTGGAGCGAGCACCCAGCCTCCGTGAAAGCTTGCTCAACCCCCGGTGCGAAAAGTGGACCAGCGCAGTGGAGGTGAGGGTTCCTGAGCGTGCCTGACCATTCCGCTAAATTCCCTTTTCGGGCAACTCTGCGTGTTCCGGCACTCTTGGCTGATGTTATCCGTCGTCGCCCTCGCTGGCTGTCTTGTTCAGTGCATGGGTGCACAGTAGCACCCCCATGCCATAGAGGAACGTATGTATCACCTAAGTATCGTACAAGCTCCGAAGCTGGTATAGAGAGGGAGATGGCTGGTTGAAGGGTATGCAAACAAAGCTGTCGGCAAGCACTTCGACGAGTGCATAATGCATACATATAATCAAACACTTTCAAGCTACAAATACCTCCTGCCGATAAAACCATTTATCCAGTCTTCTCTTTCCTTGACATACCCCTCACTCGACAGCCTGTCCCTTTCGTCCAACACTTCCAACGTGACCTTGCTGGAATTCGCCTCGCCCTCACCCTCGTATCTGACCAATTCATCAGAACATTGACCCTCAAGACCCATCTTGTTGGAATTGGAAGTAAGATAGTCGGCATCCGTTTCGAGGCTGTTGATGGTCTGAATAGGTGAAGCAGAAGCTGCTAGAGCCGGAGAGGGAGGACCAGCCTCTTTAGCCTTGCCCTTGCCCTTCCTGTCAACCTTTTCAGGGATCCCTTCAGGCTGTAGAAGACATTCATATCAACCTCAATGACATGTAGAATAGACTACGCACCTGGTGCTCAAAGATGGAGTATTCCTGATAAAGCCACTTATTTGAGGGGCCGCGGAGGGGAATCAAGGGCAGTTCATATTCCTCGCATTCACCTGGCACGTCGTCGTGCCATCCAGCAAAGGAGAAGAGAGTTCCGAGAAGGAAGTGGGCCTCAGGAGTAGCGGCAGATCGCTCGAGAAGGCTTCGGAGCTGCTCGCCGTCATCGTCGGGGTCCCTCTTGCGCTTCTTAATACTGGGAGTGTCAGGGACAGCGGGTGGCGTGGAACTAGAAGGGTCTAACAAGCTTGGGTGAAGACCAGAGAAGGCAGCAGCTGCAGAAGCAATGAGTTAACTGGAGATGGTGTTCAGGAAGATGGACTTGCCAGCAGAAGTAGAGTGAGAAGTCGCCACCGACCCAGAGGCGGGAAAGGTCACAGCGGAAGAGTGGTTGGGGAGGGCTTGACCCTTGTCGGTGAGCTCTGTGTTGATAGCATCAGGCTCAAATCTATGAGAGAATTCAGCAGCTATCACAACGATCACAATGAGCGGGCCACTCCCCTGGGTGGGGAAGACGAGGTATGGTAAATAATCAGCAGGCGTCAACAAGCGGCGGGCTGTCTTTACCGAGGTGTTGATAGGTGAAGTATTAATGCAAGAGAGATGATTCAGGATGTAGGACCAGCTCATATATGTAGCATGGGGGAAACACAGCTGAGCGGAAAATCAATTGTTGGTAGACACTTTGTTTGTGTTCCGGAAAGAGAGGCGAAACTTGGCGGAACATGAGGAAAGAGCTGTTCGATGCATTTCTTCACCTGATTCGGCTCACATGTCGTCCGTAGAAACTTCAATGGATAGTTGGCAGTTCCAGCTATCAAAGCTACAGCTCATGTCTCTTTCATGCCTACCCGGAAGAACGATGCTTGCTACTAGCGACAATAGTATAGGAGCTCATTCAACACGTCTTGGTGTGGTGGACTGGTGGGTGCTATAGTCATGAGAGACGAGACCGTAGCCTCGTCATCCGCGTTGCCCATCACTTGACCCAAGCATTACTCCCGACTTGCAAGGCATTTGATCCCACAAAAGCACTGACAACCAATACCCAAAACACGAGACCGCCCATGCTCTTGAAGTAGAGCATGTACGTTGACACATCGCGTAACCGCAAAGATAAAGATTGTGCATGACAGCATAAGCACTTTCAATAATCGCATAGATTTCAGGAAAGGTTTGTTTCATAAAGTATTACACCAAAGCCCCATGTAGACTTCAAACCCCTGACTAACCTCTCTTTGTCTTTCGCCGCTTCACAGCAGGTTCCTCGCTCGGCTCTCTCTCCTTCTCCTTCTCGCTCTCGGCCTCATCCATATCCAGATCCAAATCAAGATCCAGCTCGGCATCCTCATTCCCTCTCACCGACTCGTCCAGATCCAGTTCCAGATCCTCCTCATTTTCTTCTCTGGGGTGTTTCTTTTTCTGCGACGACTTTGCCGAAGACTGGGACTGGGATGGGGACGGGCCGTGCTTGCTGGCGCCGTTGGTTTTGGGTGAAGAGGTGGGGGTGAGGGAAGAGTCAGGTTGGGATTGGTGTTGAGGGCGGCTTTGCGAGCCGTTGGGGGATGGTTGAGAGATGGTATTGGACCTCTGCCTACCCTCAGCCTTATTGGGAGTCCTCTTCTCGGGCGTGGGCGTGACCTCTCTATCTTCCTCATCATCCTCCACATTCTCATCTCCCTCCGTGTCCTCTTCCAGCACCTTCTTGGGCGCAGCAGTCTTTGCGAGAACCCGGACGACGGGGTCTTTACTCGCAATCGCCACAAGCTTCTTCTCATATTGCCTGTACCCCTCGAATCCCTTGTTTGAAGTAACGTGTACCCCAGAAGACTCGATCACATCCTCAAGATGGCTCTTGATCTTCAAAGCGTCCTTCCCCTGCACAGCTCCCAAAAGCGGTACAAGCACCTTGAAAAAGGTAACGACAGCATACCGCCTCTTGACCGCTCTGGCCTTTTGCTCCTTGTTCCGCGCAGTGCTCTCCGACTTGACTGCGCTACTGAGTTTGCGCGAGCAGTAGTCGAGCGCGGAGATGTGGAAATCGCATACGTCTGAGGGGTGGAGTTGACGGAGGATGGTGAATTGGGAGCCTTGGATGACGAAGGCGGTTGCGATGAGTCGGGCCAGGGCGATGGGGGCGGAAGGTTCGTCCACGTCGGATTCGAGGAAGATGTCGAAGGACTATCGTTCATCAGCACAAGTCCCTCAGCGAATCAAAAGACTCACCTGCTCGAGAGCATTCCCAGCAACATGCTGCACAGTATCCGCCTCCTTGTTATAAATTCCCTCATCCCGGAGAACATCCACCAGCCTCTTGACGATCGCATCATACGTCGCGCCGAATCGTCCATAATGGGCCAGAGGCTCTTTCGCATGGTCCACATCGAGGATCCCACATCTGACCGCACCCACAAAGACAGAAACGAGCTGGAAAAACACGAAATCGTCTTGTAATTCCTGCGGTGTAAGGTCTGGCTCTCCTTCTTGTTCTTCATCCCGACCAGCTTGGCGGGTTTCGACGATCGCGGCGTATTTCTCGATAGAAGCTTGGAAAGCCCCGCCCAGCCGGTGCTGCAGCTCGTCCTCCATCTTCAGCGCCGCGACCCCCGCAGCAGCAGGCAACGCCTTTCCAGCAGCCGCATTGTTCCTCTTGGAGAATAGCACGTAGGTGTTGATGAATGATATAAAGGCGTGTCGTCGGACAGAATCAGCCGTGTTGGCAGTCTCGCCCAGGGACAAGTGCTGGAACATTTCGAGTGCGGTATCGCGTCGGCTTTTGAGGGTGGTGACTTTGTCGGCGTCCTGTGCGTCTTCAGCGGTGAAGCGCTTGAAGAGCCATGTGATGTGGAAAAAGACGATTTGGACGGCGTATCCGACCATCTGAAGCAAAAGTCAGCAGTGCCGATTATGTGAAGACAGCACGTACGGTAGCTTCTTCTCTATACCCAAGCTTCCCTCGGTCCGCCAAAGCGCAGATGATATCCCATCCACTACTCTGCTGCCCCTCTTCATCTTCCATAACCTCCGTCATATCCATACTCCTCTGCAACAACGTCACCCTCAACAACGTCGCCTCCAACTGCCCAATCTGATCATCCTCCAACGTCACAAGCGCCACATCCTCACTCCCAATAACATCCCTCAGCCCCGCAAAGAGCGCTTCCTCCAGCTCGCCCAGCTTGACTTCGTTCACATTCGCCAAGGGAAAGTTGGCGTTGAGCTTGTTGATGGCTTGAATGGCGGGGGTGAGCACGGTGGGGGACGTGTGGTGGAGGAATTGTTTGGTGAGGTCGTCCCAGAGGGATTCGTAAGCGGGGGTCATGCGCATGTCGAGGTAGAGGTTGAGCTCCATGTGGAGAGGGATTGAGAGGATACCGGCAATTCGGCCAATGTCGGCTTGGTGCTTGGGCAAAAGGCGTGGAAGGACTTTGATGAGCGTCTTTGTGCGCTCCGATTCTTCTTCCTCGTCCTGCTATCGTCAGCGCCATCCCACCATCCTGTGATGATACTCACTTCGTGTTTGATACAAGCAAGGAAGATCTGGAGCATAAATGTCTCCTCATCCTCATTCAACAACCACATATCTTCCTCGGACGTCGAGTGGTCCAACAGCAAATAATCAGCCAAGCTCTCCCAGTCTCTCCAGATCTCCTGTTCCGCAGAGATCGCTTCCACGGCAGCTATCGCGCGCGTCATCGGCGGCGAGGAAGGCGTGGGGAGCAACGCCGACTGCTTGTCCACCACTTCCGATTGCTGCTGCGCATCAATATCAAGCGACTTGTAAGTATACACCAACAACGCCGCGAGCGACTTCCACTCGAGCCTGGTCGACATCTCCTCTTCCGTCGTCTTTCCCGCCCGCTTCTTCTTATTCGCCCTCAAACCCGACCATACAGCCTTCATACCGTCTTTGCGCTCTTCCCAGAGATTGACAATGTAGCCTCCGACGGCTTTTCGGATCCGCGGCTCTGGGTCAAAGACGAGCTTTGCAACCTGGTCCCGCAGATCGTCGTCTTCGTCCTCCAAGATGCCCGTCTTGTCGATATGGGTGATGATTTGAATAGCAGCGACCCGCACAGACAAGTCAATATCCTTGGTCGCCATCTCGACGATCCTCGGTGCCAAGCGCATCGTAAGCGTGCGGGCGCTGTTGACGAATGTCTCGCGCGAGTAGAGGGAGGCGAGGGCGCGCACGGTTTCGAGACGGGCGTGGGTGTTGAGGTCGTTGCAGCCTCGGGTAAAGTAGGATAGGGTGGAGGAGGAGGTGTAGTACTCGGGGTACTTTTTGACCCAGACGCCGAGTTCGCGGAGACAGTCGGTTCGGATGGCGGGGTCGGCGTCTCGCACTCGATTGATAAACATTCTGCGTATCGTCAGAGCTGCCTAATTATTCTGAAAGCAGCACTTACACGTCAAAGACTTCATTCATGATCGCTTCCAATGTCGCCTTTCTCTCTTGCTCCTCCTTGACCTTTTCTTCAGCATCCTTGACTCGCTTCTGAGCAGCAGCCCCGTTCCCAGCCTTTCGCACTTCCGCGTCTCTCTGTCTCTGCTTGACGCTCAGGTCTTTGCTAACCTGCGCCGCAACATCACACAAGGCAGTGATCATCTTGTGGGTGATATACGTCGAAGTGTGGCGTATGGGACGGAGAGGCGATGAAGACATGCACATCAACCAATTCAGAAGCAGCGGGAGAAGCAGAGAAGAGTGGGGGGTGGTGTCGACGGTGTGAAAGATGATAGGCGTGAGCGCCAGCGAGCCGATAAAGTGCTGCAGAAACTCGTTCAAATTGGACTTGAACGGCTTGAGATGCTTGGCCTTGCTGATCAGCGGGTACGTCGCCAAAGCAACCCGTACACTCTCATCTTGTATTCGCTCGATGGTGTCGGGTATACCATCGTCATCCGTCGCTTCAGCCTGCTCAATCTCGGTAGACATGCCGCAACAGCGGATGAAGAATACGACAAGCTCATGTATAGCCGTTTGCTCCGAGACTTCATCGCCGGCGGCTTGCTGGTACGTCTCGATCCAGTCGTCGATGAGCGGTTGGAGGGCGATGTCGGGTTGTTGCAGGGCGTCTGGTGGATGTTAGCTGGGAAAGGTGCGGGAAGGAAGGCGCGCTTACTGTACAGAGGCGAGTCGGTCTTTTCTTCCGGTTCTGCCGCCTGGCTGGCCTCGCCCTCAGCTGTAGGAGGCGCCGCCTTCTTGGCCCTCTTCTTCTTTGGGGCAGCAGCAGCTGAAGCTCTGGGTTTCTTGGGGACGGCCGCTTTGGGAGCCCGTTTCTTCTTGGGCGTCGGCTCGTTATCGGACTGGTCTTCTTCAGACTCTTCCTGCTACCTGATCAGCCCACACCCCTCTCAAATTTGGAATACCTACCTCATCCTCATCGTCCTCTTCCGCCTGCTTTCTCTTCCCCTTCTTGCCATCTGACCGAACATCAGCTGACGCGTCGGTGAGAACATGACGCGAGCAACCTACCCGGCTGGCTGGCGTCAAACTTGGCGACCTGCTTCCTGGCTCTTCCGCCCCTCCTGGGCTCTTCTTCCGGGGACTGGGACCTGTCTGACATGTTGGATGACGGGATGGATGAGATGGAAAGGAAAGAGCAGAATGGACAAACGCGGTTGACGCGACTTTTCGCGTAATTTATTTGGGCCACCGCGTTACAAGGCGGGCAGGAATGTCGGGGACCCGAGCATCTTTTGTGTTCGACGTCGTTGTGTTCGTCTTTTCTTCTGACAACACGCGCAGATGACTCCGTACATTCCCAAGTAAGTCATAGGAGTGCCTGGGTGATACTTGGTCTGTATGCTGATTTGGAGTAGCTACAGGTATCAATGCAGACTTTTGGGCATTCCGCATTCTCATGATGTGCTCCCTGACGACGCATTGTGCTCTGAACAGAAAAGAACAGATCACTTAAGACCTATGGGAACTTAGAGCAGCATCGTCAGGCGAGAGAGAGTGACCCAAATGCTCTGGTGAGAGTTGATTCATAAGCTCAAGGATCCAAGCTGATCAATGTCGTCAGACAAGAGAAAACATGGAGCACGCCAGTGCACTCTGATCACTTCGCTCGGTCCTCGCCCCTGGCACTCTAGGAAAGCGGAACCAGACGGTTCTACATGATCTTGGTAGCAATTCCTTCATAGATGAGACGCTCAACAATCAAGGGCGGTACATGGAGCCATGAGATACAGTTGCGGCTTCCCGTTGAGCGGGGCGTAATGTCGCCTTCGAGTGGTAGGCATGGCTGGCATCCCTATCCGACCTGTACCAGGCTGACATGTACACTCCAGATATTACTGCCACCCTCCCCAACGATGCATCCATCGCTCGACATTCATATCCATCGTCCACCTATTGCCCGATCAGGAAATTTCCGCGTTTCGCGAGATCAGGCTAAACCGAAGCGCGTCAGAGATAGTTTACCCTGATGCCCGCTCTTCCGCAATATTTGGTCCCATTCGACCCAGTTCGCCCTGGCGCTCGTCCTGGGGTCACTGGGGAGTCAAGGTGAGCTAGTGGGGCTGATTCTTCCCCCCGGCAAGCTCGTGCGAGTTCAACTATACAGAAATTCTCGGCGCGCCCCGTTGCGACCCGTCACTCAACCCTCCCAGTCTTCCGTCATTGCTCGACCCCTCTGCTTGTAATTCCCTCTACGCTAGACCGGGCGGTGCGCTCCACTGTGCACCTACGAGCGTCGTAAGCCAGAATGCGTGGGAAAATTCGAGTATTTTGATGGTACCTGGAAAAAAAAGTCGTCACTGAACGCGTTCGAGAATTCAGTTCTTTATCCCTCAAATACGTATATCTCGGCTCACATGGTGTATTACGAAGCGTATAGGGTACTGGATTATGGCCACAGCCGAGGCGCGTCTTTCAGTGCAGGAATGAAGAAAATCGGATGCGTGGTTGACACGGAGCGGTTTTACAAAGGTCGGACCAAGAACCCGCAACTCCCTGTACCGCTGCACCGCCCTCCGTTCGTCCCAATTGGGCAACGCCGTTTCCCATGGAGCAGATATAACGCCCCCCTCGACGTTCAGAATTGTTTCTTTCTCCTCTACCCAAGCTTTGCTTATCGAAACCCGCTTTCACGCTCGTTTCAACTCTCGCACCCAAACCAACCCACACCCACACCTAAACCCATCACCCAACAAGCACTATGTCTTCTGACAGCCAGTGCTTCTCCGGTATCTCCCCCATGGTCCCCTATCCCTTCCCTTTCTCCCTCCCCACCTACCGCGACACCAGCACAGAGGATCTTTCTGCCCAGGCTGTTGCTGCACCCTCTTACGAGGAGGAAGCCGAGGAGGGACTTTTCCTCGATGGTGTGAAAGTGAGCCAGGAGGCGTTCTTCAACTACTACTTGGACATCCAGTCAGCTCCCGAGGTAAGCATTCTCTACACGAACGGGCTCTGGCAAGACGCTGACATGGGCACGAAAGGCCGGTGCCACTGTGGAGACTGCGGGATCCCCCACTTGCGATTTTGCAATCGCCACCGTCTCTGCTCCCGCCACCCCTCAAATTACTTCTACCACCACCCCAACCAAAAACGTCTCCACCTGTCCTGCTCCTAGCACATATCCGCTCTCTGCTCAGACCGTCGTTGCTCCCTCTCACGAGGAGGAAGCCGACGCGGAGCTCTTCAACAATGGTGTGAAAGTGAGCCAGGAAGAGTTCTTCAACTACCAATTTGGTATCCAGCCCGCTCCCGAGGTAAGCATGCTCTACTCGAACAAGCTCCGGCAAGGCGCTGACATAGATACAGAAGGCCGGTACCATCGACGTTACTGCGGGACCCCTCACTCGCGAGCCCTCTATCGTCCCAATCTCTCCTCCCACCACACCTAAACTTGCTTCTACTGCCATCTCCAAGACCCCCGTCACTCCCACTCAAAAGTCTGCCGGCAAAAAGCGCTCTCCCAACCCCTCCAACAAGAGCCCTGCCAAGGCGCCAACCCCCGCCCACCTCAAGCGGGCCGGCATCAAGCGCACCAAGAAGCACAACCGCTCCACTATGGCCTGCGAGTGCTGTCGAATTGCCCGGAGAAGTGTGAGTACACCCCATCCCATCCATGAACCCACCAAAGAGGCTGACATGAGCATTAGTGCAATGTGGACGACATCTACCGCTGCGACAGGTGCACTATCCGAGGCTACAAGTGCTGTTTCTGGCTAGAGGGTAGAGGCGCGCTGAAGGTGAGACCCAGGACTATCGAGCTCGGTCTGGAGATCTTCACGGAGGATGGTAAACAGATGGTCATTGCGCCTGAGCGTAGTCAGATTGGCGTTCAGGCCGGACCGAGCCAACCCGCATCCGCTGCCTCTCTCGAGCAGTCTTCCAGCGACCGTTCCTCTCCCGGCATGACTCCCTCCTTCACTCCCTCCACGTCTATCCCCAACCTCTCCTACTCTATGAGTGCACCCTCCTCCCAAGCGAGTATCAACCTCGCCACCCCGAGCTCAGCCATGTTCAACATTACTGGTCCTGCTCCCGCCTTCGAGTCGCAGCCTGCTGCCGCTCCTTCGTTCAACTATGGCTTCAACGGCCTTGCCAACCTCGTCACCCCGAGCTCAGTCATGTTCAACATTTCTGGTCCTGCTCCCGCCTTCGAATCGCAGCCTGCTGCCGCTCCTTCTTTCAACTATGGCTTCAACGGCCTTGCCGCCATGCCAGAATTCCAAGCTCAGCCTGCCGAAGCCGATATCGATTGGTCCTTTGGCTCCTACGTGGCCTCCGCACCCGCCACGGCGAGCAATGTCCACGTCTCCCTGCCAGCCCCTACCACTTTCCGCCCGGCCCCCGCCACTTTTGGCCCAACTCTCGGTCTTGAGATGGATGTTGCCGGGAAAGGTCCTTGGAACTTCCCCGCCGACTCTCCTGCCGCGCCCCTCTTCACTGGCCCGGCTATGACCAACAGCTTTTCGGGTTTGGAGGGAATGATGGACGTGGGGAGCTCCTGTGAGGTTGGGGGCCAGCCGTTCTACTGGGATGAGCTGGAGGCGATGGCGTAGACACGGGAAGGAAGGCAGGGCGGCCGTCAGTTAGAGAGAGAAGGATCCATGGACTTTTGAGTACAGAGAAGGATACATGGACTTTTGGTCAAGAGAAGATTACATAGGACTTTTACCACATTTTACCACATTCTATAATTACGTTTCATTCCTCATAGTTCCCCCGTAGAAGATAGTAATTAGAGGCCGGCATCGTGGCTGTTGACCGTATAAGCTCGTCGAGTATATGTATATATTCATAGTTCAAGCCAACCGATTTTAGTCGGGGTCAGAGCGGGGTACCATGCCTGGATCCAGTTCAGAGGGGTGTTCAATGCCTGTATACTCGAGCAAGAACAACAAATCCATGTGTTCTCATTACTCCCATATTACCGGTTAATCCAGATGCTATGCTACAGATCCAAATGAAATCCCCTCTCCACAACTCTACGTCTCTTCAATCCCTTCCCACCCTCTTTTCACACAAACACTAACCTCCCCCTCTCCCCCTCCCCTCCCCACCGCCTGATTCACCTTACCCCACGCCAATCTCGTCACATCCAACACATCCCCATCCGCCGAGTCGGGGTGCACATGCACTGTAAGCGTCACTACCAAGGGCGCGGAGGCTTCTTCTTTTGACGTTGGTGTGGCAAAGTAGCTCGAAGCCGTCGAGTTGGATGCGGCGGGGGTAAAGGCAGAAAAGGAGGATGTGAAATTGAACTCCATCGATCCTCGAGGGGAGACGACAGGAGACGATATACTACTTCCCGCCTTGCTCCCAGGCCCTTGTTGGTCATAATCATCCCAACCGCCTTTCCCAACACTGACAGCCCAGCACCGCACGATCCCAAGCCCCAGCACGCGCCGGTCTTCTTTCACCTCGCGCAGGGCTTTTTTGAGGCCCGACATTTGGGGGGTCGAAGAGGGGGGCGCGGTTTGGAGGAGGATGTGGCCGAAGAAGGATGTGGTGGGGTAGGCGAGGGCGGAGGTGAAGATGGTTAGGAGGAGGGAGATGAGAGCGTCGACAGAGTGTAGGGATGATCTGAAGCAAACACGTTAGTTGAACTCGGGCTGTTCTTTGTGATGGCGCTTACGAAGGGACGATCGCAGTGCTGACAAGGATACCAACACTCGCCCCCGCCACAGTCAACGTGAAAGGGTTCCCAAACAATGACGGTAGTTTCGAGACAAACGGTAGCGTTATGTACGTCGGCGTCAAGAACAATGACCCCACAGCTACCATTTCACTTAGCTTGATCATCCCTCGTATAGGAAAAGACTCACCATCAACCAACTTTGCATGGTTCCCCAGGACTCCACCCCCAAACAAACTCGCAACCGCCGCACAGATCAACAAGAACACCGGGAACGCCCTCTCCTCTTCTCCTTCCCCGCCTCCATGACTATGCCCATGCGAATGCCCTCCTCCTCCTTCATGCCCATGCCCACCGACAGAATGATCATGGGCATTGGCGCCGAGGATGACTTGCTCGATCGATTCTTTCGCAATGTAGACTGCGGCAAAGACGAGGAAGAGGCATTGACCAAAGTACAGCAGCGCTACGTATCGTGATGGTCTGAATCTGTCGTCAGCGAGGATCTCACTGCTTTTTGAGATATACGCACCCGTAAGGCCGTCTTACACTACTCCACCCACCTCCTTCCTTCCTCTCCACATACCCCACAGCAGCTCCCAACGCATCAAAAACCACCAAATACCCCACTCCCGCCAAACATCTCCACCCGCTCATCTGCCCTTCCACCCACAATCCCGCACCTATCACAAATTCTAGCACCGCGAATGATAGTAAGAAGCGGCCCCAGTGGTCTAGTTTGGAAGCAGACATGGGGGAGAGAGAATCGGTGGTGGTGGATGGGAAGCGGGGCATGGGGACTGGGGCGGGGGTTGCATCGGGCGGAGGAGCTGAGGGTTCGGTTTTGGAGAGTGTGGGGTTGGTTTCTGTTGGATCGAGGAAGGAGAAAAAGTTGTGGGATAAGGAGTGTTTATGCTTTTGACAGCGTCAGTTGATTGTGATCAAGCTGAAGAAAGGATGACTTACATGGTGACCCCGCCTTTTGCTCCGTTTCACATCAGGCGTCAACAGCCCCGCCTGACCCTCTGGTCTGGCTTGCCCGAAGCTCCAATTGCCAGCGCCTCCAAACACTTTTCGATCTTCGTCCGCGCTGGGTATGAGGGTCGTCGTAGCCATCTCCGGACTCGGCGCCAGTCCTGCTCCTCCATCATTCTCTCTTGGCGGCACACTCCCCGGCTGCGGAAAGTACAAAGACAGGTTCCTAGAGTGGATACCATGATGCGACGTCGGCTCGTGTTGCCGACTTTTGGGGCCGAGAGGTGAAGGGACGTCGAGGTTGGATTGCGATGGGAACCGGGGATACGATTGCCGTTTGAACGATGGCGAGTACACCGAGGGCGAGTCGAATGATTGCCAAGCTGGGCTTACAGGCGCATTGGAGGGATTGTCAAAGTTGAGTCGGTGGGGCGAGACGAGCTCTGGCAGCGCGTCCTGCTCTTCCTGACCGTCAAGTCCTTCATCGCCTTGCTCCACTACAGGACCCCCAGTTATCTGAGGCATGGACACACCAGAGATGTTGAGGCCTTTGGAGGCGGCGTAGGGGTGGCTGCTACGCGGTGCAGTGCCGGGGGCAGAGACAGCCTCAGGGCTTGCATCGTCTTGGCCATCAACGGATCGTCGGAGGAATATTGGTGGGGGCGGGGCACGACCCTTCAGCGCAGAGCCATGCTTGGCGTACGGCGTTGGCGAAGCCCCACATCCCAACTCCGGCTCGACAGTGTCTTCAACAGATATGCTGGGTATACTCCCCGGCGTCGAATCGGCGCTGCGCTCAACCGGGCTTTCGTAGTGGAGCGTCGTGATCTGCGGTTTCGCCGTGGGTGAAAAGACATCTTCATCCGTCTTGTCGGACGGCATGATGCCTTGGACGCTGTCGTATGATGGTGAAGGGGATCGGGATATGACGTAGGGGTGTTCGGGGGTGGGCAGGGTTGTCTCGTCGGTGGAAGTAGAGGACGCAGGTGAGGGCGTGTTCGGCATCGCCAGGAAGGGGGTAGGGGTGGCGAAGAGGGGCGTGTAGAGGGACGACGTTTACGGGGCTACTAGTATCTGCAGCTGGAAAGACAGTCAGCGGTGAGCTTTATCTCGAGTATCCAGAGAACAACGTACAAACGTGTCGCGAAGAGCCCTGATAGAGCCGGCGGGCGGCTGTTGATGTATTCTTTCGATTTTAACTGCCACAAGGGGCGGGGAGGATATTGGTCCTGTTGACGAGAGGGGGATAGGGTGACAAGGCGATAGAAGAAAAAGAAGAAAAAGATAGAGAAGAGTGGCGGGTTAACACGTAAAGCGCGTCGAAAGCTAATAGACGCGTCTATTCATAATGCATTACAAACTGCTGATTACAAACCTCAGCTTCATTCAACTCTGCTCCTCTACTCTCGTACGTATGCCCGGCGTATTCGTTCGATCCCTCCAGGTTCCGCCCACTTCTCAACAAAAAATGTCTATGAATTGTCTCATCACCTGTTTTATCTCCTTGCCTGCCAGAAGAGCTACTACTACCATCAATCGGAATCGCAACTGGTGCTATGTCGATCTACCAAGACAGCAGGCTCCTTTGTGACCCAGTTTCATACGACTCTGGGCAAATGGAACCCCACTCCTTCGGCAAGCAAGACCGGAGATAGGGATAGGCGCCGGATGTAGAGTTCTGGCGAAGTCTCACAAAGGGATGATGGGCGGACGGTCGAGTCGTAGCGTAGTCCAGGATCTATAGCATATCAGCATCAGTACATATCATTGGCACTTCGGGCGGCTCAATATACTCAAGAGCGAGAAGATACAGAGAGTTCTCGTCAACTTGGACGACAACGGGGTGGCAGAACACGATCGTCGTGTTTGACAGAGTTCACGGACGAGCAAGGCGAATGGGCAAGCTCTCATTCCGCTTCAGCACGTTCTTGGCTAAGAAGTATAATGAGCTAAAACTGTTTCTCAGAACACTTTATTATATAGTATACAGATACTGATCTCAGAACCCTTTATTGATATAGTATACAGATACTGATAATAGGGTGGTACAAGTACTGCAGATGCTATATGCTTGACGTGAGCATTTTTGCTGACAAGAGCTGCTTTGAGATTCGGCTGATCTAATCCCACGGTAGATCAACTGGGTGAAATGGTTACAGTAAACTCTCACCGGGAGAATGATAATCACAAACTCCTCCGAAGGGCATCCGAACGAAGGGCATACGAAGCCGACTTCACCTGGCACATGTCCTACGTTACCGACGCGGGATTCAACGAGAAAACATTATGCAAGCATAAACAGAAAATTCCGCTTCAAACCCCCTCGACTTTTATCAATATCGCCGACTTTGTCTTAACGCCACGAGGACAGGCTGGATTAGGTGTTGTGGGATGCTTGGTGGGTAGTGAGGCCTGATATGAGAAGGTCTCTCCAAACCAACTTTGGGGTGAGTTATGCGTATCTGCCATTTGAGGAAGAGGATGTGTACTTGAAGATGAACCAAGCGGATGTGTAGAGAGAGGGTAGTACTAGCTACAGCAGCTAGTGGTGCATTAAACGAGGAGCTCATACCTCGCGATACCTACCCACCTCTTGTCATCTGCCCGACAAGATGGAGGATTCAATCCTGATGTCTTTTGAGGATTAGTGTATAGATAGGGAGCATCTTGAGTGAGTGGATATTTCAGAAAGATGGCTTTTACAAACAAAACAGAGTACGAACTTCAGGCGTAGTGAAGTGAGATGATGCTATCAGGCAACAACAGAAATTACGTCACAGCCATTCCGCCCGCCAAGTTTCCGCCGCCCGACCTGATCTTATCAAAATATCAACTGCCGCCCGCACATCTTGTAACATTACAAGGTCATAATCACTGCTGATTCGTACAGTCTACCCTCTTACTTCATTATCTCCTTACAGCTCGACGTCACCTACGATGTTGATCAATCAAGACAGCAGGCTCTTGGGATCTTTTTCCTGGGAAATTATTTCTGGGCTATGGTCTGATCCGCAAGACCATGAGTTTGACATCAACGAGGAAAGAGAGGGAAGAGCACCGGATATTGAGTTTTGGAAAGAGATAGATAAAGGGTGGTGGTTTGATGGCGATTTCGTGGTTAGAACTGCACACCAGCAGCAGTACAAGGTCTCGGCGCACAGAAGGTCCGCGCGACACATCAAGGAAGGGCGAGATGAGACTAGTGGTGCTGTGATGTACCGGTATAAAGAGCATCGGTCGACAAGGGCAGCTGCTTTGATCAAACAGTTCGCGCCAGTGGGCAAGATACGATCTTTATGGTTTGAAGAGTTCATTGATGAGAAAGAAAGTTCTGCAAGTATCCTGATTCCCAATCTCTGGTAGAAGTATGACGGACTGATGTTATTTGCCAGATCACCCGCACTGATTTAGTCAAAGCATTCCTGTGCGCCACGCAAATGTCACATTTCCTCACTGGCCTCGTCATGACGCTTCATGAACGACGAAGCTGGGGGACGCTTCCGCTGGAGATGGAGCGAGAGCTGATCCTTCGATATTATGAAGTGGGTCCCCGCAATCGTAATAGAAGACTTCTGTATGACGGCTGCTGATGGTAGCTTGCAAACATAGATGCTGTATGCTATACGTGAGTGGCACTAAACGACTTGGCTGCTATCCTTGAAGATGCCAGCTGATTCGATCTGAACCAGGGGAACTAGGCCAAATGCTGCGCACGATCTCTCACTGGGAGGAGGACCATCACAAACCCCGCCGATGGGTACCTAATGCTACATTTGCGATGTTCAAGCCCCTCGATCCCAGCACCGTCTTCTACCAGGAGTGCGAGCACCATTTTCCGATGGCAATTCCTTCAACCTTCATCAGTGTGGCCAAGCTAGCGTTGATACGTCACGAGCAAGGTATGGATAAGGTCTGGTGGGATGCTTGGTGGCTAGTGAGGCCAGATATGAGAAGGTATTTCCGAATCAATTTTGGGGTAAGGTACGATTACCTGTCAGTCCGAGAAGAGGACATCTATTTGAGGATGAATTATCCCGATGGACGACAAGTGGTGGAATCTGACACGGCATATCGTAATTTTCCAAAATTCGAGCCTGTAGATCCCTGGTCATGTCAGGTGACTCAACCCAATTTGAATGAGGCCGAGACACTGACTAGAATCAGGAGGTTGCCAGAGACTTCTATGCCCAAGCATATGGCAGACAGCCTGACTCCGTAAGAGCTGCATCCTCTTCATCAACTTCATCGTCGGTCTCGAGTTTGAGGACTGTTGTCGGTGATAGTTCCTTCACGTCCACAAAGACCCTAGATTACCACAAGGCCACAGGTGAGCTGAGAACTAAATTTGCTCTGGATTCCTCCTGACTCTGGGGCAGATGAGGGGCCAAGCGCCCCAACACCAGCTTTTGTCCCACAGATAATATCCGTGCACGGCTGGAGTCTCCTGCACGCTAATCCGGTCGAGGCCAATCGTCACTGGGCTGTCGACATTTATTTGCGGGATCATATTCGTCCTTATATACCCGAAACTCACTGGGTGTGGCTCGATTATCCACGAACAGAGTCAGTAGGGTAGGCAAGAGCAACCAGATAACCCTTCCCAAGTTCGAAAGTGTACTTCTTTCTGTCATCTTTCTTTCGCCATTTCTCTGTACATGTGTGTTTGGTACATGTGTGTTTGAGTGTGACCCACACAAATTTCTGACATATGATTCATACCAGGCCAATATATCAAGTCTATCGAAGATGCATACTGTCGCCCTTAAGGCTATACCTTCTGACCCACTTATCCCCCAATATTATGTCCCCATTAATACGCGGTGGTAATGAATGAGTTGGAGCTGCAAGGGCGAGTGGGCTATTGTGGTGGTGGTGATGGGTTCCGAACGGGTTCCGAATGCTAGAGCTCGCTGCGCACTACGCCTGTATATAACGACGCTGCAGACGAAACCATAAAACGATAGCCTCATGCCACCTGACATCTGTTCCACCATTGTTATGAGGGCTTGTTCGAATATGGCGAAGCTGCCAGGGCTGTCTTGCCCTCACTGAAACGGAAAGCGGTTGGATGATGGCAGAGTCAAAGTCCATGAGAGCATTCGTTGGATCGCTAGAGTACCCATCGAAGAGGTAATCGCTGAACTCTCCAGTGTAGGGTATGTCTCGCCTCTGGACGGGGGGATTGGGGTCACAAGTCGGCACAGACATAAGCGCGTCCCTCGGATCGTCGGAGGATGGACCACCATCAAACACGACGGCCTTGACTTTGATCTTGTTTCATGTACCTCCCTATATCGCGGACGCGCGAGAGCCACGGGAGACGAGCGGGCAGGACTTTAAGGGGTGTTTGAAAGCCCACCAAAAGGGGTGATGCGAGGCGCCAAACTTGCCATGCGGACTCGGGTTTTGAGCAAAAAAAAACCACTTTATGGCATCCTAGATGCGTTGATCTCATAGGTACGAGTACATGTTGTGTAGGCAAATTGTTATGTCGTTGAGGGTAAGCACACTGACGGGGAATGGTACAGTAGAGTACATCTAATCATCTGGTTCTGGGTGCATCATGAAGATACTGCCCTATACATGCACATTATGATACAAGATACACATATCAGCGTTTCCCAAACCCGCTATTGCCCTCCTGTCAACCTCATCATGCCCGACGGCTCTTCAACAGCGTGCTGCTGGCATTCCGCTTTGTTTCCTGCTTTTTGTCACGATATGATCACCATGATAAATGACGCCATGTATTCTTTGGTAGCTAGTATGACCGGTCGCAGAACCAACAGTAGATCCAACCCAGGGCCGTCGATCCAAAGCTGCCTCCAAGCGCTCCTCTTCCTAAACGTATAACCACAGTTCACATACATAGAGGGCCCTCATAGACGAGGGAAAAACATACCAATAGTCCCCATGCCAGAGGCTACACGGAAAACACGCCCTCGGATACTCAGGACTCGTGATGATGATAGCAAGCGTACCTTACTTGCAGGGCTCGGAGTGATGGGTCGATAGATAGTGCTTGTTGAGCTGATGTCACATCTGTAAGCAGACCTGGCATCCTTATGTCTTCACACCATACCACAGCGACCAGAACGCTTGACGTCTGATGTTTGCCAGACAATGACTGTATGTTCAAGTACGTCTCAACAACGTTCCGAACACACCGTGTACAGGCGGTAGCATATGCTCTTCTCGGTAGTTCCCGAATACCCACCAGTCGATTTGGCACCTTATGACAGATGATGACCAACAAGGTGGATGACGTTTGGGAGGACGGTTGCCGAACGACCACTGCATGTATCCACACAAAATGGCCAACAAATTGCCGTATGAGAAGCAGCTACACAGAGATACCCAGAAAGTTTTGTGATGCTTGTGATCTAGCAAACAGGGACCAGAGGCTGCGCCACGCTTGAAAGATTGGCGCGAGACGCGGAGAACAAGACCGGTGCGAGCGACGCGGATGCCTTTACATTCTGCCTATTTACCTCCTTCATCTAGACCCGACCTCCATCCAGTACCACTTTTCGTCAAAATCAATCCGTCACACAAGCTCCACCATCACACCCCTTTATCATTCACCTAGCCCATCTTCCCCCACCCACCTTCTGCTTTTGCAAGCCCCTCGCCCTCACTTCCTCGCCGTCACTATGGTCCATTCCATCCCTGATCCCTCCGTAGCCTCATCTACCACGCCGCTTGGTATTGCCGACCCAAGTGGCTGGACCTCCACTTTCGAGGCCATCTATGCAAATGTCCTTGTCAGTGCCAATTTCTCTGTCGTCCACCTAGTGTCGTTGCATGAAACAAGCACCCTGGGTCTCAGCGGTGGGGTGATTGCTGGGATAGTGCTTGGTGTAGTCACAGGCTGCTTGTTGATTGCGGGGGTTTTGATCGCATGGTGAAGTAAGAAGGGGACCAGAGTGGTGTCGATATGGCACTTGTCAAAGGGGAGAGGATGGTTGCCCAGAGGATGCTGAGGCGGAGGGACCCAAGTACTTTCGAGGTCGGCCTGTGGGTGGAATGTGGCCACAGGATTCAGTTCGGAAAGGTACACTTCCCAAACCTTGGGCTGTCCCAAGATCAGCTTTAGGCTCGATGAGGCGGACCTTGGCCCTGCGGGTATACACCAGCCCCTCAAGAGCAGCTTTGAACTCGGGATGGTCTGCAAGCTCCCAAGTCAAGACATCGATCCTGTAAGCGTCGCCCATAGGAGATTGAGCGAGGGAGGAAGCCAGATCTTGAGTGTAGAGGTCGTGATACGATCGAGTTGACGGCCAGCTGGCTGTAAGACCCATCCCGCTTTTCTTTCGGAGCTACCGACCTCCACGAGGACGATCTTGAAGCCAACTGGCCGGCAACTCAGATGTATCACGACCTCTACACTCAAGCTCTGGCTTCCTCCCTCGCTCAATCTCCCATGAGCGACTCTTACAGGTCTCCAGCCAAGAAGAGGTATCTCGGCTTATCCATCTGAAAACTCCAATTCAACTCTTGGTATTGGGTTTGCTGTTGGAGGGAAGTGACCTTGGCTTGGAGAGAGGGGAGGACGATAGGGGAGGACGATAGGGAAGGACGATAGGGGAGGACGATAGGGAAGGACGATAGGGGAGAGCTCGAGTACCGCTGCATAGCTTACCACCGACATAGGTGCAAGTGTATTTGCAAAGTCGATGGTGACCTGCGCGACACCATCGTCGAGTATGCCGGCTCGGCTGGGCGTCATGACCTAAGTGTCTTCGAGGTCGACGTTTGGGTGGGATGTGGCCATAGAGTTCAGATCGGAAAGGTACGCTTCCCAGACCCCGGGCTGTTCCAAGAGCAGCTCTAGCTCGATAAGGCGGACCTTGGGGCTGTGGGTATACACCGGCCCCTCAAGAGCAGCTTCAACTCAGGATGTTCATCAAACTCCCAAGCCAAGACGTCTATTCTGTAAGCGTCGCTCATGGGAGATTGAGCAAGGGAGGAAGCCAGATCTTGAGTGTAGAGGTCGTGATACATCTGAGTTGCCGGCCAGTTGGCTTCAAGATCGTCCTCGTGGAGGTCGGTAGCGCCGAAAGAAAAGCGGGATGGGTTTGGCATTGGACTCTATTCCAGCATAAGCTTTTGTTGGTCATGTTGGTGAGAGGGGACAAGTGGGACGTACGGCGTCTTCAATGACGTGGTCGTGCAAGCCGAACATCTTTGTAATCCCAATTACGCCGCCATCCATCGCCTGGCCCTACTCTTCCGGCTCGGATGACTCTGCTTCATGGCTTCCAGGAGAAGCAGGGTCGACCGTCGAACCGCCAGACGAAAGGGTGCCTTCCCATCTTCCCCCCAATGCTGACCCAACGCGTCTCTCAACCTTCTTCGCTCCCCCTGATTCGTGATTCCTGATAGCTCTGTCAAGTCATGACCTGTGAGCTCAAGTAGGATAACGGGAGCTTTGGCAAAGATGGAAGTGTGAGCGGAGATCTCTGGCACAACACTACATTGAGTCAGCACGTTTCTGTCCCGTAGACATTACTCGGACTCACGGTCGCACCGCCCTTCCCCCTCTGGTCCTCCTCCTCCTGTGCGTGCCATGCGATCAAAACCCCCGCAATCATAAAGCAGCCTGTGACTACACCAAGCACTATCCCAGCGATCGCCCCGCTGCTGAGACCCATGGTGCTTGTTTGCTGTAACGACGCCAAGTGGACGACAGAGGAGCCGGCACTGACGAGGACAATCGTATGGAAGGCCTGAAAAGCTGAGGTCGAGCCACTCGGGTCGGAAATACCAAGCGCTGTGGTAGATGAGGCTACGGAGGGAGCAGGGACAGAATGGACCATAGTGACGGCGAGTAAGTGAGGGCGAGGAGCTTGTGAAGCAGAAGGTGGGTGGGGGAAGTTGAAGGCTCCGCCTAGGTGAATGATAAAGATGGAAGGGAAATGGAGCGACATACCGAAAAGGTCTTTTCCCCTCCAAAATTACCTTTTCCAGTCCTCTCCCCTGCTGCGTCCCAGCAGGCCGTGACAACGACACTCGGCATGATATGGTCCGGAATGTCGCCGCTTATGTCCGTAAGAGAGTGGTCGAGGGCTTTCCAAGTGGACGTGGGAGTAGGTCGATGAAGAAGATCTGCAGGGAATATTATCAGCATCGTTTCGTTAGGAGTGACCGGAACACTCACCGACCACCCCGCTAATGCACCAGCTCTCCCAAGCAGTATCATCGTTTCTCACCCCTGATCCTGAATCTGAATAGCCATATTCCGTGACGCCGTCTGGAACCGACTTGTCGTCAGCCACCCCAAGACGCTCGAGACAACCATGATGTGCGCGCTCGATCAGGATTCCTTTTGCAAGTCGGGCGGTGGTTCGGCATGACATCGACGCTCCACCGGTAGTCGTGGAGGATTCGCGTCTGGTCATACGTCGAAGATGGTGGAAAAGCGAGAGGGTGGGTAGAAGGCGCCGATGTTGGCTACGAGAGAGTCAGTCAAGCCGCAACATGGGGGGTTGAAATGACTCGCCGTAGTAGGTAATGTGAGGAAACGAGATACTGCCTGTTGCCACGCAGCAGGCCAGAAGGTGTCGGAGCGAGAAGGAGAATGTTGGTCTCGCGCCGCTCCATACAGTAGAAGTCGAGGCTTTCTTGGCGTACATGCGAAGGAAGAGGCTGTGGAGGCATTGTCAGTATACAGCAATCATTACAGATAAGTGGACTGACCTGCCTTTCAGCTATCTCTCTCTGCGACAGTATGCCTCTATCACCCTCCCTGATTTCCGTCGCAGACTGCCCGGGCACTGGAGTAGCAATTGACACCGTCATCGTCGTAGCTGTCAACGCGATATACCAACGTGTGGTAGGATTGTATATCTATCGGCCTATGAGGACGGTATCAGCGGGCTATTTCATCGTACTCAATGTAATGGCTTACTAGAAAACCGGGGAGCCGATGACACAAAGCTGATGAGAGCGTCGGTGAGATCGCTGGATCAGGAAGAGGACTTGTTGGGTTCGTTATCGAGATATTGACCGATCCTTCAATGGTGGCGCGCTCGGACCACCAAGGTTGAATCACTGGGGTCGTCGATGAGAGGCGGTGTGGTGGTGATGATGGCTCTAGAGATGTTATCAGCGGGGCTCAGCGACGCGATGGGAGGTGTGCTTACCCGTATTCAGAAGGAGTGGGGCACTATGCAAGTGGAGTGGTACATCAGGGCCCAAAGCTCAGTGGCGCTGGTGGAGCCAGGGCTCCGAAGACGCTGGTTGCCATGATGGATGAGTGGCGGGGGACACAGGGCTGACGAGACACCGAGGATTGCTGCTTGTCGGCGGTGTACTCGGTGGTGGGGATATATGCAGGGCGGGCGAAGGGCGGGGGAAAAAGAAAGATGGAATAGAAAGAGAAGAGAAAGATAGAAATGCTGGATCAGATACACGGAGGAGGACTGGAACAGGAGGCGGCGGCAGCCGAATACCACATACACAATGTTACGTATACTACGGATTCGTTCAACGAAGACGACGGCGGCCAGGAGGGACCCCTCGTATTGTGTACAAGTGCATCATTGGGTATGGCACATCTCGACTGATCTCCCGAAGATGTACACATTCTGAAGAGATAGAGGAATTAACAAAGCAGGCAAGAGGCTGAGGAGTGTTACTTGAGGATATATGATGTGGCGGCAGACGGCCGCTCCAAATTTGATGCCGTTCCACACAACAAGGGTCCTGCAACAACTCCAAACACTTTCCTTGCGCCTCGTCTGAACACAAGGTGGCAGAAGCACCCATGGTCATGACCGTGCGCCTCACCGCCCTCCGTATGGCCAAGCAATATGCCTCGCTCCACAAATCTTTTCCGTTTTCGGGCCATCGCCGCAGCGAGTGTCATCGCAAGCGCCACTTCACCAACCCTCAGGCTTTACTCATCCGTTTCCGACCCTCAAAACGCGCCCGACACTACCACCTCCCCTCCGGAGTATGCCGTTGTTACTGACCTTTCGACGAAGGTAAGTGCCATGATGTAGCTTCGAGTGCGGTTTTGACGACAGGACATCAGATTATTTCTTTACAGCTCGACGTCACCTACGATGTTGATCAATCAAGACAGCAGGCTCTTGGGATCTTATTCCTGGGAAATTATTTCTGGGCTATGGTCTGATCCACAAGACCATGAGTTTGACATGAACGAGGAAAGAGAGGGGAGAGCACCGGATGTCGAGTTCTGGAAAGAGATCGATAAAGGGTGGTGGTTTGATGGCGATTTTGTGGTTAGAACTGCACACCAGCAGCAGCACAAGCTCTCGGCGCACAGAAGGTCCGCGCGACACATCAAGGAAGGGCGAGATGAGACTAGTGGTGCTGTGATGTACCGGTATAAAGAGCATCGGTCGACAAGGGCAGCTGCTTTGATCAAACAGTTCGCGCCAGTGGGCAAGATACGATCTTTATGGTTTGAAGAGTTCATTGATGAGAAAGAAAGTTCTGCAAGTATCCTGATTCCCAATCTCTGGTAGAAGTATGACGGACTGATGTTATTTGCCAGATCACCCGCACTGATTTAGTCAAAGCATTCCTGTGCGCCACGCAAATGTCACATTTCCTCACTGGCCTCGTCATGACGCTTCATGAACGACGAAGCTGGGGGACGCTTCCGCTGGAGATGGAGCGAGAGCTGATCCTTCGATATTATGAAGTGGGTCCCCGCAATCGTAATAGAAGACTTCTGTATGACGGCTGCTGATGGTAGCTTGCAAACATAGATGCTGTATGCTATACGTGAGTGGCACTAAACGACTTGGCTGCTATCCTTGAAGATGCCAGCTGATTCGATCTGAACCAGGGGAACTAGGCCAAATGCTGCGCACGATCTCTCACTGGGAGGAGGACCATCACAAACCCCGCCGATGGGTACCTAATGCTACATTTGCGATGTTCAAGCCCCTCGATCCCAGCACCGTCTTCTACCAGGAGTGCGAGCACCATTTTCCGATGGCAATTCCTTCAACCTTCATCAGTGTGGCCAAGCTAGCGTTGATACGTCACGAGCAAGGTATGGATAAGGTCTGGTGGGATGCTTGGTGGCTAGTGAGGCCAGATATGAGAAGGTATTTCCGAATCAATTTTGGGGTAAGGTACGATTACCTGTCAGTCCGAGAAGAGGACATCTATTTGAGGATGAATTATCCCGATGGACGACAAGTGGTGGAATCTGACACGGCATATCGTAATTTTCCAAAATTCGAGCCTGTAGATCCCTGGTCATGTCAGGTGACTCAACCCAATTTGAATGAGGCCGAGACACTGACTAGAATCAGGAGGTTGCCAGAGACTTCTATGCCCAAGCATATGGCAGACAGCCTGACTCCGTAAGAGCTGCATCCTCTTCATCAACTTCATCGTCGGTCTCGAGTTTGAGGACTGTTGTCGGTGATAGTTCCTTCACGTCCACAAAGACCCTAGATTACCACAAGGCCACAGGTGAGCTGAGAACTAAATTTGCTCTGGATTCCTCCTGACTCTGGGGCAGATGAGGGGCCAAGCGCCCCAACACCAGCTTTTGTCCCACAGATAATATCCGTGCACGGCTGGAGTCTCCTGCACGCTAATCCGGTCGAGGCCAATCGTCACTGGGCTGTCGACATTTATTTGCGGGATCATATTCGTCCTTATATACCCGAAACTCACTGGGTGTGGCTCGATTATCCACGAACAGAGTCAGTAGGGTAGGCAAGAGCAACCAGATAACCCTTCCCAAGTTCGAAAGTGTACTTCTTTCTGTCATCTTTCTTTCGCCATTTCTCTGTACATGTGTGTTTGGTACATGTGTGTTTGAGTGTGACCCACACAAATTTCTGACATATGATTCATACCAGGCCAATATATCAAGTCTATCGAAGATGCATACTGTCGCCCTTAAGGCTATACCTTCTGACCCACTTATCCCCCAATATTATGTCCCCATTAATACGCGGTGGTAATGAATGAGTTGGAGCTGCAAGGGCGAGTGGGCTATTGTGGTGGTGGTGATGGGTTCCGAACGGGTTCCGAATGCTAGAGCTCGCTGCGCACTACGCCTGTATATAACGACGCTGCAGACGAAACCATAAAACGATAGCCTCATGCCACCTGACATCTGTTCCACCATTGTTATGAGGGCTTGTTCGAATATGGCGAAGCTGCCAGGGCTGTCTTGCCCTCACTGAAACGGAAAGCGGTTGGATGATGGCAGAGTCAAAGTCCATGAGAGCATTCGTTGGATCGCTAGAGTACCCATCGAAGAGGTAATCGCTGAACTCTCCAGTGTAGGGTATGTCTCGCCTCTGGACGGGGGGATTGGGGTCACAAGTCGGCACAGACATAAGCGCGTCCCTCGGATCGTCGGAGGATGGACCACCATCAAACACGACGGCCTTGACTTTGATCTTGTTTCATGTACCTCCCTATATCGCGGACGCGCGAGAGCCACGGGAGACGAGCGGGCAGGACTTTAAGGGGTGTTTGAAAGCCCACCAAAAGGGGTGATGCGAGGCGCCAAACTTGCCATGCGGACTCGGGTTTTGAGCAAAAAAAAACCACTTTATGGCATCCTAGATGCGTTGATCTCATAGGTACGAGTACATGTTGTGTAGGCAAATTGTTATGTCGTTGAGGGTAAGCACACTGACGGGGAATGGTACAGTAGAGTACATCTAATCATCTGGTTCTGGGTGCATCATGAAGATACTGCCCTATACATGCACATTATGATACAAGATACACATATCAGCGTTTCCCAAACCCGCTATTGCCCTCCTGTCAACCTCATCATGCCCGACGGCTCTTCAACAGCGTGCTGCTGGCATTCCGCTTTGTTTCCTGCTTTTTGTCACGATATGATCACCATGATAAATGACGCCATGTATTCTTTGGTAGCTAGTATGACCGGTCGCAGAACCAACAGTAGATCCAACCCAGGGCCGTCGATCCAAAGCTGCCTCCAAGCGCTCCTCTTCCTAAACGTATAACCACAGTTCACATACATAGAGGGCCCTCATAGACGAGGGAAAAACATACCAATAGTCCCCATGCCAGAGGCTACACGGAAAACACGCCCTCGGATACTCAGGACTCGTGATGATGATAGCAAGCGTACCTTACTTGCAGGGCTCGGAGTGATGGGTCGATAGATAGTGCTTGTTGAGCTGATGTCACATCTGTAAGCAGACCTGGCATCCTTATGTCTTCACACCATACCACAGCGACCAGAACGCTTGACGTCTGATGTTTGCCAGACAATGACTGTATGTTCAAGTACGTCTCAACAACGTTCCGAACACACCGTGTACAGGCGGTAGCATATGCTCTTCTCGGTAGTTCCCGAATACCCACCAGTCGATTTGGCACCTTATGACAGATGATGACCAACAAGGTGGATGACGTTTGGGAGGACGGTTGCCGAACGACCACTGCATGTATCCACACAAAATGGCCAACAAATTGCCGTATGAGAAGCAGCTACACAGAGATACCCAGAAAGTTTTGTGATGCTTGTGATCTAGCAAACAGGGACCAGAGGCTGCGCCACGCTTGAAAGATTGGCGCGAGACGCGGAGAACAAGACCGGTGCGAGCGACGCGGATGCCTTTACATTCTGCCTATTTACCTCCTTCATCTAGACCCGACCTCCATCCAGTACCACTTTTCGTCAAAATCAATCCGTCACACAAGCTCCACCATCACACCCCTTTATCATTCACCTAGCCCATCTTCCCCCACCCACCTTCTGCTTTTGCAAGCCCCTCGCCCTCACTTCCTCGCCGTCACTATGGTCCATTCCATCCCTGATCCCTCCGTAGCCTCATCTACCACGCCGCTTGGTATTGCCGACCCAAGTGGCTGGACCTCCACTTTCGAGGCCATCTATGCAAATGTCCTTGTCAGTGCCAATTTCTCTGTCGTCCACCTAGTGTCGTTGCATGAAACAAGCACCCTGGGTCTCAGCGGTGGGGTGATTGCTGGGATAGTGCTTGGTGTAGTCACAGGCTGCTTGTTGATTGCGGGGGTTTTGATCGCATGGTGAAGTAAGAAGGGGACCAGAGTGGTGTCGATATGGCACTTGTCAAAGGGGAGAGGATGGTTGCCCAGAGGATGCTGAGGCGGAGGGACCCAAGTACTTTCGAGGTCGGCCTGTGGGTGGAATGTGGCCACAGGATTCAGTTCGGAAAGGTACACTTCCCAAACCTTGGGCTGTCCCAAGATCAGCTTTAGGCTCGATGAGGCGGACCTTGGCCCTGCGGGTATACACCAGCCCCTCAAGAGCAGCTTTGAACTCGGGATGGTCTGCAAGCTCCCAAGTCAAGACATCGATCCTGTAAGCGTCGCCCATAGGAGATTGAGCGAGGGAGGAAGCCAGATCTTGAGTGTAGAGGTCGTGATACGATCGAGTTGACGGCCAGCTGGCTGTAAGACCCATCCCGCTTTTCTTTCGGAGCTACCGACCTCCACGAGGACGATCTTGAAGCCAACTGGCCGGCAACTCAGATGTATCACGACCTCTACACTCAAGCTCTGGCTTCCTCCCTCGCTCAATCTCCCATGAGCGACTCTTACAGGTCTCCAGCCAAGAAGAGGTATCTCGGCTTATCCATCTGAAAACTCCAATTCAACTCTTGGTATTGGGTTTGCTGTTGGAGGGAAGTGACCTTGGCTTGGAGAGAGGGGAGGACGATAGGGGAGGACGATAGGGAAGGACGATAGGGGAG